TTAAAAAAAAAATATAACTTTTCATAATTTTTATTAAAAAATTTTTAAAATTCGTATTTTTTATAAATATTTCGAAAAAAAAGTGTTTCAGTGAGAACAAAATTTTTTAAATGAAAATTTCACATGGAATGCCCCATATATGCTATGCAAAACAATCATGCATGTGTATATATATAGAGAAGGAGAGACTATGTGCGTTTGCATCGTAAGCTCCTCGAATGGCCGAGCAGAAATAATTAGTTCGGTCAGTCGCCCAATGTTGTCCCTTTAGCTTTCAGTATCTTTTGTCTTTTGCCAAAGGAGAAAAGCGTCGCGACGCCTCACATACTCACAAAACACATTTTTTATATACATATATATATCGACGATTATGAATCAAGATTTTCGTATCGAGGTACAATAAAATATTAACAAGTTTTTTTTTTTTTATTTAGGTATACGTTTTTTATATTTTTATTTATTTTCACTATTTTAATGAGAATTTTATTTTTTATTATTTATTCAGGAGTCAATTTTCTGTAATAATTATAATAATTATAAATTAATATAAATAAAATTTCTTTAAAAATATAATATATTAAATATAATAATAAATATTTTATTTTCTCAAGAAAAAAGAAAAATTTATTTTCTTTTTTCTTCTCATAGAAAAAAGGAAGACAATTTTTATTTACTCTTCATGATTAAAATTTTTTTTTATTTTCATTTTGTTTTTATTACACGTAACTTTATATTAATAGGAAATCCTTTATAAGTACTGGCGTTGATATACTTTTTTACATTAATTTTTCTTTTTGTTTTATTAAAAATATTTTTTTTATTTACTAATTATTATTATTATTATTATTATTATTTATTAATTAATTAATTTTTAATTACTAATTTACCTAGTAATTTTATATTTTTTTATAATTTTTCTAAAATCGCTAATTATTTATAATATTTTTTTTTTCGTTAACTCCTTGTACAAATGAGTCACACTACTTGTTGTTGTTAAGTTTGTTTTTTTTAAAAGATAAGTAAATAATTGTTTTGTTTAGAAAGTATTTAAAAAATTAAATTTTCTATAAAACAGACCTTTGTAACGTTCGATGTCAATTAAATTAATTAACGATTGATGAACCCGCATCAAGAATAATCTTGAAAAATGAGAGATAAATATATTTTTTTTGAAACATGTGAAAATGCAATTGTATAAATAATGAATTTAATTAAAATTGCATTTTAACAATTTTTATTTATTTTCCTGTACAAGATGGAAAAATTTTTTTTTTCAAAACTTTTTAAAATTTGGAATAAATAATTTTTGTTAAATTTTATAATGATAGTAATAACAATAATTAACAACAACAACCATAATAATAATAATTATAAAAATAAAATAATAATAATAAATAATAATAAAATAATATTAAATTATTTATTTATTTACAATAATAAATAAGTTTACAAAAATTAAACGAAACATTTTCGAAAAAAAATTTATTTGATTCAAATACACGATTACTATTACTATTATCAAATAAATATTTACTTGAACCAAATAATTTTTATTTGAATTTAATAAATTGTATTTGAACCAACAATTTCTGTATTTAAAATAAATACTATTTAATTGATTCAAATAAAAATTATTTGGTTCAACTAAATATTTATTTGATAATAGTCAAGTAATATCGAGAGTATTTAAATCAAATAAATTTTTTTTCAGTGTAATAATGTAAAAAAAAAATTATAACAATATTATCTAAATTATTTTTAATACAAAATTTTTATATAAAAATTAGTAAAATAAATAAAATAAAAATAAAAACGTAATTTTAAGAAAAGTAAATTGAGGAGCAAATTTTCAAAACTTGATAAATCCATTTTTCAAAAAAATGGAGATAACCATAAATTTAATATTTTAAGGACCTCACAAATTAATCTGTCACTGTTAAATTTAAGGAAAAAAATTTATTAATTACAAACTTTTAATTTAAAAACTTATTAACATAACCAAGATGATTTACAATTTGTATGTTTTATATTATAAAAAATTACCAAAATCTGTAAATCACTCAATTATGACAAAGTTCAATTAGAAACATAACGTCTTGAATATAAAAACATTGTTATAAAAATAAATTATTATAAATTTTTTATTTTAAAATTAACTCTAGTGGTTATGTGTGGAAAGTCATTTGTTTGAATTTCTCGAAATAAGAAAATATGGATTTATCAGGTTTTGAAAACTTGCTCCTCAATTAAAAAAAAAATGTAATTTTTTCGAAAGAATTAATTAAATTTATCAAAAAAATTCAAAGACTTTAAATATCTATATATTAATTATTTATATAAATTTAAATAGTTTATAAAAATTGTTGTCATAAATATTTAATATTTATATATATATATAATTAATTGAGCAATTAAGAAAAATTATTGTATCTTTAAAAAGAAATTTTAAAACGATTTACATTTTTTTCAGACCAAAAAAATAAAATAAATAGCAAAGATAATTAAATAACCACATAAAAAAAAAGTTCCATAAAATGATTAATCCTTTTGAAAATATAATGGCTCGCTTATTATCAATTCGTCTTGGTTTTTTAGATATCATATATATATATATATATATATATATATATATATATATATATACAACACAAGTTTATATATCAAATCCATTAAATTCGATCGACCATAATCCGCGATGACGAGATAATTGATTGGAAAACTCGCGGTCGATTGTGCACATAATTACTCGAGACTTTTATTATATGAGAGTGCTCGCGCGACTAAAAACTTTTTTATATAGGTGTATGTGAATCGACGTAAGCAAACATTTTAATTGGCATATATATGGGGTTTGAGCATATAGTATATATATATGTAGGAATGAGATTTTTCTTTATCTAATATCACGATTTTGAAATCGTGCAAATTATTATTTTTTTTTTAATCTTTTTTTTTTTGTAAATTGTTTCTAATTTGTATTTATAAAGTACCGCGCGCCATGCGGTATTTCACGATAAATATCTATTTTGTGAAAGTAATTAGTAATTAAATGAGATTAGATATGACAGTAGACGCGCGCACGGTCGCGAGATAATTAGGTTGATGAAATTAACAAAATAATTACTATAAGCGCAGATACACACACGCGGCCACAATATAATAGTCTCGCGGTAAATTATTATTTTGTTTCTATTGTGTTTGATGATATGACTTTCGCATAACCCGAAGGAATTTATAAAATAAAAAAAAAAGAAAAGAAGAAAAAAAAAGTGCAAGTAATTTCTCACATTCATTTTCTGTGTGGCATGCGAAAAATCGTTTGAAAGTAGTGTGAGAAGTGAAATCACTTTTTTTTTTAATTGACACTTTTTTGTAATTTTTTTTTTATTTTCTTTTTTTTGTTCTATTTCTATTTTTATTGTTATTTATTTATTAAGCTTCAGCCTTTCGGACCAAAAATCTTTTTTTATCCACAAAAAAACGTCTATTTCCCACATGGCCTTAAAAAGTAGCTAAATTTTAAAAAAAATTTATTTTATGACAAATTTGAAAATAAATTTTAAAAAAACTTTCATTCATAGATAGATAAATAAACAATAAAACGAAAATAATTAAAAAACGAAAAAATAACAATTAAATAATAATAATTAAAAGAAAATAATCAAAAAAATAACAAAAATAAAGAAAAAAAAGTCAACTAATTAATAATAAAACTAAAATAACAAGAAAATCGAAAAAATGAAAAAAATAACAAAAAAAGTCAAATAAATAACAACAAAACAAAAATTATAAAAAAAAATAGTAAAATAACAAAAAAAATGTCCATTTATTAAAATAATAAAACTAAAATAACAAAAATAATAAAAAAAATGTCAATTAAATAATAATAAATCTAAAATAATAACAAAAATAACAAACAAATGTTATTTATGTTAAAATTTAATAATAATAAAACAAAAACAATAACAAAATGAAAAAAATAACAAAAAAAATGTCAATTAAATAATTAAAAAAAAAATAACCAAAATAGTGTTATTTTTGTTAAGATTAAATAATTATAAAATGAAAATAAAAAATTAATAAAATAACAAAAAATTATCAACTTGTTAATAATAAAACTAAAATATTTAAAAAATAATAAAATAACAAAAAAATGTCAACTTGTTATAATAATAAAACTAAAATAACCAAAAAATGTAAATTAAATAATAATAAAACAAAAATAATTAAAAAATGAAAGAAGTAATAATAAAAATTTCAATTGAATAATAATAAAACGAAAATAATAAGAAAATAACAAAAGAATGTCAACTAATTTATAATAAAACTAAAATTTACAAAAATAACAAAAAAAAATTACAATTAAATAATAATAAAACGAAAAAAAAATTTCAATTAAATAATAGTAAAAGTTAAATAATAAAAAAATATCATCAAAAATAACAAAAAAAAATGTCATTGAATTAATAATAAAAAAAAAATAAAAGGAATAACAAAAAAATGTCAATTAAATAATAATAATAAAAAAAATGAAAAAAAATAACAAAAGAGACAACTAAATAAATAAATAAAATTAAGAAATTAAATTTGAAAATTATTATTTGAAATTTATTTTTTTTTTTTAAATTGTAATTCAACTAAATTTGTCAATTTCAAATTGAAACCTTGAATTAATTAAAAATAAATTAAAAAAAAAACAAAACAAAAAAAATCGAAACTTATAAATTGATCTTGGCGTTGCAATTTTCATAACTGGATTCGAGAGAAAGAGCGAAAGAGACCCTGAAGGTTTTGCTTCTGTAGAGGACTTGCTGAAGTAACCGAGCGTTGCAACCACAATTCCGTGTAAATAAAACTTCCCCAGTCCACCTTGTAAATAACTCTTTCTCTCTTTTTATCTATCTTTCTTTTTTTTCGCTCTCTCTCTCTCTCTCTCTCGATGCAACACACAGAGTTTAGTGGCATGCGATTAATCCTCTCTTTTTTTTTCTGTTTTATAGATGGGGTCACGTTTGGGGATGCGGAGGGATCCCTGCGCCGTGTGTGGGCTTCCCGTTTTTCTCGCTGAGAAATTGGTCATCTCTCGAATGCACTATCATCGCACATGTTTCCGTTGTGCTCGCTGTAAAAATCAACTAACACCCGGCAATTATTACGAGACCGAAGACGGACAATATTGCTGTGAAACATGTCCCGATGAAGAGGAAAATAATGAATCACGTTACAATAATGAAGCAAGCATTCATAATTTAAATTCTAATTCATCAATACAACAAGATATTTTTCAAAAATCACTCAGCGATGAGGAAAAAATTGTCAAAAGTTCAATAGTACATGATCCTGAAAAATTGAGAAGTCCACAAGAAATTACCGATAATATTTTATCACCATTGAAGAAAATTTCCTCCTCTGATGATGATGATGATGATAATGATAAAATGACATCATCATCATCAGAGATATCAAAAAAATTGAGGCTAAATTTTATGGAGAGTCACTTACTTTCTGAGAAATTTAACGAACTCTCGGTGGTTGATGGACCAGAATTATTAACAAGTGAAAATTCTCCAGAGGAACTCTCAATATCCCCAAATTGTTCAACAATTGATTTATTGAAAAAAAAACTCGATTTCAATGATATTGTTGAAAATATTAGTGACCCCATTAAAAATGATCAACGTCCTACTGCCATTTCGTCCCATGACATAGATAATAAGTGTCTAGATCATAAGACAAATACCAAAGACTTAGACGGCGAGGCTACATCATCATTAGTTCGGCAACGTTTGAAAATATTTGAGAATCATGATTTAAAAAAAATACCACAAAAAGCCGATAACGTCGTCAAAGCAACTTTGTTAAAGAAAGACATAACATCTTTCTTTCCATCATTAGAAATTGATAATCAATTCGAGAATGTTATACCGAGAGATAATGAAAATTTATTATCATCATCAAATCATTCCGAATTAAATGATTTCAATTTAGAAACGAAAAAAAACAATTTCAAACAATTGGATTCAATAGAAGCCGATTTTGAACGATTGGTTGAATCGAATTTGAACCAATCGGTTGAATTAGATTTGAAACGATTAATGGAATCTAATTTTAAAAAAGGATCCAATTCACAAGATGAATTGAATGAAAAGAATTTCATTCAAAAGAATGAAGAAGAGAAAAAAGGAGAAGAAGAAGAAGAAGAAGAAGAAGAAGAAGAAGAAGAAGAAGAAGAAGAAGAAAAGGAGGAGAAGGAGACACGAGATGATGTCGCCGATAGCTGTAAATTGGTGAAACCACTTTCTCCCATTGATAATAATGATGACATCATTGCGACAAACGCCGCGAGTTGTGTGTCGAGAGAGATAATAATCGACGACAATTATTCAAAGTCAAATGATGTTGTCCAAACAGAATTGAATTTATTTACAGCAAAGGGAATCAATTTGAGCGATGTCGATGATTATCCTGTAGCGTTAAATCCATTCGCCGATGAAGACGAACAAATTCCAGTTAAGAAAAATAACAGTAAAATCTCGACTAATCCCTTTGACAGTGATGAGAATGAAGAAGAAAAAGAAGAAGAAGAGGCAATAAGCAATAAAAATTCAATTCCACAAGCGGCGGAAAGAAATTCAGAAATGAAAATTGAAAAAATACAAGTTAAACGACGTTTAAAAGCACCGCAAATTAGTTTAAATCCATTTTCCAGTGATGATGATGATGATGATGAAACAGAAGGAAATACAACTTGTTCGGTTAATTTCCCAATTCCTAAACCTAGAACAATCAAGTATGTAACATAAAGAAATTTTTTTATATTTATCGAAAAATTTTAAGACTGAATTTTTATTTTATTTATTTTACATTTAATGTGAATTTCTATTTAACTAAATTTTTCGCAAGGTAAATTTTCAAATTCGTCGAATTTTTATTTAATCGAACCTTTATTGAAAAAAAAAATTCTAAAACAAAATTTTTATATATACTTGAATTTTTAATGGAAAACAAAAATGTTTAATCAAATTTTTTTTTTTCAATGAGAATTTGTAATAAAAACTAAAAAAAACTGTTTAATGAAAATTTGTTTTAGTGGAATTCGGCTAAATACATTATAACAGAAATTTGACAGTTTAAATTTCATTTTTATAATTTTGGAAAAAAAACCACAATTCTTTTTTTTGCATTTAATTTTTAAATTAGAAAATTATTTGAAATTTTGTTTTTTTTCAACTCAGGTGGAATTATACTTAAATATTAAGAATTGGTTTTTTTTTTTTGCAATCCGAGTGTGTATTTTAATAATTTACATTTTATAAATTTTTAATGTCTCGTTAATTTCTAATTTTTAATTAACAATAATTATTTTCAGCAGCCTTGCAATATCAAAGGCCAATTTAGAGCGAAGCGGAATGTACGCTTCGAATACTTCCCTGGCTAGTTGTGGATCCACACCTGGGGCAAGTTCAAGAAAGAAAAAACCTGCACCTCAGCCACCTACCAAAGAAACCCTTTCACCCAATTCAAATCCATCCACACCAAAACGTAATTCGTCTATTAACACTGTAAGTATTTAAAATATAATAATTTTTCAATTTGTTATCGCATATCTTCTTCTGATCTTTTTTTATTTCAATTATTTAACAAATTTTTAACTAAAAAAATTCTTCACTAAATTAATTATTTTTAATAATTTCAATGAAATTCTTCACAAATTCAATATTAATTATCTTAAACTATTTTTCAATTAAAATTTTTATAAAATTTAATAATTGTTTATAATTAAAAAAAAAAAAATTAGCAAATAAAATTACCAAAAAATTTTAAATTCAAAATCACTTGAAATTTAATTATTTGACAAAAATTTTAATTATTTTTAATGATTTTTATAATATTGTTCGAAAATTCAATTATCTGAAAGCATTTTTTAATTAAAAACTTTTATATTACAATTTTTTTTATGTGATTTTTAATAAATTCTTCATCAACAGAAATCGCTAAAAATTTCTCTTATTATAATTATTGTCTGAAATATAACCCAATCTTTTGAAATTAAATTATTTTCCAAAATTTCAATTTAAAAACTTCTAAAATTTAATTAGGTATTTCTAAAATTTTTTAAAACTTAATAATTTCAATTATAATTCTCCTGAAATTCAATTATTTTTAATTATTTTTATAATATTCTAATTAATTTTTTTTAGTGAAATCATCAAAAATTTTAAATTAAAATTCAGTTGAAATTCAATTAATTTCAAAAATCTAAATTGTGAATCTTTGAAAATTCAATTACTTTTAAAAAATGTTATCTAAAATTATTTGATAAATTATTTTTAGTTCCCGTAAAGTTTAATTATTGTCTGAAAATTAACATAATCTTTTGAAATTCAATTATTTCTAAAAATTTCAACTTTAACTCTTCCAAAATTGTTATTTAAAAAAAATTATTTAAAAATCTGTAAAACTTGATTAAGTATTGCCTGAAATTTTTTTTCTAACCATCAAAACTAAAAATTATGAGAAAATTTTTAATTCGAATAAATTGCTTAAATCAGATTTCGAAAAATTATAAAAATGGAACTTTAAGAATTTCTTTTTGAAATTTGTCCTACTTAAATAAAATTTTAAAAATTTATCTTCTTACAATTAGTTCGATTCTGAAATATTCGAAATAAATTTTCTTGATAATGTTTTTATAGAATTATTCTCATTACAAAATTAATAAAATGAATTTAATATCTAATAACATTAGTTATTTAAAGTAAAATATTTATTAACCAATTTTGTTAAAATAAAAAAAAAATCGACTTTTTTTGGAATATAAAAAAACAAATTTTTTTGTGCCTTAAAGTCGATCCGAGGCCTGGTTATGTTAAAATAAAATATCTTCACATTATGATGAGAATGTAAAAAAAAAATTGAAATTTAGAAGCTTTCATCTTTATATTGAACGAAAAATAAAAAATTTTAATTTAACCAAAGAAAAAGAAATTTAGAAATTGTAGATAACATTTTTTTTTTATACTAATTCTTATTTTCTTATTTGTTTTAAAACATTTATTGAACCACAAATTTTAAAACATATTTTTTAATTTAATTATTTTTTAAATAATCCAGTTGAAAACTTTCTGTAACTATTCATTATTATTATTTACTGTATGTTTTATTTATTTATTTGTAGTATGAACGGTCTTACAAAAGAGAAAAATAATAACTTCCCTTCGAACAAAAGTACTGAATTATAATAAGAAAAGAGAAATAAAAAAAAAGAAAACACTTTGAAATACAAATAAATCATAATAAGATATGAAACAGTGTATTTATTATTATTTATTTAATATTTTTGAATTAATTATTGTAAATTATTTGCAGAACACATCACCTCACATGACGCCACGACTAAGAAAATCGAAACCAGCACCACCTCCTCCACCCCTTTTAACAAGTACACCACAAAATGAATCTATATTATCGCACATCAATTGTAATGAGTCTTCAATTCAAGAATTAATCGACGAAGACGATATTTGTAAATTAAATATGTGGGAGGATCAAAAATCCAATAAAGATGAAGTGAATAGAACGAGGCAGAGCCTCTCTTGTCTTGATAATCCATCGTATGTATCGTATGCGGACAAAAGTGTTCAGGGAAAATGGAAAAGGAAAAAGGGTCCTGCACCACCTCGACCAGTTCCACTTCGACGAAAGGTAAATTATTAAATATTTAAAATTCACTTTTTTCTACTCGTATTTTATTATTATTATTTATTCTATTATTTTTTAATATTTTTATTATTTTATTGTTTACAAATGGGACAGATTTTTTTTTATACACTTTTAAAAATGAATTTACATATTGCAATTCTAGAAAAATATAAAAATTATTAGATTAATTTATTATTATTATTATTATTTTCATTTACATATCTTCAATAAAAATATTGAATTATTTTTCATTGAATTTCAAGGTTAAATTAAAAATTCAAGGCGAATTCACGTTTTTTTCAAGACGTAACTAAATTCACATGGTTTTCCCTGTTTTCAAGGTTTAAAATTTGCAAAAAGTTTTAGTTACCTTTTTTTAAATAAATAAAAATTATATGGATTTAATAGAAATAATTCAATATTGAAAGAGTGGAAATTCTAATTTTTAAAAATTTAATTGTTAAAAAATAAAGAAAAATTAATTAGGGAAATGTTTGAAGGGAAAAATTAGGGAAATGAATTATATATATATATATATATATATATATATATGGGATGTTCCACGTCAAGCGGACCAAAGCTCTGCCCAAAATTGTACGCAATATAAATAAACTTATAATATATAAAAATGTTCGTACACATGTAAACTTTCAAAAAATGAGTGGCAAATTAAAAAATTTATAATAATGCTTTTGTTATAACAAATATAAACAATCATAAATGGAAATGCGTAAGTTAAAAAATGTCTCATTTAAAGACAAAAATTTTAAATTCTAAAGTCATAGTTGTTTTTAATGTTTTCGGGGTCGCTGATTACGAATCTGATGTCAGAATTGAAAAATTCAAAATGGCGGATCCAATATGGCGGCCGAATTTTTAAAAAATCGTCCAATTCGCTTAAAACTTATTACTCGGGGGTTTTCGGGGTCGCTGATTACGAATCTGATGTCAGAATTTAAAAATTCAAAATGGCGGATCCAATATGGCGTCCGAATTTTAAAAAAATCGTCCAATTCGCTTAAAACTTATTATTCGGGGGTTTTCGGGGTCGCTGATTACGAATCTGATGTCAGAATTGAAAAATTCAAAATGGCGGATCCAATATGGCGGCCGAATTTTTAAAAAATCGTCCAATTCGCTTAAAACTTATTACTCGGGGGTTTTCGGGGTCGCTGATTACGAATCTGATGTCAGAATTTAAAAATTCAAAATGGCGGATCCAATATGGCGTCCGAATTTTAAAAAAATCGTCCAATTCGCTTAAAACTTATTATTCGGGGGTTTTCGGGGTCGCTGATTACGAATCTGATGTCAGAAATAAGAAATTTAAAATGGCGTATCCAATATGGCGGCCGAATTTTAAAAAAATCGTCCAATTCGCTTAAAACTTATTATTCGGGGGTTTTCGGGGTCGCTGATTACGAATCTGATGTCAGAAATAAGAAATTTAAAATGGCAGACCTAATAGGGCGGAAGATTATTAAAAAAAACTATTAGAAATATTTAAAACTTGTTACTCTGGAGCTTTTTAAGTTGCCGATCACGAATTTGTCACGAGAGATTAAAGAAAAAAAATATTAATAAAAAGATCATTTGTATGGATCTTGTAAACTATAGGTTTTCGTATTCAAAATATTTTTTGCAGTTACTCATTACTACTCTAGTATTGGATAACTGCGAGTGGTGTGGTTGCATTTGAGTACCTAAATACTACTAGCTTCTTGTCTGAAGTAACTATGAATGAGTGTGCTGATTGGATTTTTGTAACTGAAGGAGCTTTGGAAAATCTTTTATTTAATGAACGCTTAATTTTTTCATGCTCTTGTTTTGTGTAATAGATAAATCGTGTCGTTTTAATGTGCTCTTTAGCCCATGTAAATAGACTAGTGGCATTCAAAATAGCATTTTCTGGCTTAGCTTGTAAGCTAGCTCGAGTGGCTTCTCTCTTTAACACTGCTCCTATGCCATCGCATGCTCCTTTTCCATGAGCGGTAGCATGAAAATGCCACTCTGCCAGAACATTAAAATCATCTTCGTGATGAACTAAATTCATCATTTGAAATTTGTTTTTATAATGCTGTTTAGCACCATCAGTAAAAATTATTATTTTTTTAACATTTGTGCAAACTTTTTTAATGTCTGCAATAACTTTTTGTTGCAGTATGTAGACTGCAGCAGTATCATGCGTAGTAGATTCGGATAGCAAGACAATGCTGCAATGCTTTAATTCACCATTTTCTTTATAATAAAAAATTGCAGGATGCACTGTGCATTGGTCATTATTATAATGAAAACCTTGTACAGCATCTTGTACAACATAGGCGTAGTTTGCAGAAAAATCACACTGTAGTAACACTTCGCCTTCTTGGAGGTTTCTTTTCCTCTCTTGATAATATTCCGATTGATTTTTTGCAATGTAATGGTGTGGCAATAGTTTTGTTAATTGACTAGATAATTCGGTTACAAAGTCCTTTGAAATATAATATTTTTTCGTCAGAGTGCATCTATCAGTTGATTGCCAACAACTACAAATGATTTCAGATATTTCATTTTCTTCCAAAAGGTTTAAAATCATATTTGAAAAGTTTTCCACGCCAGGGCATAAGGTGCACTCCAAAAGGAAACAGGATGGTCCAGGATTTTCACATAAAGCAAATTTAAAGCAGTCTTTATAATCTTTTATCCTATTCTCTGAATCAGGTATCAATTTTTCAAAATTTATGGATTCAATCATTTTTTTCAATTCTGACATCAGATTCGTAATCAGCGACCCCGAAAACCCCCGAGTAATAAGTTTTAAGCGAATTGGACGATTTTTTAAAAATTCGGCCGCCATATTGGATCCGCCATTTTGAATTTTTCAATTCTGACATCAGATTCGTAATCAGCGACCCCGAAAACCCCCGAATAATAAGTTTTAAGCGAATTGGACGATTTTTTTAAAATTCGGCCGCCATATTGGATCCGCCATTTTGAATTTTTAAATTCTGACATCAGATTCGTAATCAGCGACCCCGAAAACCCCCGAGTAATAAGTTTTAAGCGAATTGGACGATTTTTTAAAAATTCGGCCGCCATATTGGATCCGCCATTTTGAATTTTTCAATTCTGACATCAGATTCGTAATCAGCGACCCCGAAAACATTAAAAACAACTATGACTTTAGAATTTAAAATTTTTGTCTTTAAATGAGACATTTTTTAACTTACGCATTTCCATTTATGATTGTTTATATTTGTTATAACAAAAGCATTATTATAAATTTTTTAATTTGCCACTCATTTTTTGAAAGTTTACATGTGTACGAACATTTTTATATATTATAAGTTTATTTATATTGCGTACAATTTTGGGCAGAGCTTTGGTCCGCTTGACGTGGAACATCCCATATATATATATATATATATATATACTTTAAAATTGTACAATGAAGAAATAAATTTATCGAGAAAATAAATTAATTAAATTTTGTTTTTAGATCAAAGTACTATCGTTAAAAGATATAAAATTGGAATTGGATGAAATAGAATTACAACAGCAAGGTTTGGAACGACAAGGCGTTCGTTTGGAACAAATAATTCGAGATAAATCTGAATCAAAGCCAATCGGAGAAGGTAAACATTTTTTTTTCTTTTTTTAGAATTTGAAAATAAAACAAAAAATACAATGTAACACAAAAAAAACCTAGAGGCAAAAATTGAATTGAACATATTTGTTTGGAACTCATGAATATTCTTCCTTAACAAACACAAATTGATTAAAAGCTTGCAAAACTTGGAGTGTACGATTTTTTTTTTTTATTTTTAATGCGACATTTCGAGTTTTAGTAAAATACGATTGAACAATATTTTCTAAAAATCTAATACTATTTTTCTATTTAAAAATTTGAAAAAAATGAAAATTCCACAAAATGAAACTTTAAAATAATAAATTTATTTATTTCCTGTAAATATTTTATTTTTCTAAATTTCTAAATAAATAAATATAGAAAAATAAAATATTTATAGGAAATAAATAAATGTATTTTAAAGTTTTCAGTTTTTTTTTCAATTTTTAAATAGAAAAATAGTGTTTATATTTTTAAAAAATATTGTTCAATCGTTATTTATTATTTTTTGAAATAAATATTGTTAATATATAATGTCATAATTAATTTGTTTTTAGATCCAAATATAGAAGCAGACGTGGAAGAATTGGTGCTAGAGCTGTTTGTTCTCGTGAATGAAAAAAATGAATTGTTTAGGAGACAAGCAGAATTAATGTTATTACGAAGACAACAGAGATTAGAGGAAGAACACGCTGATGTTGAGTATCAAATAAGGTGCCTTTTGTGTCAACCGGAAGCTACAAAAACAGATTTTGATAAGCAGAGAGAAGAAACTTTAATCCAAAGGTATTAAAAGAGAAACTCTAGATTATATTCAATGGGACAATTATACAAAAAAAAAAAATTTTCTTTTCTTTTTTCCCAAATTTGAATAAAATATGAAAGACAGTGAAATAATATCTTTATGCAAAAATAAGGAAACTTGTATTTTCAAAAAAATTTTTATTAAAAAGAAAAATTTCTCAAACGAAAAAAAAATTGTAATCTCTCTTTCAGGTTGGTACAAATTGTTGAAAGACGAAATGAAATAGTCGAGTGCCTTGAAATGGATCGAAAACGTGAAGTTGAAGAAGATCGCAGTATTAATAAACACATGGGTTTATACGCGGGTAAATTTCGAAAATAACTGTAATTATTTTCTTTCAATATTTCTATTAATATATAAAAATTAAATTAACAGAAATTTTTTATTTTATGAATTTTTCTCTAGACTAAAATTTTTAATTTCACTAACTCAAAATTTTATATATTGATATATATATATGTAAAATAAAGATGGAGAATTTAATGGATTTTGATATTTGCAGCAAAAGGCAAAAGTGATACGATTAGTGATAATGATGTAAATCGTCCGTCCAAGACAAAGAAAGGAAAACTCAAGGAGAAAATAAGGGAGAAAAAATTAAAGAAAAGCCATAAAAAGGATGCCGATAAAGATGTGGATGAGGCCGAAGTGAAACTTAAACGCCATAGCAAGAGAAAGTGGTTTTAATCCACATTTTTTTTTCTTCTTCTAACTATTATTATTTACTTATAAAGTTAAATTTACAATTTTTTTTTTGTTTGTCTTTGCATTTGACTGGTCAAATTTAATACTTTTTTATATAATGATTTTTAATAAATGTCAACTTTGTTATTTATAAATAAACAAGGTTCTAAATAATAAAATAAAATAATGTTAATATTCTATTATAGTAAAAAAAAAAATTCTATTTTATTTCTTCACCTTGTCTTTTGTATTTTAATTTTCTTTTTTTTTATTGCTAATAATTACTTTTTAAGATTTGAATTAATTTTTGTAAAAGAAATTTAATTTAATATGAATTTTAATAATTCAGATTGGCGATTAATTACATTCTCATTTTTGTATGAAATTTATTTTAAAAAATTATCTTTCTTGAATACATTTTTGAAATATTTTAATTATTCTAATTGGTGTGTCATCAACTGGAATAAAATTAACCGACTTTGGAAGTAATTCGTCACAGTAATTGAGATTTTTATCTGAAATAAAAAATAACAAACAATTAGTCAATTATAACATCGAAAAATATTAATTATTCAATTAATAATAACAAATATATAAAAATATAATAAATATAAACAAAAAAAAATAGTTAAAATGATAAATAAATATTTATAAACAATTAATGTATAACAATTATTCGACGAGCGATTTACCCAATTGTTGGAGAAATTGATCAATCGTCTCAGAATTGCGAACAGTTGCCGCAATAATAGCATATTGACATCCATTCATTAATAAAGTTTTCAATGCATTTGAAAGTGCAAGAAAGTTACTACTATCGTACAATACATCGGCAGCAATTACAATTTCAGGTTTTTGTTCATTGTCGATTAAATAATTATCCATATCTTCCCATTTTAAATTTAATACTTGAACTTTAGTATTTTGAAATTTTGTCTCAAATTCTAATTTTCCATCAGTTTTGTCATTTAATTGTTCCAAATTTTTCGAAAAGTTTGCCATCAAATTCTTGCATAATAAATTCAAAACAACAGAATGACAATCCGAGAAAGTGTATTGTTTTGGAAAACAGGTATTAATAACAGTTAGACCTGTCAGACCAATTCCAGATCCAAGTTCCATGATGCGTTTATTAATTAACAATGATTTATTTGATATACACCATTCGGCTAAACTTGAAGCTGCCTGAATTCGCAAAATTTATATATTTATTTAATTAAATTGGTTTATTTTAACAAGGTAACATTGTTTATTTTAATATTAATAACAATAATTGAAAATCTTTTAAAATTTAATCATTAATAAAAAAAATTTAACAGCTAAACTTTGGTAATATTAATTAATTAGAAAATTTTTTTTTAAAAAATTCTTCAAAATTTCAATTATTTGCAAAAATTTTTAATTAAAAATTCTCTAAAACTTAATTATTGTTATAACATTTATTTATAATTAGCCTTAAGAACGGTATTATTCATTTTATTATTCTACTATTTCACTATTCTATTTTAATTTTTAGTTTTGTAATTAAGAGGGCAATTAATATGTAAAAATCCAAAGAGATGTACATGGAGAAATAAATAAATAAATAAATAACATTTATTTATAAAAATTCTTTAGCAATTTAAATTTACAAAAAATTCCAATTGCAAAATCTTCTGAAATATAATTGATTCTAAAATTTTTTTTGGAAACTATTTAAAAATTAAAGTATTTAAAAATTTTCATCAACAAATTTTTTGCCAAATCAATAATTTTTAATAATTTTAAAATTTTTGAAAAATTTAATTATTTTTAAAATTTTGTATATATAAATATAATAATAATAATAATAATAATAAATAATTGAAGTTGATAAAAATAAAATTTGAACTTACTTGCCAGGTACATAATCCAGTTGTTCCTTGTGATATAATACTTGTGCTTTCTTCTAAAGTGATACATATATTGTTTTCGATTAAAAAATGCCGGTAATGAGTCGTTGATTCTTCATCATTCGATGATATCAAATTACAGTATTCATTATATAATTTATTGTCTACTTCATCGTTATTCTTTTCTAACTGCGTAAAATCGAAAGTAGTTTTTTTTTAATTACGTAATAAAAAAAAAATAATAATAATAAAGTAATAATTAATGTAGTAAAAATACAAAAATTTGCCTTTTTTTGCAATTTTTTTTTTTATCATTAATTTAAATATATATAATGTAAAAATGTTTTTTTTAATATAAATCCAAATTTATTTATAAATTTTTGAAATATTAGTAATAATTAATAAATATTAAATAAAATTAAGTATAAAACATTTAAAAATTAAATAAAGAAAAAAAACCGTAAAGGATTTACAAAACTAAAAGTCATATAATTTTATTTATTTGCTTGAAATTCTGAACGTTCAAATGAACGAACGATTTATTTACTACTTTTTTAATTTCAAAATGTATTATAAAATTTTGCTTTTTTTATTCAAAAATACATTAATAATTAAATATTTTCCCAATTTTTTTATTTTTCATTGTCTGAGTAATTTCAAAAAAAAAAATTTCTAGAATAAAAAAATTATTTCGTTCATTTTGAACGTTCAGAACTTCAGGCACATATTTAATTAACTATACTTATTTTATTAATTGCTCCAATATTAATATTTGTTATTAATTTTTTTTCTAATTTATTTTTGTTGGTATTTTTTGTATTTTTTTTTTTTTTTAATAAATTAGAAGCATAGAACAAAATTTTTACCTTATCGATTAATATTTTCAGAAATGCTTTTAGATACGATTTTTTTAAAGGATATTTCTTTACAATTTCATTATTCACTGTACTGTCTAAAAGTTTCTCTTGCAGGCAAATATTCACTGCTTTAAATCCATTTTCTTCGAAGGACTAAAATAATTTTTAATTTAGAAACAATTATTTTATTATCAATATTTGTATTAATTAATTATAGAATATCAAAAAGTGATTAATTAAGAAATTAAATATTTCAAAACAAAAATTCCATTTATATTGTTGATAATTCAATAAAATTTGCATTTTCTCGAAATTTTTAAACAAAAATTAAAAATACTCGAAGAATAAAGAAAATTGAATGCTTTTTTTTTTAAATAAAAATAATGCAATAAAAAATTAAAATAAAATATAATACAAAAATAATTTTATAAACAATAAATAAATAGGTAATTAACTTACCATAAAGTCGAACTTTTTAAGAGGAGTACAACAGAGAAATTGTTTTTTTATATAATCAATACACAAATCCTCTTGCTCCATTGTTTAAATTAATTTGTTTAATATATTATTATTTTTTACTATTTCTAATTTGTAAATTTCGCGTTTATAATTTAAAAATAAAAAAACAAGTATTTTATTATTCAGATCAAATATTATTTTTATCAAATAAGTAAAGTATAATTTTTTACATTACACAATTAATTGACTCTTAAAAAAATTTGTTAAATAAACAAAATAAACACATAATTCTACATAACCTATTGTAAACAATTAGACAATTATAAACACCGGGCCGACATCTTTGTTATATCACGTGACCTTTCATAAGTCAAAAACATACAAATCGCACATAGAAAGGCAACTCAAATATAGATTTTAACGAGAAATTAATTAATATTTTTATCAAAAAATATACGAATTTTCAATATTACATAGATTCAATTTGAAATTTCCTCCTTTAATCAAGCATTTATTGAATTATTGAATACAAATTATTTGTTTTTTTCTTTTAAATAAAAAATTGTTAAACATTTTCATATATACACATGAAACGGCCAATCTAATCTAAAGAAAACTATATAGTTCATGGCTGTTCTCATAAATTCGTCTGGTACTTTTGACAGATAATGACAATTCGGTATTTTTATGACATTCTGAATGTTCGATTAGCTTTTTCTCATCAAATTACATTAAGTTTACGCGAATGGAATTTTTTTTTTTAGAAATGTACTGTGATTCGTGACACGTGAAAAAGAAATATAATTTATTACATATTTAAAAAACAAATTACCCCGGCGAATTTACATAATAATAGTGTTGCATATTGTCAAAAAGAAAAAAAACCAATATTTCAATTTATATTACTTTAAAGAGTATATAATAGCTAATCGACAATGTTTTAGATATTTTTAATTATAATGATGACATAACGGATAATTTTAAAAGACACTTGTGCCTAGTATTTTCTAAAATTTTTGTGTTTTAATGCTGTGATAGTATTGTATTTTTCCATATATATATATATTAAAAAGAAGAAGAAAAAAATCTCAACATCATGGCATCAGCAGCTGAACAACCGCAGCAGACTACCCTGAATTTTTATCAGGCGATGGCAGACTTTAAAATTATGTTCCCTGAAATGGATGATGATGTAATTGAGGTAATTGTTATTATTCTGTCACTTTATGTCTTTGTCCACTTTTAATGGAGAAATTTTTTTTTATTTTTTTATTTATTAATATTGTCTTTTTATTGTTAACGTATGTGTATTTAAAATATTATATTTTACGCAAATATACGTATTTTTGAAACCATTGATAAAATAATTCAATTACTTAATTTATAGTAATTAATATTAATATTTTTATTATTATTTTATTATTATTTTATTATTTTATTTTTTTATTTTTTTTTATTAATATTTTTGAATATTTATATTATTATTTCAAATTAAAAAAAAACGTACTTTTAAAAACAATTTTTCATTTTTCTTTCTAATTTAGCAAATTTTTTTAATAAACATTATTCACACTATATAAAATTTACAATGAAAAAAAATTTATTTGATTCAAATAATTGGTTATTTGATTATTATCAAATAAGTATTTATTTTTATCAAATAATTATTATTTGAAGGGAATTAAATGGTATTTATTTCAAATACAAAAAATTATTGGTTCAAATAAAATTTATTTAATTCAAATAATAATTATTTGGTTCAAGTAAATATTTATTTGTTAATAGTCAAGTAATCAAGTATTTGAAATCAAATATAAATTTTTTTTCAGTGTAGTATTAATAAACATAAATTGAATATTATTATTTAAAAAATTTTCTAAAAAATTAAAAATTTGATAAAATACAATTATTTAAAAATTTTATATTTTTTTGTACATGGAAAAAAAAGAAAAAGTAATTTTTACTATTTTCATAGTAAAACGGAAACTGTCCGAAGTTTCTGCGCATCTCTGGCAACTTTTACTCCAAAAATCGTAAAATTTTTCTATTTTTGTAGTAAATTTTTACTGTTCCGTAGTAATTTTTACTATTTTTGGAGTAAATTTTACTATTTTTGGAATAAAAGTTACCAGAAATGCGCAGAAATTTCGGACAGTTCCCGTTTTACTATGAAAGTAGTAAAAATTACTTTTTCTTTTTTTCCGTATAGGTAATCAATTAATTTTTAAAATTCAATTATTATTGAAATTAAAAACTTTTTTTGAATGCAATATTATTTTTTAATACACATTTTTCTAAAGTTTTGAACATTATCCGTTTTTTTCCATTTCAATATTTTCTAATAATTATTGTATTCTAATAAAAAATGAAATCCAACATTTATTAAGTAAATAATTCATTTTTTAAATGTGTAAATTAAAATTTTGTACTAAAATACAAATTTACAAAAAATGTAACAAAAAAATTTGTTCATTTGAATTGTTCAGAACTTTAGAGACATAAATTCACGTCTGTTAATTTCACAATGTTTATGATCAACGATTTAGAAGAAAAAATATTTTTTTATGTAAATTAATATAATTTTTTGATTAAAAACATTTTTGAAATGTTTCATCTCAATTAACAGTTTTTGAAAAGAAAAATTTGTAGACCAAAAAATGTTATTTTTTGCATGAAAAAATATTTTTTCCTTTTTTTTCAAACGTTAATTATATTAATTATAATTATATATAAATTATATTAATTACATTTTTAACTTTACCAAAGTGAGAATTTAATAACTTTTAGATGCAATTATTTAAAAAAATACATTTAATTTGAAAATACAATAATTAATTTGATTTCTATTGCAGGTATCGAAGTGACACATTTTTTTACTTTTTTGATACTTTTTTTGACAAGGCTACTTTTTTTTGCTACTAATTTTGGCCGAAAGCCACTAAATGCTAATTTTTTCAAAAAATAATTTTATAAATGACAGAATTCAAGAATTTTAAATTTTAGCGAATTTTTTTTATTCCTAAAGAAGTTGATGATTTATTATTGGCCACGTGAACTACTGCTTTTTAAAAATTGTTTTTTATACGAATTTTCATTTTTCAAAATTGCATTTAACATAATTTCTTTTTAAACGATCTTTTACTCAATAGAATTTTTAATTTGTCAAATTTTTTTTCACAGAATTTTTATTTTACAAAATTTCTCTTTACTCAACCGTTTTATTTTCAAAATAATTCTAATTTAATCGAAATTTAGATAATAATTGAATTTTAGAGTATTTTGAATTGAAAAATAATACCAAGATCTTGATTAAAGTTATTAGAAATAATTATTTCAACAAAAAATTTGAATCAAAATTTTTAATAATAATTGAATTTCAAGAGATTTTTAATTAAAAAATGTTTTATTTAATTGGAATTTTTGAATAATTGGATTGAAATATTATTACTTTAGAAAAGAATTTTAGATACAAATTTTAAAAATAATTGAATTTTGGATTAAGATATTCAGAAATAATTGAATTTTTTGAGATTTTTAATTAAAATTGTTGTTTTAAAATATACTAAATATTTTATATAAGTTTCCGATTCCAAGTTCTAGGATTTAAAAATTCGAATTACTTAAAATTCTATTGAATGAGAATTCAAATAAATTAAAAATAGGTTAAATAATTAGAATTATTTTCAAGAAACAGTTGGGTAAAGAGAAATTTTGTAAAATGAAAATTCTGTTAAATAAAAATTCGATACTTTGAAAATTTTGTTGAGTAAATATTCGTTTAAAAAAAAATTCTGTATTAAATGCTATTTTGTAAAATAAAAATTTATGTGAAAAATCATTTTTATGAAATAATTATTTCATATAGGAGTGTATCATTATAATGATACACTCCTACCGTTATGCCAAAAAACAAAAAGTTGATCGAAATTTAACAATAGATAATTTTTTTTTTTTATAATCATGAGTAAAATGATGTTAATTTTATTACTCAGAATTTTTCTTTCAATTTTTTTAGACATGAAAATATTTACACTTTAACGTCAAATTTAGAAAACTAATTTTACTTAATTTTAAAGATGAACAATTTTTTTGATACTTTTTTTCAATTTTTGTTAATACTTTTTCATATTTTTCTTAGTCTCTTACTACGCTTCGAAGCCTACTTTTGTTTAATTTTGAAAAAAGCCGCTAACTTTCTAATTTACAAAATAATTAAATATAATAATAATAATAATAATAAATAATTAAATATAATTCACGTATGAAAAAACTGAATTTGAGTTTATATTCGAAAATTTTAAATAATTAAATGTAAAATTTATTTTTAATTTATAATTATCTTATTATTTATTTATTTTATTTATTTATCTTCAAAATAATTTTTTTTTTATTATTTAAAATAAAATTGAGCAAATTTTCTATCTCCAAATTGTTAATTTATTTGTTATTATTAAGTTTTTGTTTGGTTTTTTTTTTTTTTTTTTTTTTTTTATTGAGATAAATGAAATATTTTTAATATTTTGATTTATAAAATTTAGTGATTTATTTATTCAGGGAACAATAAATGATAATTTACAGGCAGTATTACGCTCGAATCAGGGGGCAGTCGATACAACGATTGACCAGTTGTTATCAATGAGTACAGATAATGAGAATGAAAAGATTCGCAGTGAATTGGAACAAGACGATGAGGTGCCCGGTGCAAAGGCCGTGAAAACGATAAAATCCGACGCCTCGAGTCGATCGAAAAGCATTCAAAAGTGGAAACCACCATTATTGGGACCATTGCCAGAAACATTTCTTCGTATTCCACAACAAATAATTGAGGGTACTGAAGAATTGGCACTTGATAATTCATTGCTTGAAGACGAAAGAATTGCCATGTTTTTACAAAATGAAGAATTTATGGCTGAATTACGTTGGAACGAAGACTTTTTATCTACCCTAGAGAATGGTTCGTAACCTTTTTTTCGATAAATTTGTTTTTTTTTTTCAATAAATATAATATATTTCATCGTTTTTATTATCATTCAATTTTACATATATACACATCATATTTTTTTTTTGTGATTATTTTGTTTGGAATTTTTAGATACAAAATTACAAGGCACAAAATGTGGAACCACTGCTGGTCATGAGGATGAGGATTTGTTTAAGGAAAGATTACGAAACATGGGAAAAGGTATTTTGAATTTATTACATTTTTAATTGTTTTTTTATTTACAATTTTTTTTAATCACATCAGTCATTAAACTTTTGAAAAAGAATTTATTAATTAAACCAATTTTGTAATAGAGTAAAAATTGAAATTTTAACTTCTTTCACAAATTCACAAATTTTAACACTTTTTTCATCATCCTGAACAATCAATCGTCTCTTCAATTTTCCTTTAATGGAATACGATTCTATAGGTTCGAAAAAATTGATTTTTAATATTTTTCATCGACATTTTTTTTTTTTTTTTTTTTTTTTTAATTTTTCTTATGATTTTGAATAATCAATCGTGTGGATTTAAAAAATTTTTGATAACGTAAAAAATATTTTTAGATCGTAAATAATAACAGAAAAAAATTGTTGCCTAATAGCAAAGAAATTTTCAATAGTTTAAAATTTCAGTGGTCCCTCCTCTTAATTAGATAAATTAATGTTTTTGTACCTTAATTGTTTTTTCAAGAATATAAAAAAGGAAAATGAAAAATATTAAAATTTTTTTTATTTCAGAATATTATATAAAATTTACTATTTTTGATAAAGAAAATTAGATAAATAATAATTTTTCGACTTTTTTTTAACATTTTTTACAAAATTTTTTACAAAATTATTTCAATTATTTCACAAATTTTTAACTGAAATTCTTCTCTAAATTAATTATTTCCAATAATTTTAATGAAATTTTCGACAAATTCAACCTATCATAAATTATTTTTCAATTAAAATTTTATGAAATTCAATAATGATTTAAAATTTTTAAAAAATATCAATATATAAAATTACTAAAAATTTCAATTTAAATTTAAAATCACTTGAAATTCAATTATTTTAACAAATCTAAATTATAAATCTTAGAAAATTTAATTATTTTTAAAAAAGATTATCTAAAATTATTTGATAAATTATATTCAATTCTGTAAAATTCAATTATTATCTGAAATTAAACAATTATTTCAAATTCAATGGTATTTCTTAAAATTTCAACTGTATAGTTTTTTCAAAATTCAATTATTTTTATTAATTTTATTATTTCTTTAGAAATTTTATTATTTCCAAAAGTTTCAAATAAAAACTCGAAAAATTGAATTATTGTCAAAGATTTAAAAAAAAAACTACAGCAGATTAAATTTGCAGAAAATTTCACATTTATAATCTTCTGCAATTCAATTATTAAAAAAAAAAAAAAAATTTAATTAAAAAATCTGTAAAACTTAATTATTGTTCGACCATTAAAAAATAAAATGTATGCCAAAATTAAAAATTTGAAATTGCTTAAATCAGATTTCAAAAAATTTAAAAAATGAAACTTTTAAGAGTTAATTAAAATTAATTAAAACTATTTAATTAAAATTTTGAAAATTTTTCTCAGTTCGATTCTGAAATATTTGAAATAAATTTTTTTTGATGATATTCTAATAGAATTCTTCTTCTTTTGAGGAATTAATAAAATGAATTTAATATCTATAATAACATTAGTTATTTAAAATAAAATATTTATTAACTAATTAAATTTAATTAAAATCGAAGTAACAGTTTTAAATAAAATATTTCAATTTATTTTTATAAACACTCTATTCTATGTAAATCTAGAGAAATAAACTAAAACTATGTGAGAATAGATCCTTTGAGGGAAAAAAAAGACTGATACCTAAGTCCCCACCATAATAACAAACAATTAAGACATTGTTAGAAATAAGCAATAAATATTTCGAGTAATTTTTATTGACCTCCAGATATAATCCTCGTAGTGCCAAACATTACATAGGCCTCTAATAATAATAATAATAATAATAATAATAATATTAATAATAATTATTATTATTATTATTATTATTATAATAATAAAAATTAATTAAAATTTTTATTCACAGTTTCCCGTCGCAAATTTGCACAATTAACGAAAGTTTTTACACGAAGCAAGAAACGAGGTGGTCGTCAGTTATTGCCACCAACAGCATCATGCGATGATCTTTTGGATCCCGAAGAATCGTCCAGACCTCGAACTTAAGACTTGAATAAATTTGAAATTCATTCATTTTTTTTTTTTTAGTGCCATTCGTCGACGGGATGGTGAAACCAATTTTTTGATTTTTCAACAATCATAATTCCCGTTGTTTTCAACTTTGTGATTTTTTTTTTCTGTTTGAAGAGCTTTAAATGTGTTTAGGTAAGTTAAACAAATTTTTAGAAAATGGTTAAGGGGGTTTTTTTTTATTGTTTTATTTACATATATATTTATTTGAAATTTTTTTTTTTTAATATTTGAAAAACATTTTTAAATTGTATGTGCATTTTCCATGACATTTAATATTATGGAGAAGATAAATTTTATTGATCAATTATTAACTGACTGATTTTTTTTAAGATTTAAAAAATTTTTTAACTTGTTTTATTTTTACGTGTATATCTGTAAGTTTTTAAAAGATCTGTTTTTTTTCTTTCTTGAAAAAAAGACATATTACATATGTATAAATATATATGATCTCTAGATTTAAAAAATGAAAGGCTAATAAATAGGAAAGTTGCGTTTTGAAAGAAATTTTAACTCGTATGAATATTATTAGGAGAAAAGGGATGGGAGCACCAGTAAAATAAAAAAAAAAATTTTTACATTTATAATTTTTCAATAATCTCTATTTCTAATTAGAATGAAATTTAAAAAACATATATATTTAACATTGAAAATTGATTTAAATTGAAAATTTTAATGCTAATTATTGCGAATTTCGATGAATTTAAATTTCATGGGTGCTTCCTAGTTATAATTAAAATTAAGAGAAATAAAATTTTAGCGAAACAAAAAGTGTTGAGACTAAAAAATGATTCCAAAAAAAAAGGGCTTTGATTTAGATTTTTAGAAAATGAAAACAACCTAGTCAACGAGTGTCTGTAGCTAATTATTGTTTTCGTTCACAATTTATAAAAGCGCAACGAAAAAATTTTTGTAATTTTTATTTTTTTTTTCAATTATTTTCTATTTTAAAAGTAGTACAGGGTTTTAATTCTTAAGTCGTTGCAAAAAAAAAAAAAAAAAAAAAAAAACGAGGAAATAACCACTTTAAAAATTTCCATGATTTGCAAAATTCACGTCTAAAATAAAATAATTGAAATACAAAATTTTAACAATTGAAAAATGATAAAAAAATAAATAAAATTAAAAAAACATATCGTTACACCGAACATTTTTTACATCTTAGAATTTTTAAAAAGTGGTTAATCCTTCGAGAATCAGTTTTTAAAATAATATCCCAGTGGCATATTACCTGTTAATGTAGAAATATTTACACGAATCATATTGGTATATAGATATTTATATATTATAGGTATAATAATAGAATTACGTAGATATATGCAAAAAAAAGACAACTTTTTACAAATAATATTATAATTTTCCATATTTCAATTCTCAAATTATTAAAACAAAAAAAAAAATTTTATTTTGTTGATAATTTTATTTTTGTTTCAAATATTATTTTGTAAGACTGGTAAAACGTAAAAAAAATCATAAAAGATAATTATCTAAACAAAAAAAAATTTGTAAGAGAAAATGTTTTAATTTTCCTTTTGAAAATACATAATTTTTTTTTTTCGTATCGTCCTGTTGTAAAGAAGCGATCGTAAAAAAAACAATAGAATGTGATAGTATTTAAGAATAAAATAACAAAAAAACGGGATAGTAAATAAAAACTATCTAGAAGTAATTGTGATTTATAAAATATAATATAATAATAATAATAATAATCAGTTTACAAGGTTTACATATTGTTATCGTAAACACAATTATATCGCATCGAGAATATAAAAAAATAAACTGAAACTGAAACAGTTCAAAATTTGTTATTTCTTTATTGAAATATTAATTTCATCACTGAAATTGTGTGTCTGTAAAATAGGAATTATTTCAATCATTATAAAAAAATTTTCTTTTAAATATTAACCATATTTTTGCAGTTTTATCTAAACTTTGTTTTTTCAATATATATATAAGTTGAATTTTATTTAGAAAAACAGTTTCGTTGATATTTTTTCTGAAAAATAATTGTTAAATATTCATTATTATTATTAAATGAATAAATATATTAATTAATATATTGAATTCTAATTGTATAAATAATAAATTCTTTATAAAATATCAATATTTTCCACGTCAAACAGACGTTAATATATATATTACAATATTATAATACAAACATGTGTATCAATTTAATAATTTAAATGACAAATTATCATCTATATAATAATCGATTTTTTTTTAATTATCAACTTCATTGTTTCAATTTTAATACAAAATTCAGTGTAATAGAAAAATATAATTTCAAGCCTGAAGAATAATTAAATTTAGAAATTGAATTTTGTTTCTAATTTGCAAAACAAAATTAAATTCATACCGGGCATCACAGTACCTTTTCTCCTCAAAAAAGGGAAATTTTTTCCTGAAAAAAAAGGGGGGAAAAAATATAACAAATAACAAATTAAAATGTGTAAAAGTCAGGGAATTTAATTAATTTTCTGGAATTTTTTATGAATAAATTAAAGTAACTATTAGTTTCATAAATTTTTTCCCTTTTTTTCCAAAGCAAATGCAAATTAAAATGTTGTCCTTCACATTGAATTATTAAGCATGTGATATATCTTATATTCATTAAATAAATAATTATTTACTACTATTTATTGAATCTAATAAATGATTTTTTAAACTTGGATAACAATTAATTAATTTTTTTGCAGTGAAATATTTGGTTTTTTTAATAAAAATAAAAATTATTTGATACAATTTTATTTTATCGGTTCAACTTCAAATAAAGTAAATTATTTATTAATACGAATAATTTTTATTATTTTATGCTAATATTATTAATTTAATAACTTCTTTTTAGATAATTAAAACAAATATTTTGTAATAAAATTAGTACTTAAAGAAGTTGCAAAATAAATTTCGTTCATTTGAACGTTTAAAACTTTTGTCTCATAATAAAAACTTTGTTAATTAAGAATTTTGTTAAATAGAAATTCTGTTAATTGTGGATTTATTCAATGACAATTCTGTTAAGTAAATATTTTGATAAATCGAAATTTACTAAAATAACAATTCTGTTGGAAAAGTTTTTCTTTATGCAATTTTTCTTAACATAAATTCCGTTAAATTGAAATAATTTGAAATTCGATGTACTAGAATATCTGCTTTATTTAATTTTACTAAATAAAAATTTGATAATTTAAGATTTGTCGCCGTAAAAATTTTTTTTTTAAATTAAATGTTGAGAATATTTATACGTCTCCAATTAGTTTATTTATTTCACTTAAATATGTATTATTTTGTTTACGAAACATTATTTATTTGGTTCAAACACATTTGAAATTAGTGGATAATAGACAGGTGAATGATTTAATTGTATCAAAATAAATTTTATTTGATCAAAATAAAAATTTTTTAGTTGAATTTAGGTCAGGGAAAAGTCAGGGAATTTTTTTTCCTAGCAGTTGTTAGACATCCTGAGTAACATAAAAAATTTTAGTTAAATTGTAAATAGTATAACAGTAGAAAAAAAATAGTGAAGTAAATAATAAATATTGCAGAATTAATACAACATGGAAAATCAATTTTTTTACACTTCGATGGATTTTTATATTATAAGCATTCAAATAAGAAAAACAATGTAAAATATTGTCGTTGAAGAAAGAATTTTCAATATTTAAATTAAATAAATTAGTATGTTATAAACATAATTCAAAATATTTACAAAAAAAATTCTACATTTTTGTTATTTAAAAAAAGTGAAAAGGGGAACAAATCATCAAAAAAAAAGGGAAAAAAGGGTGACAAATCATCAAAAATAAGTACAAAAAGGTAAAAAAGGAACTGTGATGCCTGTCATATAAATTATTAAAATTTTTGTTTCAATAAATCGCATAAATCGCAACGGTCTTTTTTTTTTTAAAATAAATAGCCTCTAATTTTGATTTTAAAAACTGAATTTCAATTTCAAATAAAATTACGAATCAGGTTGTTTGAAAAATATTCTTGCACCCGACAAACTATAATACAACAATTGAAATTCATCGCTTCTATCATTTAATCGTTTTAACGTTAATGCACGTGTCTGTTGAAGTTTTTCATCTTGACAATCACTTTTACCCTCAGTTTGTTCTCTTTGCGCTTTTATATATTTATTAACAGTTTCAAACCACTCCAATCCATCAAGTTCATTACTCTGATTTAATAATGCATTTATATAAGCAACGCCCATTGCAAATCCATCATCTGTAAATGCAGCGCCAGTTTTATCTTTTTTAAATAATTTCTCCTTATTCGCCACTGCATTATCAACAAAACTCAATGTTAATGGCGGTAAAATTGCATAAAATTGTTGTAAATGAAATGATTTAATATCACGAAATGCCGATGAAAAAACATCGACCAACAATTTAAAATATTGTATACCCTCTTTAAAATTTCTCACAAGATTTTCAATATCGTCCTCTAATCTTTTGGCAGCAGCTTGCGTTGTTTTTGAATAATTTAAATTTTTACACATCATTTCAAAATTCACCTTTGAATTGATATCGGGTAAAAATGAAATTGCATTTGAACACGCGTGCATACCACCTGATCTTATTAAACGTACATAACCCAATGCATTGCCAATATGAGTGATTAATAAACGAAATTGATCAAGATAACTTAAACCATCGGCAGACATTCCTAATTTACGTATTCCTTTTTGAAATTTCTCAGCTCTCTCATAGGGATAAGGTGAAATTGCATTATTTTCACGTTGTAATTTTATAAAACGAATATCGCGCATCAAACGCGATTTAATGTGTTCATCAAATAAAAATTGTGAAAATGTATGTAATTTAATGCGTAAAAATTGATAAACAAAATTTACAGTCGTACTCATTATTCCCGTACCATGTGTTCTTATTGAATTTGCAATATGTCTTATTCCAATTGTATTTAAATGTTTACTTGCACTTGTATGCTCAATAAATGTTTGTGTATGTAAATTATAAAGATATTTCGAGACAAAAATTTGTATTTTTCTCATTATTTCTAATGCATCGAGTCCCTGCTCCAATGTTTGTGTTGGTAAATGATTTTTTATTGTCTCAAGACCAAATTTATATTTTGCCAATGCATGCATTGTACCATAACTTTTCCAATCGTGTAATGCAACTGTTGTTAAATTATAAAACATATCATCCAAATAGTGTTCAACAAATCTTTTTACCGATATTAATTTATTATCATTAACCAATGGCATTGATCTCACAAGTCGACTACTATTTTTTGCACCAATTTTAAATGGATTCGTTGAATCTGGCTTAAAATGTGTATGAACATCGAGACGAAGATTTATTTCAATTTCACGACTACACGCAGGTTCAAGAATATTTTTCATTAACATTTCCTTTTGATCGATAATTTTTGTACCCGTTTTGGCAAATTGTCCATGACGTATTATTGCCGTTTGAAATGCATCGAATAAATGTATAATGTGACTTATATTTTGATTACTTTCAAAAACAGTTGTTAAATAAGCGGCAAGCATATTTTGATGATGCATTAGAACAGAATAATCGCATGTGTGACAAATACGATCGTAAAGTTCGGCAATTGTATCATAATTATCGAGATAGAGTCGTAATTTAATGACATCCTCGTCTTTAAAACTATCGGTCAATTGACTTGCACAAGCGAGTGAACAACGTACAATTAAACGACGATCTGCGGTTGCAGCACCACTCATTAAACGCATACTCAAACCAATTAATGACAATGCATCGAGTCTCTCGCGTCTATAGCCCTTGTCCTTTTGTGTTAGGCCTTTACGAATTGTATCTAAAATACGAAGAATATAATAACTCACTTGCTGCAATACTTTACATTGTGATTGTACTATTACTGGTCCTAATGTGTGAAATGTTGTTTCCAAACATTTTTGCACTTCAATTAATCTGAAAAAAAATTTTTAATCATTTAATTTTTTTTTTTTTTTAAAGATTAAATTGAAAATTTGAAAAAAATATTATGGGTAAGTCCACGTTAGAAATATCAGAATCTGCAAGTGGTTCTTCGATTTTAATGATATTTGGTAAAATTATAGCTTTATATAAGAGCAATGTGTGAGTAAAAGGAATTTTTAAAATATCTAAAATTCAGGCTTCGCACTCATTAGTCAGTAAAAAAATAGTAGCAAAAAGTAGCCTGAAAAGTAAAAAAAGTAGAAAAAAGTAGCCTACGGAAAAAATTAAAAATATGTGTAGTTTATATATTAAATTGTATTTAATTTAAAAAAAATTAAATTTCAACACTTAATTTACATAATAATTTGCATAATACTTAGTTTTTAAGGTATTAAAATTAAAATTATACCATAAAAGTAAAGAATTTTCGAACATTTAAATGGCAAAAGAGGTAATTACAAATTTTTGCCTCAATCCATTATATTTTATATCAAAAGTCGTTAAGGCCTAATTTTTTAAAAAATAGATACTTTCCGAAATGATTCTGGATGATATTTAGAGAACGAAATAAAAACAATTAAGTCAAAATTTTTATTATTTATTTTGAAATATGAGTTTAAAATGGAGAAGATATGGAAAACTCACTTTTTCAACAATTAGAAAGATTATTAAAAATATAGACAACTCTTTTAAAATGTACAATGTATTACTGACTCTTGTTCAGAATTAATTTATTTATTATCTTTTATTGATTACACAGCGTCAGAAAAAAAATTAATTTTGTCCGGCGAAATAGACTAGTCATTCTTACGTCTTATTGTTAGTTCTTAGAGATAATCGCAAAAATCTGATAAAAATCCTGAATTAGGGACAAAGATAATTTTTTGCCGAAAGACTACGATATTGTATTTCCATGTACATTGTACTTTTTTCCACTGAATTCGAATTCAAAGTCAGAATTGAGAGATTAGCTTAAATTTTGGAGATAATGCCAAAAAACTGTTTTTTTTTTTTGAATTTTTTGCAATTATCTCAAAACATTTCAGCAAATCTAACAATTCTAACTTTGGATTCGGAATCAGTGGCTAAAAATACATGGAATTACACTATCGCAGTGTCATAAAAAAATTTTTCACTTTTTGATTTTTTTTCTTTTTTAAGCAGTTTTTTGAGTTTATCTCAAAAATAAGAGCCAACTTTTAAATTCTGACCCCAGATTCTGATTCAGCGATCCAAAATATGTAAGAATGACTAGTCTATTTTGCAGGACAAAATTTTTTTTGTGGGGGTTTGTTAATTAAGTAAAAAAATGAAAATAATAGATAAAATATGTTTTCAAAGTTGATCTGTGAAAGTAAGTAAGTTTAAACAGCACACAAAAATGACAAAAAAATTTGATCTAGCGCATTAACATTTATGTAAAACTGTGAAAAATAGCCGATTATCTATGTATATTTCGGTGGTGGGGATAAAACACTCTATTTTCTTAATTTCTAGTTTTTTATTTATCTAGTTTATTTTTATTTAGATATTTATTTTTATCTAGTTTCTTTATTTTTTTCTAATTTCTAGAAAATTTTAAAATCTTTAAGTTTTTAATTAATATTTATTTAGGCATATTTGAAATTTAAAGAACTGATTTGATACCAATTTTTCAGTTTTTCATAAATTTAAATGGGTTAAAGTAACCGCAAGATATTCAGCACTTTATAGATCCAATTTTTGTGTGCTATTTAAAATTACTTAAAACCATATACAGGTTTTGAACTCATTAGTCGGCAAAAAAGTAACAAAAAGTTGTCTAAGTAGTGGAAAAGTAGCTTTTAGTAGCCTAAGGATGAAAAAAGTAGCCAACCATCAAAAAAGTAGCAAATAGTATCTTTTAGTCGAAGAGTGCGAAGCCTGAAAATTGTAGGAGTTATATCACTTTTAATTTTGATACTGCATTTTTTTCTTTCCTTTATATCTCGGTCAATTTTCAACCGATTTTGATGAATCAAAAACGATTTTTTTTTCAGAAAATTACGTATTTTCAGAAAATTTTAAAATAAAAATAAAATTTTCTTATTTAAATAGAAAAAAGTAAAAAACAAAATTTCTTTTAGATTTTTTTTCAATTTCGACCTCTTTTTTTTAATTTTTAATTTTTTAATAATATTCCTTTTTATTTTATCTTTAATTTAAAAAAAAAATTCATCCTGGAGACTTTTTTTAGATATCGTGATATCGTCCTTTAAGTATTATAAGTCTTCATCAATTTGAAAACCGTAGGACTTGCTTCTATCATTTCTTTCATTTGTTTGTTGAAATTTTTTATGGTTATGAATAACTATTTGTTTTAGAATCCTCTAAAAGAAAGCGCTAAAAACTTCAGCTACAATTTCAGGTTGCATTGTTAAGGTTTCATTACAATTTATTTTAAATTATAAATATTACAAAAAATAAAAACTTTGCTTCAAATCTATTAATAAAATATTGATTTGCTTGAATTTTCACTTGTTTTAGTCAAGTAATTTCAAAATAAAAACATTATTACGCGAAAGTTTCTAGTTTGTAACAATAATATTATAAAACAAATGAAAGTAGAAACACAAATCTGGATCCTAGTTTTCTTGAGAAGTGGATATTTAAAGAACGATATCACGAGATCTAAAAAAGTCTCCAGGATGAATTTTTTTTTTAAATTAAAGATAAAATAAAAAGGAATATTATTAAAAAATTAAAAATTAAAAAAAAGAGGTCGAAATTGAAAAAAAATCTAAAAGAAATTTTGTTTTTTACTTTTTTCTATTTAAATAACAAAACTTTATTTTTATTTTAAAATTTTCTGAAAAAAATCGTTTTTGATTCATCAAAATCGGTTGAAAATTGACCGAGATATAAAGGAAAGAAAAAAATGCAGTATCAAAATTAAAAGTGATATAACTCCTACAATTTTAGATATTTTAAAAATTCCTTTTACTCACACATTGCTCTTATATAAAGCTATAATTTTACCAAGTATCATTAAAATCGAAGAACCACTTGCAGATTCTGATATTTCTGACGTGGACTTACCCATTATTAAAAAAATAATACCTGCAAATCAGTTGAACAGTATTCCGTGTCATTGGTTTCGATAGAGCCGCATGTAAATTTGTGATAAAAATCACATTTTCCCTAATCAGTCTCATTATCAATAAAACTTCCTTAAGTAAAAAACATTGTCGTTCTATTTGTAAAACTTGAAATCCATTTTTATAGATAATACTTTGAATTTGTATGGTCCAAAGCATTGCGCGATGTATCAATGAATTTGCCGTTGACGATAATTTTTGTGTTTTCATTAAAAGAATTTTCTCACCCACTTGCACTCCAATTGAACTTACACTATCTTTAGGCATAAAATCTTCCAAAAATTTATTTGGTATCCACAATACATTCCCCGATAATGTGAGTGCATAATATTTTTTATTAATCTCATGAATTCTTTTAATTAATTTTTTATCATTAGTGCCAAAAAATTTTGAACCAACAACAATTCCAATATTAACACGTGCCCAATTTCGATCTAAATGATAATTCTCATTATTTTTTGTTTCAATGTCAGTTGTTGTATTTCTTAAAAATGACAAAAAATGATCGGCCATTATTGAATTTTTATTTATATCCATTGTACGTTCAATTGCCTTTAAAAATATTGTTTTCGACAATAATTGATGATGTAATTCTTTAAGTAAATTTTCAAATGTTACCAAACGTGTTTCAGGAACTGCAAATTGTGTTGTATTGTGAAAAACAGAACGCACTTGAATACGATATTTTTTCCAACGCGACGCAATTGACGATTGAGAATCAATTATTTCGTCTAGAGTTACCTGTAAATGAAATTAATTGCAAAAAATATTATTAAATATTTATTTCAAGCTTCGAAGCATTAGTAAGAGATTAAGAAAAATATAAAAAAGTATACTCAAAATTGAAAAAAAGTATCAAAAAAATTGTTCATCTTTAAAATAAAGTAAAATTAGTTTTCTAAGTTTCACGTTAAAGTTTAAATATTTTCTTGTCTAAAAAAAATTGAAAGAAAAATTCTGAGGAATAAAATTAATATCATTTTTCTCATGATTATTTTAAAAAAAACTATCTATTGTTGAATTTCGATTAATTTTTTGTTTTTGGCACAACGGTAGGAGCGTATGATTATTCCATAAAAATGATTTTTCATACAAAGTTTTTATTTCACAAAGTAGCATTTAATACAGAATTTTTATTTTACAAAATTTCTCTATACCCAAAATTGTTTCTTGACAAAGAATTCTAATTTAACCTATTTTTAATTTATTAGAATTCTCATTCAGTAGAATTTTAAGTAATTCGAATTTTTAAATCCTATAACTTGGAATCGGAAGCTTATATAAAATATTTAGTATTTTAAAACAACAATTTTTATTAAAAATCGCAAAAAATTCAATTATTTCTAAAAATCTTAATCCAAAATTCTATTATTTTTAAAATTTTTATCTAAAATTCTTTGCTAAATTAATTTTTATTCAATTCTCAAAAAATTCAATTACTTCTAAAAATCTTAATCCAAAATTCAATTATTTTTAAAATTTTTATCTAAAATTCTTTGCTAAATTAATTTTTATTCAATTCTCAAAAAATTCAATTATTTCTAAAAATCTTAATCCAAAATTCAATTATTTTTAAAATTTTTATCTAATATTCTTTGCTAAATTAATTTTTATTAAAATTCTCAAAAAATTCAATTATTTCTAAAAATCTTAATCCAAAATTCAATTATTTTTAAAATTTTTATCTAAAATTCTTTGCTAAATTAATAATTACAATCCAATTATTCAAAAATTCAATTAAATAAAACATTTTTTCTTTAAAAATTCTCTAAAATTCAATTACTGTATGAAACTTTGTTAATAATTTTCAGCAATTTTAATTTACAAAAATTTTAATTCAAAATCTCCTAAAATTCAATTATCATTAAAAATTTTTTGTTGAAATAATTATTTCTAATAACGTTAATCAAGATCTTGGCATTTCAATTATTTAAAACATTTTTCAATTTAAAATACTCTAAAATTCAATTATTGTCTGAATTTCGGTTAAATTAGAATTATTAAAAAAAAAAACCGTTTGAGTAAAGAGAAATTTTGTAAAAGAAAAAATTCTATCAAAAAAATTTGACAAATTAAAAATTCTGTTGACAGGGTGACAAATCTTAAATTATCAAATTTTTATTTAGTAAAATTAAATAAAGCAGATATTCTAGTACATCGAATTTCAATTTAACGGAATTTATGTCAAGAAAAATTGCATAAAGAAAAAATTTTTCAACAGAATTGTTATTTTAGTAAATTTTGATTTATCAAAATACTTACTTAACAGAATTGTCATTGAATAAATACACAATTAACAGAATTTCTATTTAACAAAATTCTTAATTAACAAAGTTTTTATTATGAGACAAAAGTTTTGAACGTTCAAATGAACGAAATTTTATTTGCAACTTTTTTAAGTACTAATTTTATTACAAAACATTTGTTTTAATTATCTAAAGAGAAGTTATCTTAATTTAATAATTGTTTAATTTATTGTTTTATTTTATATTGTCATCATCATTTTTAATAATTTATAGATTGAAAAAAATATTTCGTTCATTTGAACGTTCAGAACTTTTGGCTCATTTTTTATTAAAGAAAATTTTAATTCCAACTAATTCTTATTTAACAGAATTCTTATTTAAGAAAAATTCAACTTAGTTCTTGTTTTTTGTCAATTTTTATAGACATAAATTTCATTAAATTGAAATTTTATTAATTTAAAATTTTTAAAAAGTATTAGAAAAAATGCTTTATAAGAGTTCTGCTAAATAGAAATTCTTTTAAATCGAATTTTAGTTAAATGTAAATTGAAAATTTTGCATAATATAAAATTCACTTTATACAATTTTGCTAAACAGAAATTAGATAATTTAATATTCGACACCGTAAAAATTTTTATAAGTTAAATGTGGGTATTAGCATTAAATAATAAAATTTATTCGTATTAATGAATAAATAATTTACTTTATTTGAAGTTCAACTGATAAAATAAAATTGTATCAAATAATTTTTACTTATTTTAAAAAACCAAATATTTCACTGAAAAAAATTAATTAATTGTTATCCAAGTTTAAAAAATCATTTATTAGATTCAATAAATAGTAGTAAATAATTATTTACTTAATGAATATAAGATGTATTTAAAGAAATAATTTTTTAAACTGAAAAATTCTATAATTTTTTGCCTAAAAATTATTTCTTGTAGTTTTCATTAATCAACAAATTATAAAAAAATATTTTTTAGGCAAAAAATTATAAAATTTTTCATTTTTAAAAATTATTTCTTTAAAAATCGTTTATATAAACGTTGCGTACTTCAGCTTCGTAATAAAATTCGCTAAAATTTAAAATTCTTGAATTCTATCATTTTTAAAATTATTTTTTTTGAAAAAAGTAGCATTTAGTGGCTTTCGGCCAAAAACGAAGCTGAAGTACGCAACGTTTATTATAAACGATTTTTAAAGAAATAATTTTTTATGTATTTTGAAAAATTCTATAACTTTTTGTCTAAAAAATATTTTTTTAATTTAATTTGAATTATTTTTTTTTTTATTTAAAAAAATGTAATTTGTTCATTACTGAAAACTACAAGAAATATTTTTTAGGCGAAAAATTATAGAATTTTTAATTTAAAAAAATTATTTCTTTAAAAATCGTTTATCATAAACTTTGCATACTTCACCTTCGTGTCCAATACTAGTATAGTAAAAAATTAGCCTTGTCGAAAAAAGTATCAAAAAAGTAAAAAAGTGTGTCACTTCGAAGCCTGTGTTTACAAATAAAAAAAAAGAAAAAAAAACTCACCAAAATTAGGAACAAATCCAAAAGATGTTCCATCAAAAGAGGAAGATAAATTTCATGTGGATTCTCAGATAAACTCGACAATTGTTGAACTGTTAAATGAATAACAGTGTAAATTCGATTAATATATGTTGAAAGATCTTGTAAATCGGCAAGAAGACTTCCAATATTGCCATTATTATGATCTAAATTTAATTCACCTTGGGCAAATAGTTTATTGTGAAAATTTATAGATTCTACTTTGAGCATTCGTATTTCCCTACAAGTACCAGCGACAGATGCTAAAATTTTGGAAAATAATTTATTTTCCGTTTCAACCAATGATAAAAGACTAATATCCTCAACTGGCCTGTAAACAATTCTAATCGGTCCTTCAATAACATTTTCCAATGATGATAAATCATTGCATGCAGTTTCGGCTAATTTCTCAAAAAATTGTCCATATTTTGCAAGTTGAGCAGCTCCAGCCGCTTTATGCACAGATTCATCGCGTCTTGGATTCCAAGATGCCGATTCAATCATTTTCGAACTTTTGAGTAATTATATATAATAATAAATTGTTTAAAAAAAATGTCTTCTTTAGAAAATATATTATTGTTCTTTTTTTTTTTCTAGGTTAGATTGTTATTTGTATAAATAATTTTACATTTTCTTATTTGGTTAATTATTCATTTGTTAGCTAATCAGTGATATTATCATGACAATGTATTTTAATAGGCAGATAAGAGGAAAAATCGTAAAAATAACCGATATTTGTTTTGACATTTGGGGTTTTCTTTCTGTTAAAATACGAAAAAGTTGTATATAGACACGTGAAACTAGTTTTGTTGATTTATCAATTAATTTTTGCACTAATTACTCACTTTTTACACACTACTTCTTGATTCTATTCTATTTTCTTTTTATAATTCTTTCTTTTTTTTAAATTGCAAAATTTATAATCTTACTACTTTTCTAAACATTCTATGAATTGAAGTTAACGTTTAAAACAGAAAGCAGGGCTACCAACAAGAATGCCGGGAAAAAAATTAAAGCCACCAACCCTCTAGAGAAAAAAGTCACCGACAAACTGGACAAATAAACAAATACATGCCTCACTCTGGTCTTATTTCATTGGTCAAAATAGTGTAAATTAAGAGGTGCTTATGGGCGGTATTCATAGTCGATACTTATTTCTTAAGCAGCGACTTAAGCTGACACCTAGATTCATAGTCGCGCATTGTGGATTGACTTAAGCCGCAACTTAAGCATTTGCTTAAAGAAGTAAATGCTTTTGATTTTGAGATGCAGAGTCCCATCTTAAGAGTGCCAAGTATTCATAGTCAAATAGGATTTTCTTATTTGACATTACCGGTGAACTTATTTGAACGAAATGAGGTTATGATTTAAAGTCAACGTTTTAGTTGACTTAAGCAATAACTTATTAGTGTATTTATAGTGAAAAAAGTGTTAACTATGGATATAATAGATTATTTAAGTGACATTGAGGATAATATTGATAATGAAGATGGTCCGAACAATATAAGACGTGCAAAACGATACATTCGAGATGCGGAAAATCCTTTTGAAATAGATGAGTGGGAGTTTCAGAGACGTTATCGTTTTTCAAAAGATTCTGTGTTAGTTGGTATTTTGCCTGAAATACAGGCAGGGCTAATTAAACATAATAATCGTGGTTTACCCATTGCACCACAACTCCAACTACTTCTCTGTTTACGATATTTCGCAACTTCAAGTTTTCAGGTAATTTAAAATTTTTATTTATATATAGACCCATATACTATTCCAAATAGAATATTCCTTGTATGAAAAATCAACGATTCTAATTTTTTTTACAGATTTTGCGCTATATAATAAAAATAAGTAACTTTTATTATTAGAAATTAAAAAGAATCTGTAACCTTTACATTTGTTAAACTTGAATATGTTTGACTTATTAGTATAACCTCAAAGCTAAAAGTAGTTTTTAACAGAACTGAAAATATATTTGAAATTGATTTTATCTAATTTTAAATAACATTTGTACAATTTTGAAACAAAATTTATTGTTAAATAATAAAACAAAAATTAACATTTTGTGTTTTTTCTTAAAAATTACATCAAATTTTTTAAAAATAATATATAGATTATTTTACTCTATAAAAGATTTTCTATAATTCTACTTGTTGAATTTTGTTGGCAAATTTTTTTTCGAAAGTTATAAATATTCTTTTATGTGATAGGAGTGTAAAATTTAAAAATTTATTTAATGTTATATTTTCGCAGCTTGTTCTTGCCGACACTATGAAGATTTCTCAATCAACTGTCTCAAGAATTGTTTTTCGTGTCGCCACGTTGCTTGCCAGTCTCATTAATTTATATATTAAAATACCAGCAACTGGTGATGCCCGAAATGAGAATCATCGTTTGTTTAACGTTTTAGGAAGAGGGCATGGAGCAATAGGACTTCCTCGTGTTGATGGAGCGATTGATTGCACTCACGTTAAGTTAGTCGGCACAAGGTTTAACCAGATTGAGGAAATGTTTAGAAATAGAAAAGGTTATTTTTCACTTAATGTACAAGTAGGTATACTAATGATGACTGTGAGGATTTTTTTTAATATTAGTAGAAAATTTATTTTTGACAAAAATTGTGAATAGTTTTTATATTATTGTACAATTTTTTGTAGGCTGTTGTTGGACCCCGAATGGAGTTTCTCGACATTGTTCCGGAATGGCCAGGTAGAGCACATGACAGCCGTATATTTCAGAATTCGTTAATTCACATGCGTTATATTCAAGGACAATTAGATGGGATTATTGTAGGTGATAAAGGATATCCCTGTTTGCCTTTTCTTATGACACCTCTCAGAAATCCTCATACTGAAGAAGAAATCATGTAAGTATTTAAATTGTTTTCACATCAATATAAGTTAATTTGCTGAAGATAAAACTTGACATTTGTGTAATATTAAATTGTTTCAGGTATAATGAAATTCAAATACGAACGAGAATAATTGTTGAGCGAACTTTTGGTGTATGGAAGCGAAGATTTCCATGTTTGGCACGGGGAATGTCAACTAAGCTTATTTGTTCAACAACAACTGTTGTTGCATGTGCTGTTTTGCATAATATGGCATTACGTTTCAATGACATATTAGAAGATGATGACTTACAAGAATATGAAGAAGTTCCTGTACCTAATGCAGAAAATATAAATATGGATGGAGAAGTCGCACGTCAGTTACTAATTCACCGTTTATTCAATGGATAATAAGTAATAATTTGGAATAAAAAATTATTTATTTCAATATCATATTTTAAAAAGAAAAACCATTACATTAAAATATTTTATGTACATATTTCAATAAAATCTTTTCTTCACAATAAATAACATTGATAATATTTTTACAGCTTTACTTCATTTCACTTCAGAATAAAAATTTGTTTAATAATCTTAAATGTAAATATAAAATTAAATATAATATGATATAATAAAATATAATTCATAATATAATGGAATGTATAAATATATAGTTAAATATAAATAAATCTAAAAATAGTATAAAATCTTGTGTAATAAATTGTCTACTAAAATATAAAATGTTCACTTAATACTGTTAATTGTACTAGCTTTGGAATAAAATAATTTAAAAGAATAGGAAATAAGGTTTTTAAAAAAATAACATAAGTTAAAAACTCGAAGCATAAACAATACATCTCAATTCACAATGGTGTAAGCTCTATTGCCTGTGTTAACCGCATTTCCGCCAATTGAGCTTCTGCTTCGGCTTTACGAATTTCTAATTCGTGGATTTTTTTTAAATGCTCCATTTCTAACTTCTGTTTTCTAATTTGGTGCTCCAATTTTAACGAAAGCAGCTCTTCCTCTTTTTTCATTATATTCAACAAACGCTCAGTCTTTTTCGTCTCCTTATCAAGCTTTTGCTTGTCTACTTTACTACTTGCTGTAGAGCGCACTATGTCCAATTTTTCATAGTCGAGCATGGACTCCTTGCTCATGCACCTCCTTTTCACAGACAAAGGAGTCGATGTTTGTGAACAATTAATTTCATCTTCTTGAAAACGTCTCTTTTTAACATCAATCACAGAAGATGCCGTGTTCAAAAGGAATGAAACCTCTGATTCCTGAATCTCAGAATTAGAAGTTACAACATTTCTGAGGGACTCTGTTGATACTTCTTCATCATCAAAAACTGCTTCTCGACGTTCTAAAATACAAAAATGATTAGATTATAAATTATTAATAGTATATCTATTTTAAACTTACAACCCGAAAAATACATTACCATTTATTAAATCTTCCGAGAAGTTTGATGAAAAATATGATGGCGCAGTGGCCATTAAATCAGGAACTATAGCGGCTATATCTGGGTCCACTTCAGCAACATTTATTGGAACATTTAAGTTTCCCGTTGCCATTACATCTTGCTTTTCCTGAGTTAAAGCATTTCTCTGCTGCAGCTTCATGTTGCTCCACATTTTTTTTAACTGTTTAACCGACCTCTGCAAAAAAAATTTTTTTTAGAAATTTCAAACTTTAAACATTTAATTTGTTTAGCACAATTAATTATTTTTACCTGCTCTGCAATAAGTACTGAGCCATTGTATTTTTCCTCGATTTCACTCCACGCAGCCTCTTTAGCTTTCAAGGTGGAACAATCGCTTTTGCGATTTTCAATAACATGGGAAAATCTTTTGATAATTTCCAGGAAAAGTTTTCTTTCCGTATTGGTGTAATGCTTTTTAGACATTTTATTACTAAAAAAAAGTTTAATTAATTAGTATTAAAATTTAGTATTATTTATAATAATTTAATTATTTATTGTTTACAAATTTTATATTCCATTATCTTTTGATTTTAATATATAATTTAAGGGACTGAAAGAAGAAGATTTATTTGGATACATTTATTTCTACAAGAAAAAAGAATTTATGTATGAAAGTAGTTATTTTATGTTTATAAACAATTAAAATTTTTTAGCGTACAGCACTTTTTTAAAAACGAAAGTGTATACATTTATATCATCTAATCGCATATATTCTGAAAATTGACAAAAATTATTGTTTTAGAAGTTGTTATTAATTTTTTTTTTATTTTTTACAAATTTTGAAAATTAAAAAATTTGTATGCATTTATAAATTGTATAATTTGGTTTTTTAAAAAAATTTAATAATAATGAAAAGATTTTTTTATTAAAAAAATTTAATAATTAAAAATTAAAATCACATAATTTTTTAAAAATCTATAACAATATTTCAAATAATTTTTCCATATCTTAATAATGGAGAAAAATTTATCTAAATATATTTCAGCAGGATTAAAAACATTTCACTTTTTCTCCTTTCAGGTAGTCATTTTTGTATCCTTTTACTTTTATTGCGGGTACTTTTTTTCTGAAAATATTGAGATATTGCTCGCGTTAAGGGACTTAATCCTACCCCCAATAAAATCCAGATGTTACATACATTTTGCTCATCTCATTGAAAGCAGTAAGAAGTAAGAATGATTTTACTTTCAAAAATTAAAATATATATTTAACCTTAAAGAAATTATTTTAGAAAAATTATATTTCTTAGAACAAAATAAAGTTTATTCGTTTATAACAAATTTTCAACTTTGCTTCTATTTATTATTTTCATAATTCATTACTTTTCTGACAATAAAGATAAGATATAAACAAAATTACCAGTCTTTTTAAATTGAAAAAGGAAAAATAAATTGTGTTCTACAAATTGTACGCCTAATTTTAAAAATATTAATGTTAATATATTGATAATTATTGTGAATATTTCACTATTATGTATCATTATTTATTAAATTTTAAATATATTTCATTCGTTGATTATTAAAAATTTTTACTTTTAAGCAATATTAAATATATTCACAGGTTCATATTTTTGAATTTTGTTTTATTACTGTTTTTTATTACAAACATTTAATAAAAAAAAATATTTTACAAATTTACTTTTTCAAATGATTACACACAAAAATTTTATAAATGACATTAAAAATATACTTACATAATTAAATCACTTGTTCACAATAAAACAGTTTTTAACCTTATACACAAAATTTATATTTATATTTGTAATTATTATTTACTATAAAAACAATTATAATAACAGAATGAACTGTTCGTTCAAACGCTGAAACGAAAAACTCAAATTGAAAACAACGCAGGTATAAATATTCCTTGGCGCATTGAGGCGAATTTTCAAAACCATTTCTTATTGGTGGATTCAAGAGAATATTTACGGAAAAAGCCGATCGTTCAATAAGATCATCTTAAGCATTTGCTTGGTCAAGAAATTCTTAAGCTGCATTTCCTTTACCAAGCAATTGCTTATTTCTGACTATGAATATATATGGTCTTAAGCTCGACTCATTCGAATAAGACCATCTTGATCAAGCAACTCTTAAGTCCTTGCTTAAGTCGGAACTATGAATACCGCCCTATATACCTCAAATTTCGATCAGATGAACATTATTTCTGGACCGTGAAAATGCGTGAAAAGTCATTTTCACGGCGGGTATTTTTGAATTGTTTTAAACAAAAAATGTTTTTTTAAGAAATATAATATTAAATAATTGTTTTAATATGTAAGAACACTTTAAAATAGTGATAGAGAGATGATTTGATTAAAAAATTTAGCAAATTTTTCTTTAAAACGTTTTCTGCTACAAGAAAGTGTAAAATGACGATGTTTGTGAAATGGTTTGTACAGTGTACATGTGTACATGTTTCTTTCAGTTATTCGAAACAATTAGTTGAATTTAAATTTATTTGATAAACATTTCAACTTACCGATTTATTTTCAGCACTCATTATTTATTACAAGTTAAAAAGAACCGACATAACATAAACAAAACTCTGAGAGACACTAACAAGGAAGAAGCACTGTACAAACCATTTCACAAACATCGTCATTTTACACTTTCTTGTAGCAGAAAACGTTTTAAAGCAAAATTTGCTAAATTTTTTAATCAAATCATCTCTCTATCACTATTTTAAAGTGTTCTTACATATTAAAACAATTATTTAATATTATATTTCTTAAAAAAACATTTTTTGTTTAAAACAATTCAAAAATACCCGCCGTGAAAATGACTTTTCACGCATTTTCACGGTCCAGAAATAATGTTCATCTGATCGAAATTTGAGGTATATAAGCACCTTAAATTTAAAATTTTAGTTACCTCTTTTTTTAAAAATAATTTTTTTTACTAATAACATTAATTCTTCAATAAAAATAAATTATTTAAATAGTTTCAGTGGAAATTTTAATTAATTAAATAATAATAATCAAAATATTTTTAAAAATGAGACAAATAATCACAAGATCGTGTAAAGATAAAAAAAAGACTTCAGTGACTAATATTTAAATTGTTAATTAATAATCGGTAAGTAATTGAAAAAATTGTTTATATATTTCGATAAAATACAAAAAAAAAAAGAAGTCAGACTTTCATGAGAAAGTTACGTATTTTTTTTTTTTTTTTAGTTGGAACTTTAAGGCAATGATATTGATTAAAATCGATATAATTCTTTTTTGAGAAATATTATACTCATTATATGAATTCCATTTCTCGTTCAATTCCTACGAATCTCAATTGTTCCGTTGGTCCATATCTAAATAAAGAGAAAAAAATAATAAAGTTTTACAAATCCCAAAAATCAAAATTTATAATTTCAAAATTCAATAAAATGGAAATAAAATAATGAATAAATAATAGTGAAAATAATAAATGAAAATAAAAATGATAATAATAAGAATAAGAATGACAATAATAATAATTATTATTATTATAAAATAAAATATTATTAATAAAAAATTAAAATAGGATAAACGGAAATTAATCATTGAAAACAAAATGACAGTAAAATAATGTAAAACAATAAATATGAATTTTAAAAATTAAATCAATTTGAGTAATTAAAATATATAAAAATTGAATTAAATATTAAATATTATTAATAGAAATGAAAATTAATTAAACAAAATGCAATAGAATTAATTAAATATTTCGAGTTAAAATTTAAAAGTTCATTAATTATAATTTAAAGTGAAATTTCCTCATAGACTCACCTGTAGTCAAAGAACAATTCTTCACCAGGTTGAATTGCTCTTTTTGCAAATATTCCAATTCTATGATCACCATTCACCATCATTACTTTAGCATAACAATTTGGATTTATCGAATGATTTGCAAATTTTATTTTATTCCCTTTTCTAGTTGCATCAACAACAAATTCTGCCAAAAAAATGGAATTTTTAAAATTCTATGATTTTTAAAAATTTACATTACAATATTGTTTCATATATATAATTTATAATAATAATTTTTTTTTTTAAAGAAGAGAATTTGATTGAAAAATTTTTAATTTAAATTATTATTAATAATAATAATAATAATAATAATTAAAATAATATAAAATTCAACTCACCACTGTTTAAATTGAATAAAAAGCTGCACATATATTTATCATAGACTTTGCCTCGTCTATCGGCTTCGTCTTGACTAATAATTTCACCGCAATATTCTGAGATAAATTCATTTTTTGCTACTGATTCTTTTAGAAATATTCCCCAACCCGCAACATCCGATGGAGCCAACAACAAATGTTTATCTACATTAATGAGAATTAAAATTAATTTAAAATTCTTTTTGAAATGTAGATAAGAGAAAAAAAATTATTAACACTGTCATAATGAATAGAAAAATATTATTAATAAAAAATAATATTTTAATACCGTGAAATTTTCCTAACATTTTTATATTGAATTTAATAAATTTTAATAGAAAACTCTTTTTACTAGTAAAAAAGTGAATTATTTAACAAAAAAAAAATGGTGATAAAAAACTAATAGTGTAAAAACCAAATAATATGCAAAATAACTAATTTATATCAATTCAAATTTGAAATAATTGAGAATTTTTTAATCAATAATTGAAGAATTAATAGTTTAAACTTTGATTAAATTGAATTTTGAATAAATTGAAATTTAAATAAATCAAAATTTGGATAAATCGAAATTTGAATAATTTGAAACATAAATCAATTAAAAATTTGGATAAATTAGAAATCGGATAATTTCAAACTTAAATCGATTAATTTTCATTGATAGATTGTAATTTCGTTAATTTCAATTTTCAATCGATTGAAATTAAATTCGATTAAAATTTTAATTAGTGCGATTCCAAGTGAGATTTTGACTTTTTCGGAGTAGGTTAACCGATTGCAATGAAACTTTGGAATTTTGTTATATATAGTAAGACTAATCTTTAACGTAAATTTCAGCCTAAAATATTTGTTAGTTTACGAGATTTGCAATAATAACAAAAAATTTTAAACTGCTATATCTTCCGTTCTAATAAACGGATTGAGGTCTACTTTTTTTTAAAATGTCAAGGAAAATGAGAGGAATAAATCTCTTTCAGAACATTTTTTTATAATTTTACAACTAAAAAAATTATTAAATAATAATTGAATAACTTTCGCGCGACTAACTAAAATTCAATCACTTAAACGCTAAAATGATCTTACCTGTGTTTTCTTTAATGTTCCAAAGGATTTTTATTGTAAATGTAAGTTTAACACGTCAACTAGCAGAAATCTCAATTGTTTATACTAATAAATTAATAAAATTTCTTAAGTTAAACTTACATTTACAATAAAAATCCTTTGGAACATTAAAGAAAACACAGGTAAGATCATTTTAGCGTTTAAGTGATTGAATTTTAGTTAGTCGCGCGAAAGTTATTCAATTATTATTTAATAATTTTTTTAGTTGTAAAATTATAAAAAAATGTTCTGAAAGAGATTTATTCCTCTCATTTTCCTTGACATTTTAAAAAAAAGTAGACCTCAATCCGTTTATTAGAACGGAAGATATAGCAGTTTAAAATTTTTTGTTATTATTGCAAATCTCGTAAACTAACAAATATTTTAGGCTGAAATTTACGTTAAAGATTAGTCTTACTATATATAACAAAATTCCAAAGTTTCATTGCAATCGGTTAACCTACTCCGAAAAAGTCAAAATCTCACTTGGAATCGCACATTAATAAATTTATTTTGACCTGTAAACATTAGAATTGATTGAAAATTGGATCACTTAAATTTTTAATTTAGATAAAATTGAAATTTGGATTGTAAAAAATGATTTTTACAATAATTTGGTTAAAAAATTTAAAAAAATTCACTTACGCAATCCTCGTTGAACGCTAACATTTTTGCATGATATTTTTGCAACGTCATATTGATCCGAGCTGCAAGCCTGACATAAATCGGGATCACATTCACGTACAGCCAAATAACATGGACATTGTTTAGTGTTACATTGAGCTTTACATCGACAGCCAGGAAAACGATTTTGACAATCACTACTGCAAGCACAAAATTTTTCACAAAAATTTTGATCCTTTATACAGGGACATGATTTGTCACAAGGACGTCCTGAATGTGAGCATGGAGAATAATTGTGCACGTGATTTGCAACTGTAACCAAAAATTAATCAAAATAACTAAATTAATTTTTTTTACTCCCCGACATTCTGAATTATAGAAAAATTGACATAATAATTTCAGTGAACTTTATAAAAAAAAACCGTTTTGAGAAAGAAATATCTTACAAAAAAATGATTACCAGAATCTTTTTTGAGCTGTATCTTGCGACAATGCACTGACCAGAGACGATGTTTCTTTTTCTTTTTTCGCGGTGGTGTGAGATCCTCAGAACTCTCTTCACTTGGTATATCGGCCGCTTCTTTTTGAGCGAATTCATAAACTTCGGTGCAATTTTTCGTCAATATTATTTGTGCAAGAGCACATGGATTACCAGGAAAAACTTTATGTAACGCACGAAAGAAACTTTGTTCCGAACCAGTCCAAACAACATCTTTTGTTGATTTGTCACATTTATCATCCAAATTCAATGAAAATGGGGAAAAATTCACTAATTGTCTTCCCTCATCGGTCAATTTATCCGATTTGGAATTTCTATTGACGTTCAGTTTGAAATCTTGTTATTTTTTTTACGTGAAAAAAAAAGAATTTTATTTTAATTATTCTAATTTAAAAAGAAAACAATTCCAATAAATTATTAGGAATATTATTTTCAAATTATAAAATTGAAAATAAAATAATTATTAAATTATGAATTTAATTTAAAATAATTTTGGGTGTAAATTAGATTTTTGTAAATCTTTTAATTTATTACCTTGTGAACTACTTCGGCTACTTTGTTTACTGTCATTACTTTCGTCACTGTCTTCATTTCCCGAGTCGACACTTAATTGTTTTCGCACTTTTCTTGGTTTTTTTGTTTTCACATCTTCTTCTTTTATTTCAATGACTTGGGCCGCGAGTTTTTCCTTCACGCCTTCCTGAATTAAAAAAAAAAAAATTTTTTTCAATTTTAAATGAAATTCTAGAAAAAAAGTAAAATTTTTCCATTATTCCTTACTAAATGCATGTAACAATTTGCACCGCACGGCTCTGTAAATCTTCTCAAATCGGATTCTCTTCGTTTTTTAAGATTCGGCTCTTGATGAAACTCGATACCTAAAAAATTGTAATTAATTTACATTTTTATACATTATTGCTTTCTCATAAAGAAAATATTGTAGTATCAAAATTTTTCAAATTCAACTTTTTTTTATATATCTTTGTTTTTTGACATCAGGAATTCAAAAATTTTATTAAAATATCCCATTATTCGAATATCAACATAAAATAAGGGAAATGAGTGAAAAAAGGGAAAATATTCATAAAAAAAGGGGGAATTTTGTAAAATAGAGGAATAGGGGAAGCGCCTGTAATTGAAAAAGAGAAAAATTAGAAATTGAAATATTATTTGAAAAATACTCACGATGTAAATAGCAATCGTATTTAAAACATCGACGACAAAATAGAGTATGAAAAGAATTCATCGTTTGTTCTCTTGGAACACTTTTTGCATGAATTCCATCCATATTTGGCGTACACTCAGGTGGCAATGCATTTGGATTATTTCTTTGTGTTAATTCAATGTATTTTGCCTTTAATTCACTAGGTTTACCTTTATCTGTAAATACACTGGCAATTGCCTGCAAAAAAAAAGAAAAAAAACTTAAAAAATCCAATTGTTTCAAATTAAATTTAAATTCAAACTATAGTTTTTTCATTGAGGAAAATTTTTTCCTCAGAGGGGAAATAAAAAAAAAACAAAATTTCTCATAAAAAAAAATTAATTACATTAAATATTTGCATCGATGGAAATGATGATAAATCTTTAGACGAATTTTTATGATCATTTTCACTTCGTTTATTTTCTTTATCTTTCTCCTTTTTCTGTTCATCCACAACTTTATCATCTTTTTCATAAATCAACAATGCATTGACTAAATCCAAAAAAATTGAATCGTCCATAAAATTTGATTCTCCATTACCGTGTACCTGTAAAAAGAAAATAAAAACTAAAAATTAATATGTATATTCCATTTTTAATTTACAGGGTGTCTAACAATTGATAGGAAAAAAATTCTGACTTTTCACTGACCTAAATTACACTAAAAAAAAATTTTTATTTTGATTAAATAAAATTTATTTTCATACAATTAAATCATTTACCTGTCTATTATCCACTAATTTCATATGTATTTCAACCAAATAAATAATGTTTCGTAAAAAATAATACATATTTAAGTGAAATAAATAAACTAATTGGAGGGACGAATAAATATATAAAACAGATTTTCTAGTACATCGAATTTCAAATTAATACAATTTACAAAGCTGAAGTACGCAACGTTTATGATAAACGATTTTTAAAGAAATAATATTTAAAATGAAAAATTCTATAATTTTTTGCTTAAAAATTATTTCTTGTAGTTTTCATTAATCAACAAATTATAAAAAAAATGTTTTTTAGGCAAAAAATTAGGGTCAGTCGGGGTAAATCCGAACGGGGGGTAAATCCGAACGCTAATTATTTCAGCTTAATTAAAATTTTTAAAAATAAGTTCGATATGAGAATTTTTACCTCAGATCCTCTTGAAGAGATTCTAAGTATTATCCCATTTTTTGTTTGTTAATTAGCAACAGCATAAACAAAGATAACAAGTATTGCAAAAAAGATTGAAAATCAAAGATGACACTCTTTCAGTATTTTGTCTCGTATTTGAAGAAAAAGAAGCTGAAAATTCATTTTATTATTTATAATTGTTTGTTATGAATACTAGAACAGAAACTATATTTGATTTTTGCCTTCTGTAAAATTTTATTAATAATATCAGACCGTTCGTATTTACCCAAGAAAATTGGAAAACTGGGGTAAATCCGAACGGTATTTTTAATAATTTTTTTTTACATCAAAGCCACACAAAATTGTTTTTATTTGATTACACTATTATTTTAACATTATAAAAGTACATAGAAAAAAGTTTTTCTTTCTATACGTATCCTCGTTAGTAATTAATAAGCAGAAACTTAATCTCTGTTCTCTCGAAGGAGTGTTTCAATTTTTTTGCCAAATGGTTTGTTGAAAAAAGTTTTTCAGGATCTTAATAAAATTTGGTATTCTACGGTTTTTGGGGTCGCTAATTACCAATTTGAAGTCAGTTTTTCAAAATTCAAAATGTCGGACGAGAATTAAAAAATTCATTGGATTCGCTCGAAAATTGTTACTCGGGGGGTTTCAGGGTTAGCAAATTTGATCATTTTTAAAAATAAGTTTTAGGAAAGTACGCCATTTTGAATTTAAAAAATTTGACTTTTATTTTTGTATTTACATTCAATCACTCCAAAATACTTTCTGTACCAAGTTTTGCAAAAATCCGTTATGATTTGATAAAGTTATTGAAGGTTTTAATTGTGTAATGCATTTTAATTTTTAACCTGTTTGATTTTTGTATTTATATATGATGCATTATTACATAATAGGTTTATTATCGTATTTTTTTTGAGTTTTTATATAAGTTTAACAATTGCAATACTTTAAATTTATTTTCCCTAAGATTTTTCTGAAATACAGTGGCGTTCGTATTTACCCCCATATTTTAGGAAAGTTGCAAAGTATCGAGGTAAATACGAACGCTAAGTTTCCTGCGATTGTAATTTATCAAAAATTTTTTCTACCCCATAAAATTGTTCTATGGAAGTAAAGTAACAACTTCATGCACCAGAATACCGGAAGTATTTTTTTTTTAAAGAAAAAACTTATGTTATTGTTGAAACTTACTAAAAGCGTTCGGATTTACCCCAGTTGACCCTATAGAATTTTTCATTGTAAAAAATTATTTCTTATTTAAAATTGTTTATCATAAACGTTGCGTACTTCAGCTACGTTACAAATTTCAATTTAACGGAATTTATGTCAAGAAAAATTGCATAAAGAACAATTTTTTTTGACAGAATTTTTATTTTAGTAAATTTAAAATTAATCAAAATATTTACTTAACAGAATTGTCATTGAATAAATCCACAATTAACAGAATTTCTATTTAAGAAAATTCTAAATTAACAAAGTTTTTAATAAAGAAAATTTTAATTCGAACTAATTCTTTTATAACAGAATTCTCATTTAAGAAAAATTCTACTTAGTTCTCGTTTATTGTCAATTTTTATAAACATAAATTAACGTTAAATTGAAATTATATTAATTTAAAATTTAAAAAAAGTATTAGAAAAAATGCTTTATAAGAGTTCTGCTAAATAGAATTCTTTTAAATCGAATGTAAATTGAAAATTTTGCATAATATAAAATCAACTTTATACAATTTTGCTAAATAGAAATTCGATAATTTAATATTCGACGCCGTAAAAATTTTTATAAGTTAAATGTGGGTATTAGCATTAAATAATAAAATTTTTTTGTATTAATAAATAATTTACTTTATTTGAAGTTGAACCGATAAAATAAAATTGTATCAAATAATTTTTATTTATATTAAAAAAACCAAATATTTCACTGCAAAAAAAATTAATTAATTGTTTTCCAAGTTTAAAAAATCATTTATTAGATTCAATAAATAATAGTAAATAATTATTTTTCTTAATGAATATAAGATATATCACATTCTTAATAATTGAGTGTGAAGGACAACTTTTTAATTTGCATTTGCTTTGGGGAAAAAAGTAAAAAAAAATTTTTTGAAACTAATAGTTACTTTAATTTATTCATAAAAATTTTTTTTAGAAAATTAAAGAAATTCCCTGATTTTTCCCTGATCGTTAGACACCCTGATTTTATTTGAATTGACATTCAATTATATAGGAAAAAAATAATTAAAATAATTTAAAGAATTTTTACCATACCTTGCCGTCATAATTTTTAATAAGCTCTTCAATAAATGTATCACCTTTGTCAAGAATTTCATCTCCCATATAAGGAATATTGTGTAAAACAGTTTCATCTTCAACCATAAAATTTTGTTTGATTGGAGCCCACGTGTAAGCAGTTGGAATAGGCGTAACGGCATTTATTATTTTGATATTAAGTGATTGTGTTTCGTTTTCATCAAAACAACTAGTTACAGCTTTCTTTTTACTCAACGATTGAGGTGGAATATCTTGTAATGCAAACCACATTGCACTTCCGTCGGTCCATTCTTTATTTTTTTCATTAAGAAAATCTATTTCAAATAAATTTTATTAATTCAATTTTTCCAACAAAAAAAGACATTAAATTTCCCACGAATTTGAAATAAACCGAAAAAAATGTATTTTTACACTATCATTTTATTTTCCATTTCGTTTCTATTTTCTTTTTTTTCGCATTCCTATGAAAATCATAGGTAACTATTTTTTAAATTTAAATTCTATTATTTTTGTCTACTGTACCCATTGTTTATTGTAATTGTTTAAAATCATTAAATAAAAAATGCAAAAAACAAACAAACAAATAAATACCTTTAAGAAGTTTGCGATTTTGATTCCAGGATATTTTCACTTCGTCTGCTCGTTTATAACGCTTCATTAATCTGAGACGCATATATTCGGATTTTATTCGTTTTCTCCATTCTGAAGGCACGGGTTTCTTCGACATTTTTCACAATAAAATTATTTGAAATTATTTTAATTTCCCAAGAAAATAACCGGTTTGCTTTTTAGCGTCTCTATTAAAAACATAAAAAACAACTTTTAGGTTATGTTTTCAACCGGGTTTTTATTGCGCGCAAACATGCGCAGAAACATTTTTTTTTATCCATCCAGGGCTGAGAATGTAAACGAAAACCTAATTACAAATTAAATTTCCATAATTAATTGCTTTTCATATTAATTTATTGATTTATATTATAATAAAAAGAAATTAATTTTGTATTATATTATGAAATTTTACAATAAAATCAAATAAAAAATTCTTTTTTTCATTAGTAGACTATTTCCAATTTTCAACAAATCAGATTAACTTATTTTTCAGCGGGAAAAATGAAAAAAAACTTCCCCATTACTTTACTGGGAAAAAAAAAAAATTCCCCGCATTTTTGTAACTAGTTTGGTGGTAACTAGTCAAGCGGCACACGCACACAAACGGGCATCCACTGTACAATTTTTTCTCGCACATATTCTTGAAAAAGCACGCTTGAAGATCGCGTCAATAGTAAAGTAAATTTACTTTTATAATTGTGTATTTTTTGCAAATGAATTCTCAATAAAGTCGGAAGTTTATTTGCTCTCAAAAACAAAAAAAAACTACCAAAAATGGTTCAAGTACGTTACACACGCAATGTATTTCTGCGGGGGTTGTGCATTATTTATCTCTTCGCTTTTCTCAGTTTTTATATTCAAATTCCAGGTAAGTGGAATTATTAATTTATTATTTTCAACTTACATTTAATTATTCAATTTTTCTCAAAATTCATTTATTTACCAATGTTTCTCTCATGAGAATTGGAAAAATTTCATCTCATCTCGTCTCTTTGAATGAACGAAAGTTGCTTGACGTTCCTACATTTTGTATAATTTAGACAAATTTTTATAAATTCTCTTTCAACTTTTTCTTTATAATTAGAAGGTTAAATAATAATATTTTGGAAATTTATTTACATTTAGTTTTATTAAATATATTCTTCGTAGGAATTTTTTTTTATTTTTCTAACCTATTTTTGCAGTTTGTTTTTTTATATTTAAATTATTGCTATTTTATTTTGGGAGTTTTTTTTTTGAATGTACAAATCAATAAATTCGATATTTATACGTTATTTTTTAGATTTCAAATTCTTTTTTCTATTATTTATAGTTTGGGATTAAATTTAACTTTTGAATGAGAAAAAAAAAAATTCAAAATATTTCATCATTGGTAGCTATTTATAGAATGTTTATGACATTTCTTTTTTTATAGAAATTACTGGAATATTTTAAACGTCGTAAATTTTTGCACGTAATTGAAAAATGTGTATTTAAATATTGTTTAATTATTATTATTATTATTATTGTTATTATTATTATTATTTATTGTTTTATTTAATTAAATTAAAAATTTAAAAGAGGAAAAATAAAATAATTATTCTAGGCCTCTATGGTGATAATGGAATTCTTCCGGCAAAAACGCAAATGGATCTTCAATCACGAGCACCATTGTCTCAAAAGTTGATGCAAAAACCAACTTTCGTTTGGTTTGCATCTTTCTTAGGTTTGAATGTCGAATACATGCTTGACGTTCTTGCTTTGCTTGGAGTTGTTCTCTCCTTTTTAGGGTAATTAAAAGAAATTTAATATTTATCAAAAAAAAAAAGAACGAAAAAAATACATCAATTTTAAAATAAACAATTTTTTTTTTGCGTTAACTAAATAAGTAAAATTATAAATTTGTAAATTGGTAATTAATATTGAATATTATTTAAAAAAAAAAATCAAATTTTCAGATTTATATCACAAAAGTTTTGTGTGGCTCCAGTATTTTTTGGATTGTGGTCCCTCTATTATTCTCTGTATCAAGTGGGACAAACTTTTATGTGGTTTCAGTGGTAAGTGATTCAATAATTTAATATATACACATGCAAATGTAATTTATCAAACGCCTATATACTATGACTTACTGGAAAAAAAAAAAAATTTCATTTTGTCCTAGTAGTCAAGGTTTCTCGTATTTTATAACGCAAAATAATTTATTCATCTATTATATAAGATGTGTTTTAATATATATTTATAATGAATTCGATATCTAATGAAATGAATCAAGTAACAAGTATTATTATTATTATTATTAATTCTTGTATTGATTTCTCATAATAAGAATTTCTATTTTTGTATTTACAAAAAAAATAACGAAAAATATAAATATCAAAAATTCTTATTTAGTAGTATAAACAAAATCAAAAATTTTACTTTTTTATTATGAAGTAAATTTATTTTTTTAATAATTATTTATTCTTATAATTAAATATAAGAATTTTTATTTTATTCACGTTAAATTCATCTTGAAAATAAAATCTGAAATTCCTGCGATTAATTATTAATTTGACCTGGAATTTATAATTACATTCACTGTGTGAATGAAAATTAATTTCGATATTGATCTGTAAGAAAGAAAAAAAAAATCTATTTTAACATTTTGTTCGTTACGTTCGAGGATGTTCAAAATTGGCTCTATCCGTTTAAAATCAGAGAATAATTTTACGACTCAAGATACCAGAGTAGAAATCATTTGCACGTTGAATGAATGATAAAATTGATAACTCAAAACTTGTTACCTTGTAAATAGAATTCTGAAAAGTATTTTTTTTTTGTTTCCTTGAAAAAATAACGGAATTTTGTCTATTTATAGAAATAATTTTTTTTAAAAAGTTATTTTCTGCATTTTGTATTTCTCAATAAAATTTAAAATTTAGAAATTTGTTTAAATTAAAAATATAAATAAGAACTAAGAAGTAAATTAAATAACAAAAAACAATCACAATTTTCTTTATTATTTTTAATTATTTTATGACGAAATTCATGCTGAAATTCTAATTTCTATTTAGCTAAATCAGATAATTCGATTAAAAAAATATTTGGTTAAATGAAACTTTTGATAAATTCTGTTAAATAATAATTCTGCTAAATTCGGATAAATGAAAATTCTCCTAAACGTAAAATCTGCTAAATAAAAGTGTTAAATAAAAATTTGGATTCAATAAATACTCTGTTAAACAAAAATTTTAATAAATTAAAATTCTGAATTTAATGATAATTAGAGTGAATAAAAATTCAATTAAAAGACAGTTTAATTAAATGAACATTTTCCTAAATTCTAATACGGTTAAATAAAATTAAAAAAAAATATATATACAACTAAATAACAAATTTGCTAAAAGAATTTAAATAAAATTTGCGGTAAATTTAAAATTCTACTAGAAGAAAATTCTACTAATGATAATTAGGAAGATTAAATAAAAATTCAATTAAAATAAAATTTGTTTAACTGTAAATACTTTGAAACCAAAATTTGGTTAAATAAAAGTTCTGTTGACAGAAAATTCCACATAATGATAATTCGGCTAAATAAAACTTCGATAAAAAGAAAAAATACATTTTATCAAGTGAAAAGTTGTCTAAATAAAAAAATAATTTTCAATATCCTTAAAATCTTTTAAAATTTTCTATTTAAAAAACTCTGAAATGTAATAATTTGAACTACAACTCTTCCAAAATTCACTTATTTTTAATGATTTTTATAATATATTTTACAATTATATTATATACCTATTTTTTCAAATTTTTAAATTGTTCAATTTTTGTCTGTAATTTCTAAAATTAATTCTTCAACAACAGAAATTACAAAAAAAAAAATTTCAATAAAAAATCACTTGAAGTTGAATTATTTTCAAAAATTATCTGAATTTTATGTCTTGGAAAATTGAATTATTCTTGAAAAAGTTTATTTAAAATTTATTTCATAAATTATTTTCAATTCTATAAAAATTTATTGTCTGAAATTTAACAAAATCTTTTGAAATGCAATTAATTTCTGAAAAATAAAAAAAATCAACTGTAACTCTTTCAAAATTCAATATTATTTTTAATAATTTTAATATTTCTTTAAAAATTCAATTATACACAAAAGTTTCAAATAAAAACTCTATAATAAAATTGTCAGAAATTTAAAAAAAAAACTGCAGTAATTTAAATTTGTTGAAAATTTTTATTTAAGGCCATGTGAGACAAAGACACTTTTTGGTAGTTCCAAGTATTCTCGGAAATAAGAAGAAATTTCGGGTTGAAATTTTGAGGAATGATAAAAAAGGGTTGAAGGAATTGGGCTGTTCTACTTATTTACTATAATTGAATGCGAAATAATTTAAAAGAAGTAATTAATAGTGGAGTTAATTGGTTTTTTTTATTTCTTTGAGCGGCCACTAACTCGAATTGGCGCTAGTTCCTGGACCACTGATACATTCACGCGACGTCTGTGTGTACCCCCGCCATGTTGACTTTAACTTTCGTTCAAAAATGGGAATTTTCAAACTTTTATTTTTAACACTTAAACGCAAAATTTTGCTTCAAACCGAGAACAGCGCCATTCTGAATGCTATTCTCTATCATATTTTACAAATTTCAACCAAAAATTCTTTACCATTTCAGAGAATACTTGGTAATACGATACCATGTTTTTTGCATGGGGGTCACGTGGGTATTTCCCACATGGCCTTAAAAAAAAAAATTTTAAATGGAACTTTAAGAATTTTTTTTTAGAAATTTATCCTACCTACTTAATAAAAATTTGTTCAATTCTGAAATGTTCGAAATAAATTTTCGTGATAATATTTTTATAGAACCATTCTTCTTGAGAGATTAATAAAATGAATTTAATATCTAATAACATTAGTTATTTAACTAATTAAATTTAATTTAAAAAAAAAATTGACTATTTCGACTTTTTTTGGAATGTAAATCGACTAAAATGAAATTTTTTGCGTCTTAATGTTGATCCAAGGTATTTAAATTGTTGTTTTTTTTATATAATTTTAGGGATGCTCTTTTATTAGAAACAGGATTTTTGTGTATAATAATAGCACCACTTTGGTATACACAACAAGTAAAAGCAGGAACACCAAGTGATTCAATTAGATTTTGGGCAGTTCGATGGCTTTGTTTTCGATTAATGTTCTCCAGTGGCGTTGTTAAACTAACTTCCGGATGTCCGACTTGGTGGAACTTGGAAGGTAAATTTTTATCGACAATTTATCTTAAATTTTATTTATCAACTTTTTAACGTTCATCTTTGTATTTAATTATATATATTCATTTATTTATTTCTCAAAAAAAAACAGTAAATCGAAAAATTTCTAAATTACTAAATTACTAATTCTAAATTACTGAATTTAATACGAAAAAATATTTTATTTTCAGCTTTAAATATACACTTTGAGTCGCAATGTATTCCTACACCTTTGGCATGGTATGCACATCATTTACCAACGTGGTTCCTTAGATTATTCACAGTTCATGCAAATATTTCCGAGCTTGTGATTCCATTTTTATTCTTCTCGCCAATAAGGAAACTTCGAATAAGTGCATTTTATTGGCAGGTAAAGTTTCCAAAATAGATATTTTTGAAAAATAGTTATTTTATTCATAAGAAACAATTAATTTCTTGTATTTATAATATATTATAAAATAATATAATTATAATATAACAATTAATATAAAATAATTGTTTACAAAATATTATTAATCTATAATTTATTTAAAATTCTTTATGTACAGCTATTCCTGATGGTTAATATAATAGCAACAGGAAATTATAATTTTTTCAATTTATTGACAATCTGCCTAAGTATTTCACTGTTGGACGATCAATTTTTCTACAAAGGAAGAACGAAGGCTGGCTCATCGAAAATTTTCAATTATCTCTCAATTCTCGCGTGTGTTGTTGTATATTTGGGAATTCTCTATGGAACACACATTTATTATAATATGAAATTCGCTGAAAATTGGACAATTCATACGAAAATAGGTTTTACGCAAAAACAATTTGACGAAATTCTTGGTAAAACAATTCCAATTTCAATTTATATCGCAATGGTTTCACTTGGATTTACTGTCGCTGATGCAATTACAAATTCAGTATTGAATGTCAAGGGAGTTCAAAAGAAAGTTTCAACTACGCTTGTCACTATTTTGTATACAATTATCATTGGATTCATTTTTGCCATCAGTGTTGTGAGTTATTTATTTAAATTTAACATAATTATTAATATAATTTATTTTGTAGTGATATTTTAAAAAAATTAATTATTATTAGGTAATAAATTATTTGATTGATTTCTAGAAACAAAAAATTATTTTTTTTTGTCTTCAAAATGGAAGCCAATCATTTATTTGTTTCTGTTAAAGATTTCAATTTCGCTCTCTATTGATTTTAGTTGTTTTTTTGGTTTAAATAAATATGGTATTTTTGGTTTTTCAAGGTTCCTTACGCGACTTTACATCCATCTCATAATCAAACAGTGCCGATGCAACTGAAGAAAATTCACGCGAAAGTAGATCAATTGCATCTTGTTAATAGTTACGGTTTATTCCGACGAATGACTGGAGTGGGCGGAAGACCAGAAGTCATTATCGAAGGCAGTAACAGTGTTGAAGGACCGTGGAAGGAATATGAATTCCTCTATAAGCCAGGAAATGTTAATAACTCGATGCCATTTGTCGGTGAGTGAAATTATCAAAACGAATTTGCAAAGTAAACCGTTTTTTTTTTTACTGATATTTTCCTTGAAACTTTACAAATATATTTTAATTATTCACAATAATCGAAATAACTAAAATTAGTTATTAAATTTTTCTTTTAAATAGTTTTATTTTAATTTAATAAAGGTTTTAATTTAAAATTCCAATTTTTTTTTTTAGTATAAATTTTTAATAAAAATAAATATATTTTAAATTATTTCATAAATTTTTATTTAATATTTTTCATATTGAAATAAATTGTATAGTTGATTATTATTGAAATATTTGTCTAATTTTGTGTGTTTTTATTTATTTATTTGTAGCGCCACATCAACCGCGACTTGATTGGCAAATGTGGTTCGCTTCCCTTGGTACGTATCATCAAAATCCTTGGCTCATGTCGTTTGCATATCGACTTTTGAACGGACAAAAAGAAGTGTTGGCATTAATTAACAATGCGAAAAATCCTTTCCGCAATAATCCACCAAAATATGTGAAAGCCAGTCTTTATCACTATCACTTCACTCCATGGAGTCAAAGGTAAAATTAAAAAAAAATAATAATTTATATATTTACAATTATTTATCAAGTAAACGGACTTTCAGAAATAAAAATAATTTACATTTAAAATTTTTTTTTAGTATTAAATATTTGAAGCACAAATTTTGATTTTTAACAAAATTTTTTTTTTGACAGCATTTTTATATTATAAATAAATGAACAAATAAAATATGAATTTTATTAATTAATTTAATTGAATTTAATAATCTAATAAAATTAATTATTTAAAAATAAAATACTTATTAACAAATTAAATTTAATTAAAATTTAAAAAAAATGGACTAAAATATTTTTTTGCCCCTTAAAGTCGATTTGAGGTCTGTAGTTATTTAATGTAATATATATTTAATTTAATTAATAACATTATTTATTTAATTTATCTTCGAAAAAAGATGAAAAATGAAGTAATTAAAAAATTATTTTAGAAACAGTCAAGCCTGGTGGACGAGGGAAAAGGTCGGCGAATATTTTCCCGTTTTTAGTCGCGATCATCCGCCACTTCTCGAATATTTAGCGAAAATGAAAATAATACAAGACAAACCAACGCCAAAGATCGCAAACGAACCACTTAAAATTGTCTTAGACTTTATTAGAGGAATGGTGACAAAAATCGAAGCGAGTTTACTTCTCTGGGGTGTTTTTACAGCCGGATGTGCAATTATCATGACTGCCTCAAATCCAACACCAAAAAAGAAGTAAAAATAACAACAACAACAACAACAACAAAAAAAAATCCACTAAGCAAGTGTTGTCAAATGGTGTGTAAGAAAATGTATGATATTTGACAAGTTTTTTTTTTTTTTTCTTTGTTTTCTTTTTTAGTGTTGTGAAGTAGGTATATGAGATTAAGAATCATTGGTCGGTTAAAAATCGGATTTTTTTCTACGTATTCAAAAAAAAAAAAAAAGAAAAATGAAAAATGTTTTTTCGAATTCGTGAGTTTGTGCGCACCAGAGTGTGAATATTCGCTTTGTGTATGTATGTATATAATAATCGGTCTCTTCTCCAATTATATGGAGAAATTTCTCTCTCTCAAAAAAAAAAGAAGAAGTTTAACGGCCTTTTTTTGATATTCAATTTTTGTTTTGTTTTCGTTTTTTTTCCCCCCAATCGTGTAGTTTACTCATTAGAATTTTTTTCTTTCTAATGTATATGTCATTGTAATAGTATGTAAAAGGAAAAAAAAAAAACCCCCTCGAATTTTTAGCGGCCGTTCGAGTTATAACACGTTTTATGTGTGGTGATAATAACTATCTTTAAAATAATAATGTCAAAATACTCTGCAAATCGAAGGTTCGAAGTCTCCAAATTAAATTATATTTTTATAATCTTTTTCATAATATCTCTTATATATTGAATATTGTCGTTGTGAATGTAGTTTAAAAAAAATTGTTCGCCTACGTCGGATTCGGATAAAAAAAAAAAAAAAAAAAAAAAAAAAAGTTAATGCTTGAAAATGCTGGAAAAAAAGTTTTCATTTTTTAATTATTAAATTTTTTTTTATTTTATTAATTTTTTTAAATATAAATCGTTTGCAAAAATTGTCTGAGTTTTTATTATTGCAAACTTGACTATTTAATTTGCGATAAAAAAAATTTGTTTAAAAGTCTTAGAATTTTTGCAAAAATCGATTTTTATTTAATTCAATAATCTAAAAAAAAAAATAATTATTAATTGAGTACTTTTTTTTTAATAACGACCTCGACGTATTAAATGTATTGCTGTACAATTAGTTAAAAAAAAAAAATTGTTTTTAACACAAAAAGCATTATTCTTTCAATATTTTTAAATTATTACAATTTTGAATTTGTTATAAATTTTTAATTAATTTTTTTTTTACTTAAATTTTTTATTGAATTTACAAGTTTTTTTCTACCTAAAAAAAATTATTAATAATCATGCTGTTAAAAATTTTCATAAATAAAAAAAACTCGCACAAAAGGAATGGAAAACTTTTTTTTTTTAAATCATGCAAATTTCTAGCATTAATTTTTCTCAGCGACCGCAGTTAGTGAACTTTGTAGAGTGAAAAATGCCAATCCATTAGGAACGTTAACTTTTTAGAAAAAGTTGACTTTAGCGAAAATTAATTAATTTTAGTTAATTAATTACTTTAGCTAATTAGTTACAAAGAATCTCGTGCATTTATTTATAATTACAGTAAATTAACAACAGTTTAATCTGAATTCAATAAACAAATTAATTAGTAATTAAACGGATTAATTAGAAACTAATTAACTACAGTGATTTAAGTACAATTTGAACTATAATTAATTAAAATTAGAAAAGTTAACTTTATTATATAAATAATCGAAAAAAAACCGCATTTTTCTTTTTTTAGAAAATTCTTTTAAAATTTATTCTATTTTTATCTTTTTTGACATAAACATTGATACGAATCTTGATTGTGTAGAAAATAATTTGTCAATTTATTGTGATAAATATTTTGTAATTCGAAAATGAAAAGACTTCCTTGTTATTAGAATACTTTTTTTCTACTAAATTTGAAAATTAAAATTAATAATTTACAAAATTTTTGTTTACTCTCGATAAGAGAGTGGAGTTAATTATTTTTTAATACGTACTTATGTATAATTTTAATGAAGCATTTAAGAAAAAAAAAAGCAACTAAGACTCGACCCAATTTTTCAATGTAACGCAATCCTACCATTAGAATTGATTAATAATAATAATTATATATAATATTCCCAAAGTATTTTTTTTCTAAGTAGGTTTGAAATGGTACAAAAAGAAAAAAAAAACAAACTTCCGTTTTATCCAAAGTAAAAACCTCTGATAATATATTTACTTTTCATGTCTCGTGAATTATAAATAAATTACTTACACATTAAATATAAACAGTGTGATACTTTTTACAAATTTTTCGATGAACTTAACTATATTTTTTTTTTATTTTATTTAACGCAAATTTTTATTATTTAGATTTATAATTTTAATTTTGTTCGTTTTTTATTTTAAATTACATTTCTAATTACATTAAATTTACAACTAAAAAAATATTAACGATATTTGTATATTTAACTTTACATATAAATATTTATTTTATTTCACATTTTTAAAAAATAAAAAAAATTAACTGACAATTATTTTTTATTTGAGAATGAAACAAATTTTTAATGATGTCGTGAGTTTAAAAATTCTTTTATAGAAACAGTTTTGAGTTCTGTAAACTTTTATAAGAAAGCAAGAGAAAATTCAGGATATGGAAAATTTGCTATTGAACATTATTTTTCATCCAATGAAACTTTTTTTCAAATAGAATAGAAAAAGAAAAATTTTTTTTCAAGATTATAATTTTCTTTTTTTATATTTGTGAAATTTAAACAAAATTAATTTAGTGAAAATCTTTTTGACATTTTTAAATTTTAATATTGAACTCAAAAAAAATTTTTATAAATAACAAAATAGAAACGGAAGAAAAAATTTCTATTTTTCACAAATTTTTCTATTAATTAGATTAAATTTCTAGAAATTTCCGGCAAATTTTTTTGAATTCAATAAAGAATTTTTCGTCGCAAAATTTCAAACAGGGTAACAAAAGTAGAAAAAAAAAATTATTTCTAGGAGAAACAAAATTATGAAATTCGATTTAATTTCGTTTGTCAAAAATTTCCGACGAATTTTTTTTTTTTTTTTTACCAAAAAACAAATACACTTTTTAAGTACAAAGAAAAAAAATACAATTTTTTTTTAAATTCGTGAACAAATTTTCGTCAATAATATTTTAAATATAAAAAAAATAATCGAGGAAAATTAAAAGTTTTTATATTATTTTTTAAAATTAATAATTCATTTTGATCAACTTTTTTTTCAGGAAAATGTAATATTAAAAAATTTAATATTAGTTAAACAATAGAAAATAGAGAAATTTGAAAAAAGAAGGAAAAAAAAGGAAGCAAAATGATCTTTTCGGGGCACACAATTATTCCAATATAAATCATAAATTAGAATTTTCATTTTAAAGAATTATATCAGAAATAATTATTTTTCAGACTTATTTTCATTTTTCGAATTTTAGTACTTGACAGAATTTCTTTTTATACGAATTTTTACTGAACAAAAAATTTTTAACTACCAAATTTGTATTTAGCAGGATTTTTATTTCATAGTCATTTAATTAACATGACTTTTTATTCACTAGAATTTTTTATTTACGAGAATTTTAATTTATAACAGAATTTTCATTCAATTGAATTTAGAAAAAAAAAGAACAAAAATTTCAATTCACCGAATTTTAATTTGTCCGAATTTTTAAGACGTTGAATTTTCATGTGTCCGAACAAAAAATCTGACAGAAAGATTTCGGCGCAATTTTTGAGATTTGACCAATCACAATTACCTTGATAATTACTTATTGGTCAATTTTTAAAAAATTGAGCCGAAATCTTTCTGTCGATTATCTATTCGGATAAATGAAAATTCGTTGTCTTAAAAATTCGTACAAATAAAAATATGGAAAAATTATAATTCGGACAAATTAAAATTCGGTGAATTGGAATTTTTGTCAATTTAAAAATTCGAATCACATAAAATTCTTTTGAATGAGAATATTCTGTTAAATTAAAATTCGCATAAATTAAAATTATTTTAAATAAAAAATTATGTAAAGAAAATAACTATGAAATAAAAATTACTTTCCTCAAAATTTGGTTATGCAAAAAAATTTATATAAAAAGAAACTCCGTCAAATTTTAATTCGAAAATTGAAAATTCGTCAAAGAAATAATTATTTCTAATAAAATCCTTTAAAACAAAAATTCTAATTAATGATTTTTTTATGGGAAATTTATATTTTCTATCTATTACTTTTTTACCATTTACTCCTTTTTTTCCTCTTTTATTTCATTATTATTATTATTCCCTCTTTTTCAATTCTTTACCATTTTTTTTTTAATTTTTCTATCTACCTTTTTATAATTTTCTAATCCACCTCAAGTTTAGCTATTTTTCTCTTACGAGTCGACTGTGCACAAATTTTCGTCTTTTTCACTTTTTTATCAACAAAAAGACAATCACGTTCTTCAATTGATTCGGGTGGCATTATTTGTGACATAATAATTGGAAATTTAAACAATTGCACAAGTCGCGTTCTCAATGTCATTAATTGCCAACGACTAAATTCTGACATTTTTAATAATTCAATTTCCTCATCAATTAATATTCGTTGCGTTGCATTAACTGTTTTTCGAACACTTTCAATACCCTGATAGCCAAGTAATGTTGAATAACATGGTTTAAATGATGGAAAATTTTCCATATCCGATTCCATTTTTCTTGTATGATAATTAACATCATCTGGTGATAATTTTGTATCACTCACTAATAATCTCGATCTTGTTGGCAATGAATGAAATAAATTATGTATTTGTCGACTATGACATGGTGCATTTTCTTTTTTCATCAATTCATTTGGTCCGAGAATATAAATTTTTTGATATAAACGTCTATCTTCAATGTTTGATGGTTTTGTCATTAAATTTCCAATTTTATCATATTGTTCATTCATTGTTTCGCCAATTAATTTTATAATATTTTCAGGTGTTTCAAATTGCCAATTACGATTTTCAGTGAATACTGTGTCAATATAAAGACTGTAATTAATCATTTGATTGTATTTATGTGTTCGTGTATAACCACCAAATGGTAATGGTGGTACAAAATGATTTTCCGTTAAATTCTCCGAATTATTAAATAAACGTAATCGTGTTTCTTCAATTTTCTCCGACATTTTACCATTAATTGCATCTTGACGAATATTTTTTAATGCATATAATATTTGTTTATCCCTCTCATTGAGACAATCGTATTCATCGAGATCGTAGGGTATTGTGAGATTTGCACTCATTAAATTTAAAATATTATACATTTTTCTTGTTGCCAAATCAAGTTCACTGGGTGTATAATATTTTTTTTTCCTCCCTGATTTTGTCATTGGAATATTAACACTTTGAAAATAATTTATTATTTCCATGTCAATTTCATCGAGATCTTTAAAATCATTTTGATTTTTTGTTGTTATTTTATGAAATACAACAATATCTTTATTGACAATTTTATCACGATAATTATTACGTGGTATTTGTTGAAGATCCATACCACGTTGTTCATAACGTGATAATGCAGTACAACGATGACGTAATTGAACACGACTTTTATTATCAAAAAATGTGGCAATTTTTGACCAATTTTTACCATGTTCTTTGTGTAATTGAAGAAGTTTCATATCCTGATCGACTGTCCAACTATTGTCATCTTTATTTGTCAATGTATTATAATGATCACTTAATTGTGCTGATGTTCGTGCTGGTAGAACGAGAGCGGAAATTTTTTTAAAATTCAATCCATATTTTTCAATAGCATCCAAAAATAATTTATCCTCATCTTCAGTGAAACGTCCTTTTTTTAAATGTGGCGCTAAACTATACATCCAACGAAAATAAATTTGATGTTTTGTTCTTGTTTTCATACAACTTGCAATATCGCCCCAATTTATAAAATCGCCAATTTTAAATTTATTTATTAATTGAATTAGTTTTCGATCCTCTTGCTTTGACCATGGCTTATCATTTTGTGGCATTTTTTTCATTGTATTGTATTTTACAAAACATTGATAGCCACTTCTATGTGTGCCTGAAATAAAAAAAAAAATAATTATTTAATAATAAAACAAAACCCTTTTTTTACGAAAAATTTAACAAAAATTTTCAGGTAATAATTTTTCTTCTCATAAAGAAAAGGTGAAAAAGGGAATTTTTTTTCCTAAAAAAGGGGACAAATAACAAATTAAAATGTATTTAAAGTCATAATAACAATATTATTCATTTTAAAATATAATTTCTTATGATGCTGAAGTTCAAAACGTTTATGATCAACGATTAGAAAAAAAATTATTTTTCAAGACGGAAAATTATCAAAATTTTGTAATTAAAAAAAATGGTTTTTTTTATAATTTATTGATTAATAAAGTTTGCAAAAAATATCTTTCAAGACGAAAATTCATAGTTTTTCATAAAAAAAATATTTCTCCGAGATTTGTTGATCATAAACGTTGCGAATTTCAGTATCGTAATTTTTTTTACAGTTCTGAACTTTTTGGTAGAAAGTAACTTTAATTTAATTAATTGGTCGTTATAATACTAATATTAAAACAGAGGCTTTTTTTTGTATCTAAAAAAAAATTCATAGTGGCGATTCTTATAAGTGAATATTCTATGAAATTCTAATTCGTTTAAAAAATAATTATTCTACGTAGAAATTTTTGATAATAATAATAATAATAATAATAATAATAATAATAATAATAATAATAATAATAATAATAATAACAATAATAATAATAATTTAATAATTTTTTGATTTAATGAAGATTAGAAAGAATAAAGTTTTTATAACAATAATTTTTAATAATTATAAATATTTTGAAAATTTATACATTTTGTACTTTTTTTTTTAAATCAGTAATTCGTTTTATTATAACTTTTACTATATTATATTTAGGCCTCCAAAAAATTTTAGACGCATGATTATTTTGTAAAAATCATTAGTTAAAATTTTCATTTTAAAGAATTTTAGTAATTATTTTTTATTTCTGATGAATTTTCATTTTTCGTATTAGCATTTGAGAAAATTCATTTAAAAACAAATTTTTACAGAATTTTTAGCTTATCAAATTTTTATTTGGTAGAATTTTTATTTTACAGAATTTTACTTTACGCAACTATTTAATTAAAAGAATTCTAATTTAACCGAATTGGCATTTAATAGAATTTTAAGTACTGCAAATTTTTAAATGCTAAAATTTCCAATTCACCGAATTTTAATTTGTCAAAATTTTTATTTGTACCAATTATTATTCGATAGAATTCTTAAAATGACGAATTTTCATTTATCCAAAATTGCAACTGGCCAAACATAATAATCAAGAGAAAGATTTCGGCGCTGTTTTTAAAATTTACCAATCACGATTTTCTTGATAATTTCTGATTGATCAATTTTAAAAATCGCACCGAAATCTTTCTGATGATGATTGTATATTCGGTAATTTCTAATTTCGGACAAATGAAGATTTAGGCGAATTAGAAATTTTTACATTTAAAAATACGAATCAAAATTCTGTTGAATGAGAATTATTATGCTAAATTAAAATTCAGTTAAATTAGAATTCTTTTAAATAAAAAGTTGAGTAAAAGAAAATTCTGTGAAATAAAAATTCTGCCAAACTTTTAGTTTGGTAAAAATTTTAAGTAAAAATTCGTTTAAAAAGAAATTCTATTAAAAGCTAATTCGAAAAATGAAAATTCGTCTTAAAAAATAATTATATCTAATAAAATTCGTTAAATTGAAAATTCTAAATAATTATTTTTATGGAATAATCATGCGCTTCGAAAATTGGTTTTACATTAAAATTTGTACTATATAAAATGAGGGCACATAATAATTAGGTTAAATAAAAATTAGAAGAAATAAATTTTTGGTTATATAGAAACTTTTTGTTAATTAAAGTTTTGAAGAAAATAAATTTAGAGTGATTAAAAATTCTTGTCAATAAAAAATAGATGAAAGAAACATTTGCTGAAAATATTTTTAAATTAATTAATCATTTTAAGTAATAAGAATTATAGTAAATTCATATTCTAATAAACGAAAATTTTTATGTTGTTTGCCTTTTGAAATTTGTAAATTATAAATTAAATTACTTTTAAATATAATTCGAAATATTTACAAAAAATATTCTACATTTTTGATCGAAAAAAGGTAAAAAAAAGACGAAGCTGAAGTACACAACGTTTATGATAAACAATTTTTAAAGATATAATTTTCTAAAATAAAAATTTCTATAATTTTTCGCAAGAAAAAATATTTCTTGTAATTTTCATTAATCAATAAATGATGAAAAAATATTTTTTAAGTAAAAAAATTATAGAATTTTTTATTATAAAAAATTATTTCTTTAAAAATCGTTTATGTTGCGTACTTCAGCTTCGTAAAAAAAAGGGGGAAAAGTCATCAAAAAAAAAAGGTGAGAAATCATCCAAATAGTTGGGAAAAAAGTGAAAAGAAAACAAAAAACTGATTTCAAGAAAATATTTCAACAAACCTAATTTTTCTGCAATTTTATCCCAATTTTCATTTTTATATTGTTTCGCATATTTTTCTAAATCAACGAGTTCCTTTTTTTTCCATTTAAATTTATTAATAGAAGGATGAAGAAAAATATTCCACATAACGCGACATTCCTCAGGTGAATGTTTATTTTGAAAATCACTAACGGCAATTTTCATCCAATCAAATTCTCTTTCGCCCATTTCGCCAATTTCACGAACAATAATATCGGGTAATGCAGCATTTTTACCCAATTTAATACTATTTAAATCAATTTTCTCATTACCGGGCATATATCTCATTGTTTCAACAACTTCACGATGAATTGATTTTAATAATAGTTCCTTATCTTTTGCCGTCCAACGTAAAACACGACGAAGATGTATTATTTGTAATTCACCGCGTGCTTCTTTTAATTTTGTATCTTCATTTGGTGGTGCGGCAAAATATTCTTTTGTTTTAAAATATGGCATACCAGCGTGTGATGTTATTGTTTTAATATTTGACGTTTTCATTCGTTGTTTCAATTTTTGACCAATAATCTCCTTTTTTCGTTTACATTCTTCTAAAAGTGTGGCAATTTGTTCGCGTGTCACTTGTAAACGTTGAATTAATTGTTTATTTAATTCCAATGCCAATGCTGATGGACCACTGAGATTTTCATTATTAATAAATAGTATTGATTCTGGTATTGGAGAATGTCTTTCTTCAATTATTGTTTCCTCAATATTCTCCTGACAATGTATAACTTCTGTTTTTAAATTATTTAAAGAATATTCCTCTGTTTCATCATTTTTTCGCGATAGAGCATTTTCCAATGCTCGAATCTCCTCGAGAATCATATCATCCTCCGCGTCACTCATAATGATAAATTTCCTTTTGAAAATGAAAAAAAAAATAATCAATTTTTCCCTTATGTAAATATAAGAAAAACTTTATCAAAAATTATTTTTTGTATTCTTAAAAAATAAACAAATTTCGAACAGAAAAAACTAACACTTATAAACATAACCTTAAAAATATTGTATATGATTGTAAATTTCGTGGAAAAAAAATCTAATAGCAAAAATTAATTCTCAAAGTTATAAATTCCTTTTTTTTAATAACAAACTCAAAATACGAACCTAACCTCAAAAGATGTTTTGGCAAAAAATTTCTCCTCACACTTCACAACTTATTAAAATATATCCATATTTTATGAAATTAATTACAATTGCTATAATAAGATTCTATATGTTGATAACATATTTAAAAATTAATGATCCATTTCGTTCATATATAAATTATTTAAGTTATTTGACATTAGAACGGAAATGGTGCACATATGTTTCCGGTGGAATTTTCGCAAATCAACGCATGCGCATGTGCAAATTCTCATTCTTTTAGTGTTTGCGCAGCCTGAAAATGTCGGCTGGCTGAATATACGTTTTTCTCTATGTTATCATGATACAATTGATTTCTCTTGGTTGTATTTAAACGCAGTTAATATTGTGAAATACATCATTTTGAGAGGTGGTTAATTTTTACACCGTTTCAACTCTATTTTTAATTGAACGGTCAAACATAAATTAGTGAAAATCAGGCGATAAGACCTTATGTCAAGCCACTTTGATATTGGGAGGGCCGAGGACGTGTGCCAAAATGAAGAAATTATTCTCAAAAATCGACAACACGTCGAAAGAGCCCAGCGGTTATTTGGGAAAGGTGTTCGTTGTTGGACGACATACAGTGACCGTCGAGGAAGTTCTTGCAGAAGGTAAAGTAAAATCAGATTCTCCGTTTTTTTTTTCTTTTTTTTTTTCGCGTACTTATAACACCCTCCCCGCTTTTCCCCCCAGACACCCCTCGTCCATCTTTGATCCTGTAAGATCTTTTCCGTTATAATATTAAATTAAAAACGTCAACCCCCTTCGTTAACTGCGTTTTTCCGATGAATATTCATTTTTACCACCTCTTATTTTTTAAAAATAAAAAATATTCTCGAAATTGAAAATTTTCATCAAAATCATTTCTATATATTGAATTTATGAAAAATTTCGTAAATTTTTTTTGCAATTTTCTATTTTTGAGTAAGTGTTGTACCAAATTTACCACATTTTAATTTCTTTTCATACAATTTTCTTTTTGTGTTTCTTAATTTTAATTCAGCAATTTCGAGTTTATTTCCTACAATTTTTATTTTTTGTTTATTTGATAAATGTGAAAAATAACATTGCAAATTGTTTTTTTTAAGCCTAAGTTATCTTTTATAGGTTATCTTGCGCTTTTGATTCACTTTATAATAAAAAATTAGTTCTCATGGGGTGTTATCTTTTTTTTTTTTTTTTTGTTTTGTTTGCTTTTTAGAGCAGCTGATCAATTTAAAGAATTTATTATTGCGCAGATTAAGTTGGTTAGTCAATCGATAAATTGCGTTGAAAAAAAAAGTTTTGGTAAAATTTTGTCCGAAGAGGCAAACTTATATTGTAACAATTTGGATTTTTTTAACTCTTCGCTAAGTAATTTCACAATGTCTTTGCGCAAACTTTTTCTTTTTGATAGTAATAACAACGCTACCTAGTTATAGTTATTTTTGTTATTCGGTTTTTAAGAAACATTATATTTTATGTTTCATTATTCTTAGTACTTCGGTACGAAAGGGCTAATTTTTCTTTCTTTGTAAGCCCGTTTACATGTAAATAAATAAATAAATAAATAAATAAAATTAATAATAAAAAAATATTTTCTAAATAATCGCTCGTGGGAATAAAAATTTCCTCAATCTTTGATAATAAATAAAATTCTCATCTTATTTATCGTGTTTGGAATTCAGGAACTGTAGGAATCTTTAATTAAATTCTTTCTTTTTTTTTGCGTATATATCTTTTATTAATTTATTTACGGCCTTGAACACAAAAAAAAAATATTTGTCCGCATTTTTTATTGTGAGAAATAATTGTTTCTTGAGATCGATTATTTTTGTCAAATTAAATTTCTTTTTTTTTTTTTTTGCTAAATAGTGTTTACTTTTTTCGTGGAAAAAAAAGTGAATAAAAAAGTTTCATAAAAAAAAGAATGTCATTGATTTTTGTTTCTGTCGTTCCTTTTGGATTATCGACACTCGAGACAAGTATATTATTGTTTTGTTGATTCTATTATATGAAAATTTAAGTCTAATGTATAATACATGATAATAAATGGAGAATTCAGTAAAGTGACTCATGACACAAAACTAATACTCAGCAGAGTGTCGAGAGAACCCACTAAATTAAGCAATTATTCTTTTTAATCTATTTATTTATTTGTTTTAAGTTCAAAAATATTATCTTAATAATCTGTGTATCACACTTTATTATTTTCTTATCATATTATCTGACACAATTGATTTAACAAGTTGACAAGTCGTATCTATTTTTTTAAAAAAAAAATTTCCCACCTACATGTATGTTAGTGAAGCAGTAGTTGAACAAATCGATATTACTTAATATCGATTCTTTAAAATGATAACAAATCATCTTCTTTGTGGTCATAATTTATCGCGTGAGATAACAAACTCTTTCAATGATTGCATCGTTATAATCATTTAAGTATTACTATTGAATTAAAATAATAATAATAATAAATAAGGTTTTATAAAAAAAAGGAATCACGTCTTGAAGTTGTCTGCAAATACAATCATGTAATGAAATCAAAAATACAAGGTTAGGAAATTTCTCTACGATTCAAATTGAAAATCACCATTTTTGAGTTTCATCCGATTTTCGAAATTAGGATTTTTTTTTATAAAATTCAGTATATTTTAATTATAAATTTATAATACTATTTTGTATTTGTTTTTGAAAAATAGAATGTTTTGAAGTTTTTAATTACTCAACCCTGACAAATGACTATTAAGTGCTCTTTATTTGGTACTCCTGGGTAATTTGTAAACAACTTCAAGCTGCAGTCTCAATCGTGTCAACAAAAAGTAAATAAAAATTTTATTGTTTCAATAACTTTTAACTCTTTTCCAATTTTCAGAATTTGACAGAATAATATTAAAAGTATAATAAAATTACATTTTTTATATTATCATATATGAGATTATCTAAAAAAAAATTTTTATTTAAGGTTATTTTATGCATCCTATAAACGCTTTAAACTTTTAAATTAAACTTTAAAAAGTTTACAAACTATCGCGATAAAAACGAATTCTGTGATGAGTAATTATTTCAGTTTCCATGGATATGAAATATTGATCACTTATTAAAATTGATTTTCTCAGATATTCATTCATTCGTGAAATAATTAGAAAGTTCATCTATATATATATATATAATAGGCAGAAGGTAAATTTACCAAGAAGAAAAATTGCGGTGAAAGGTTTCTTTAACTTAGTTATTTTATATATTTATAATAAATATCTACTTTATGTTTCAAGTGAAATATTATTTTTATAAAAATTTCTACATCTCTGGATAGTCAAAATCAATATTTCAAGACTTGAGAGTTATGTATATATAGGGAAAATAAAACTATACATATATATATATAGTGCCGGAGAAAAATTTCCAATTTTTAAACTCATGAGAATTTGTTATTTCCTCACGTATTGTCTTCTTATTATTTTTCTTTTATTTTTTTTAGTTGTACATATTTAATTTGTTTATTATTTTATCATCAATTATTTATTAATTCTATGAGTGATAAATTAAATAATAAAAGTTATTATTTCGAAAAATTAGTAAAGTAGAAAAATATTAATAATTATATTTATTAATAACATTAATAGTAGTAGTTAATTCATAATTAAGTGCCTACAAAATATTTAATAATTAATATTATAAAGTCAAGTAATTAGATTACAATTTGAATATTATTTTTTTATTTTAAATTTATAAATATAAAATAATAATTGAGTAAATAAATTTCAGTCAGTTAAAATTATTTTTAATTACTAATTGTAAGATCATTAATTTAACCAATAAAAAAAAATTTAATTGACAAAAATAATAATTAATGAAATTAATTTTGAATGCTTTTTTTTCATTTACTAATTAAAAAGAGCATTTTTCTTTTCCCGAATGAATTAAAAAATCAAGGACGAATTTGATTACGACATCGTTAAGTGCGTTTTAGAATATAGTTTTAATATCAAAATTAAATTGACATAATTAATTGCTTTTTTTTTTGTTATTAAAAAATTTTTATCTTCTTTTGAAAATTTTTTAATTTTCCAATTAATTATTTATTAATCAATGTTAAAAATGAATTTTTCAGGTGGATTTGCCGTAGTCTTCCTAGTTAAATCCTCAGGTGGTCGATATGCCCTTAAACGTATGTATGTCAACAACGAACATGATCTCAATGTTTGCAAAAGAGAGATACAAATCGCGGTACGTATATTCTAAAATAGAAAAATAATATAGGTAATTAAAAAAAGTGTAATTCAAATTTCAAGCCTCGGAGTGTGGCATTTATTGTCTTATGTCACCTGCTTCATTTAGTTTTATAATTTCTTACCTTTTTTTAGCTTTCTTGTAATTCGATTAATTTTCAGATGTAATATTTAAAAAAATAATTGATAAAAATAATTGATAATTGTAAAAATATTGATTGAAGCTCAGAAATGTTGAAAAATAATTTATTAGTTTAAAAAGATTTTTTTTTCACATACCTGAACTTATATTAAATTTAAAGAAGACAAAATTGCAGAATTTCATCTTCTCTATATAAAAATAATTCAATTGATCCAAGTTTCAATTAAATTTAAATAATTTGAAGCATTTATTGATTAAAATTCTAATAGATCGAAATTTAAATTCAATCTCATTCTATAATAATCAATCATCAATTTAGTGAATATCTAAAATTCAATTTATTTTTTGAATCTGTTCAAATTTTAATTCATCGAAATTTAAATTTAAATAAATTTTATTCGATTCAAACTTTAATCGATTTCAAATTTCAAATTGAACTAAATTTTAATTTCAGGTGATCCAACTTTAGATCAATTCTAATTTTTATTTGTCAAAAATTTATTGATTTTAATTTTATCAAATGCAAATACAATCGATTGAAATATAAAATTAACGAAATTTCAATCAAATGTAAATTTAATCTATCGAAATTAAAAATTAACAAAATTTCAATCTATACCTAAAAATTAATTGATTTAAGTTTCAAATTAACCGAATTTTAATTTGTACAAATTTTAATTAATATTTAAGTTTTAAATTATCCGAATTTTAATTGAAATTAATTTAAAAATATACAAATTTTAATTGAATTAATTTTCAAATTATCCGAATTTCAATTATAGTACAAATTTTAATTTATTTAAGTTTTAAATTATCCGACTTTTAATTTGTCCAAAATTTTAATTGAGTTTAGTTTAAAATTATCCAAATTTTAATTAATTTAAAGAAAGAAAACCGAGTGATAAATTCAATTATTTATAATTAATTAATTTAAGTTTCAAATTATCTGAATTTTAATTTACACTAATTTTAATGAATTTTAGTTTTAAATTATCCGAATTTCAATTTGTCTAAATTTTAATTGACTTTAGTTTTATATTATCAAAATTTTAATTGATTTATGTTTTAATTTATGATCTTTGTTTTTGTGGAAAAAAAGAGTGAAATATAGTGTAAGAAAAAGCATTTTTCTAATTTCAAATTGATTTCTATTACAATTAATTAAATTTTATGAAAAAATTTTTTATCACTGAAAGTTTTTTTAACATCAGTGGGGAATTGAAAAAATTATGTGCCTAAAGTTTTGAACGTTTAAATGAGCGAAAAATTTATTAACTACTTTTTTAATTTCAAATTTTATTATAAAATATTGCTTTCTGAATTCAAAATGAAATTTTGTAATAATTTATTAAATATTTAATGTTCTTTTTAATTTTTCATTGCTGCAGTATATTAAAAAAAAATTTATAAATAAAAAAAAATGATTTTGTTCATTTGAACGTTCAAAACTTCAGGCACATAAAAATTTTTTCCAGTGGTGTCCACTCTGAAATTGAAATCATTGAAGATTAATAATTTTGCTTTTGTATTCTAGAGTAACCTGAGTGGTCACAAAAACATCATAGGATATGTGGACAGCAGTATTAGTCACACAGGAGGTGGAGTTCACGAACTTCTGCTCTTGATGCCGTTTTGCAAATCTCAAGTTCTCCAAATGATGAATAGCAGGTATTTAATATTTTCCATTTGTTTTATTAAATGTCCATTTTTGAATTAAATAAAGAGAAAACATTTTTCAGATTCATATTAATATAATAAACAAAAAATGAACCAATTTTTTATTTTTATATTGAAAAATTTGTCAGTTTGTTTTTTTTTTTTGATAATAAGAAAACATTTAAAAATTTTTTTGTAGATTACAAACTGGTTTCACGGAATCAGAAGTGCTTCAAATATTTTGTGATGTTTGCGAGGCTGTTTCTCGTTTACATCATTGTCAAACGCCCATTGTTCATAGGGATCTCAAGGTTAGTAAATAAAAAAAAAAAAAAGAAGTTATTGTATAATTTAAAAAAGAAAAATATTTTCTAACATTGTATTGAAAATAATAATAATAATTGATAAACAAAGGAATAATAATAATAATAAATTTTTAGGTGGAAAATATACTATTAGCTGAAACTGGGAATTATGTTTTGTGTGATTTTGGTTCGGCTACGGGTAAAACTCTCAATCCAAATGTTCAAGGGGCATCGACTGTTGAGGAAGAAATTAAAAAATACACAACTTTAAGTTATCGTGCTCCTGAAATGGTGGACATGTATTGTGGAAAGGCAATTACTACCAAAGCAGATATTTGGGTTAGTGAGAAATATAATTTCATTTATAATTTTATTTTTGTTAATTTTTTTAATTAATTAATTAATTAATACAAATTAATTTTCTTTTAATAATTTAGAAAAAAAATTGTTCTACTTCACAGTTATTAATTGTTTTTTTTTGTTGTTGTATTTTTTGCTAATAAAACAATTGTTTTTAACTTCATTTCAATTTGGTTTTAAATATATTTATTTATTTTTTTTAAGGCGTTGGGCTGTTTACTTTATAAGCTGTGCTTTTTTACACTACCATTTGGTGAAAGTACACTTGCCATACAATCGGGAAATTTTTCAATTCCCGATAATTCAAGGTTTGTGGATTATTAATTTTTTTTTTCTTAAGGCTTAAAATTAATAGGAATCGAAAGAATTTTTCTTTAGAGTAAAGAAAAATTAATTTTTTTTTTAGATATAGTCGAGGACTACATTCGTTAATTCGCTATATGCTTGAACCTGATCCAGATTTGCGACCTGATATTTATCAAGTTTCAGTTATTGCCTTTCAACTTCAAGGCAAGGAATGCCCAGTCCAAAATTTACATGTAAGTAAATTATCAATGTTTTAATTTTTGAATTTCCACATTTTTAATTAATATTTCAATTAATCATATTTTTAGTGTAAAATAAATATTTTTTTTATTTTTAAAAATTTAATTGTAAATATTTGTTTGAAGAAAATTGATTTTTTTAAATTTTATTCTATTAATTGAAATAGTGTTAAAAAAAAAACAATTTGTGATTACATAAAAAAATAAAAGGCTAAATTAATAGTGAATAAACAATTGTTATTGTAGATTTATTATTGCAAAGCATTTAACTGCGCTGTTGCTTTAACTATATATAGTACATAAATACTTTCTTCATTAAGATCTAATAACGGTAACCATTAAAAATCAATATTAAAGTAGTAACGCAGTTGTGACAATAGCCAGAGCATTTCTGACCTTCTCAGTCTTTTGTATTCGTGTTTGTACTGATTTATAAACGCGTGCAAGTGACGCGACATTTATCATTTCTTTCAATGAAAATTAAAAAAAAAAAAAAACCCCCACAATGATAACTTTAACATATCGAAAACAATTATTATCACTTTGACAATTTACTTTTCATTTTTTTTCTTGAAAAAGAAAAATTTTCCAAAGATAAAAAAAAAGAATATTTGAAATTTAATTATTTATTTTGAAAATTAACTCTATTCTACTTTGTTTTTTTTTCTAATTTGTTGTTTTATTTTTTGTCTCCCCTTTTTTAGAAAAAAAAAAAAAAAACTCACCATTTTTTTCTTTTGCAGAAAGTTTCAACGCCAACGATGGAAAATTTACCATCAGCGCCAATGGAATCCGAATGCGTTAAGCGTTCGTCATCGATAAAAATCACAAAACCAACACTCGTCACAGCGGTGGAAGGAACATCGGTGACGCCACGGCAACGACCAAAAGGCCAAGGTGTCACCTCAGGTCCAATTAGTCTTAGTGGACAAATTGTGGCGCAAATTTCCGGTCAGGGCAATCAATTACCATCGTCGGGAAATTCTGTGTCTTATATACAAATTAATCAACAAATAACGCCAATAAATACACCGCAAGCGTTTGTTGCATCGTCAAGTGTACAGAATATTTCTGTCAATTCACAACAACAACAACAACAACAACAGCAGCAGCAGCAAACATTACAATTGTCAGCGCAATCATCGACATTCTCACAAGTCTCGCCACATCTCACATCACCGAGTCAAAATGTCACTAGTTTTGGTCAAAATTCAGCGCAGACTTCTTTTAGTCAATCGCAAAGTCCATTGATAAGTCATTCGCCATTAACTCAACAATCGCCCGTTACGGTTCAGGAGAAGAATACATTTTATTTTGATGCTAAACCACTTGAGGCTAAATCGAATGACGACAATCTTGAAGCTCTCTTTCCTTCTTCAGGTAAAAAGAAAATTTTTTCTTATTTTTATTTTTTAACATGTTCGTCTTCAGCGATCCTTGAAAGTCGTGAATTTTCTTTTAAAAACTTTTTTTTTCACTTCGAAAGAATTTTTTTTTTTTTAACATTCCTGAACTTTTATTACTTTAAAGAAAATAGAATTACAGATTTTCATTTTCTCTATAAATGATTCAATTGATCCAAGCTTGAATTTATCAAAAAAAAATTTCATCGATTTAAAAAATTTTTTATGATAAATTTCAATAAAATGTAAATTTAAATGAGCTGAAGCTTTTATTGATTAAAATTGTAATGGATCTAAATTTAAATTCATTTTAATCAATTTAATTTATCCAAATTTGAATCTGTTGAAATTTTAATCCATCCAAATTTTAATTAAATTAAATTTTCTTCAATTCAAATTTTAAACGATCCAAATTTAAATTTAAATTTCAAGTCATTCAATTTTCAATTAATTCTAATTTTTATTGGTTAAAAATTTATTAATTTTTTATTTTATTAAATGTAAATTCAATCGATCGAAACTTAAAATTAACCGAATTTTAATTTATCCAAAATTTTAATTAATTTAACTTTAAAATTAACCGAATTTTAATTTGTACAAATTTTAATGAATTTAAGTTTTAAATTATTCAAATTTGTTTATCACTGAAAATTTTTTAATATTCAAATCTTGAATAATGATAAAATTGTAATTAATAATTAATAATTAATAATTATTTTGGATTTAATTAATTTTATTGAATTAAATTTTTTCTTTTAAATTAAAAAATGTTAATTTAAGAAACCGTGAAAAATTTGTGAATTTTCAGGTTATCCGGATCCATTTAAAGATGATGCTCGATCAATGCCACCGCCAACAAAAATTCCACCTCCCGTTGCTCCAAAGCCAGGAATAACAAAAATTACCCTCGGCAATTTAACAAATTCCGGTCCAACGTCGTTACTTGGAAGTGCACAATTAACGACAAAATTAACACCGAATAAATTAACGAGCACAATGACACCTCCCATTTTACCAAAGCCTGTTTCTGTTAAAACCGAAAGTTTAAGTCAGAATATTAATTCAAGTAATTCGCCGCCTGATAGTCCAACTTTAATCTCATCGAGACATCGGAGAAATGTTAGCGACACAAGTGCATTCAATAAGTGAGTAAAACATTTAATAAATATATAATAATAAAAATTTAATTTAATTTAATAAAAAATATCTTAAAAAATATAACTTTGTATTTTTAAAATTAATTTATATTTAAAATTTAAAATTTCTTTTTTAAAAATTTTTATTACTTAAAATGATTAATTATTTAAAAATTATTTCACCAAATGTTTCTTTTATCAATTTTTATTGACTAGAATTTTGAATCACTACAATTTATTTTCTTCAAAACTTTAATTAACAAAAAGTTTCTATAACCAAAAATTTATTTCTCCTAATGTTTATTTAACCTAATTATTATGTGCCCTAATTTTATATGGTATAATTTTATTAGATATAATTTGTTTTTTAGACGAATTTTCATTTTTCGAATTAGCTTTTAACAGAATTTCTTTTTAAACGAATTTTTACTTAAAATTTTTACCAAACTAAAAGTATGGCAGAATTTTTATTTCACTCAACTTTTTATTTAAAAGAATTCTAATTTAACTGAATTTTAATTAAGCATAATTCTCATTCAACAGAATTTTGATTCGAATTTTAAAATGTAAAAATTTCTAATTAGCCTAAATCTTCATTTGTCCGAAATTAGAAATTACCGAATATACAATCATCATCAGAAAGATTTCGGTGCGATTTTTATAATTGATCAATTAGAAATTATCAAGAAAATCGTGATTGGTAAATTTTAAAAACAGCACTAAAATCTCTTTCTGTTGATTATTTGTTTGGCCATTTGCAATTTTGGATAAATGAAAATTCGGCATTTTAAGAATTCTATCAAATAATAATTCGTACAAATAAAAATGTGGACAAATTAATATTCGGCGAATTGGAAATTCTAGTATTTAAAAATTCGTAGCACTTAAATTTCTATTAAAATTCGAATTCTGCTAAATTAAAATTCGGTTAAATTAGAATTGGAATAGTACAAATAATTTTAATTAATTAATAATTGCCAATAAAATAAAATTGTCAAATCAACAATTTCATCTTGAATATCTAGATATTGTCAAAGAGACTTTACTACTTAATAGATATCCGATCGATCTGTTAAATAGAAAGATTTCATATAGAGGTATAATATATTTAAAATTTTGATGAAATCTTATTTGATATTTTTAAACATTACAATTTTAAACTAATTTTTACAAACTCTAAAAATTTTAAAAATTATGTTTTTCCAATTTTCAAAGAGTTTGATAAGAAACATTCTTTTCATTTTGATAACATTAATATTTTACATATTGAAACTAATAACTGGAAAAGAAAAAATCTGCAAATAGTTCTATATAAAAAACAATACTAATAGTATTAATTACAAAACTCTCTCATAGGTCGAAAAAAGCGCGCTTATATAAAATGCTTAATAATAAGAAAACGTTAATAAAGCAATATAAAAATATTTTCACTATTGAATTTATTTTTTTTGTTAATTATATTGCTTCCTAATAAAAAAAATATTAATTTACTTAATTGTACTTAAGTATGTAAAAAATAATAATAATAATAGGATATTAATAATTTTATTATATTTATATCATTATTGTTATTATTTATTTATAAAATATATAATCTATTATTATTATTATCAATTTAATATTTATTAATTAATTATATAATATATTATTTATTTTTGTTATTATTATCATTAAATTATTATTATTAATTAATTATCCATGATATATACATATATATTTTTACAAAAATTCGATTAATTTTTTTGAAATATATAGATGTAATACATTCATAGATAATTAATTAATAATAATTTATTGAAAATATTCATAATAATAATAAATAATATATTAATTAATTAATAAATATTATACTGATGATAATAATAATAATAATAGATTATAAATATTTTATTTAAAAAATAATTACAATAATGATATAAATATAATAAAATTATTATTATTATATACTTAAGTATATTAAGAAAGTTAGTATTTTTTTATTAGGCAGCAATATAATTAACAAAAAAAATAAATTAAGTAGTGAAAATATTTTTTTATTGGTTTTCTTATTTTTAAGCATTTTATATGAGCGCGCTTTTTTCAACCTATAAGGTTATTCAAGTTGGGTGGGGGAAAGCCACGAAATTTTTCGTGGGAATGAATGCTGATAGGCTGATAGGTGCACCAGCAAGCAACCATCTTGGCTTTCCCCCACCCAACTTGAATAACCTTTATAAGAGAGTTGACGTAGCGCAAGCGCAGTAGCGTTTAGGTAGGGTCATTGGCAATTCTGCTGAACCCAACCTCCATGACAAATTTTTCTATTTCTAGAAGCACGTTTATATAAAAAATGTGTTTCTACAAAATTTATAGAATAAATTAAGTGTTCAAGAGTTTTAATTTTATTTATCTTTTAAAAACAGTTTTTTTTTCTTTGGAAAATAATATTTATTTATTTAAAAGGGTAAGAAATTTCTGTTTTTCTTTACTTTTTAACGTATACTATTTAAACATAACCTTAAACTTCTTATATATTTAAGCCTTTGAAATATAATTTTTTCGTTAAAAAAAAAAAATTTAATAATCTAAAATGTCATATATATAACGCCTCGCTCCTGAAATTTTTCTATTGCGTCCAATCTAGGGTCCACAATTCTTATCAAAAACAAAAATTTTTCTTCGATTGTACATTATTGCCTTCTGTATGAATTAAAAGATTTCGATAGAAAGTGAAAATTAAAAATTATACGTGACTAAAAAAAAATTTTACTTTTCGCCAAAAAAAACTTACTTTTTCTTAAACCAGAATGTTAAATTCGAATAAAAAAAAATTTTTTTCATACAGAAGGCACTAATGTACGATTGAAGAAAAAATGTTGTTTTTTTTTTGTTTTTGATAAGAATTGTGGACCATAGATTGAACGCAATGGGAAAATTTCAGCAGCGAGACGTTTATTTTATTATTAAGGCCATGTGAGATAAAGTCACTTTTTGGTAGTTCCAAGTATTCTCGTAAATGAGAAGAAATTTTGAGGAATGATAAAAAAGGGTTAAAGGAATTGGGCTGTTCTACTTATTTACTATAATTGAATGCGAAATAATTTAAAAGAAGTAATTAATAGTGGAGTTAATTGGTTTTTTTTTATTTCTTTGAGCGGCTTCTAACTCGAATTGGCGCCATTCTGAATGCTATTCTCTAAACAAATTTTACAAATTTCAACCAAAAATTCTTTACCATTTTAGAAAAAACTTGGTAATACAATACCATGTTTTTTGCATGGGTGTCACGTGGGTATTTCCCACATGGCCTTAAATTTTATTTTTTTTTTTTTTAATAAAAAAATTATATTTCGTAGGTTTAAATATATAAGAAAACATCTACAAAATAACTCGTATCAATTTATTTCAATGCGTTTCAGAAAAAAATTCCTGAAATTTACACATTTTTTGACTTTCTATAAAGTAGGCGCCCTTTAATTATTGATTTTATTTACAGATTTTTAAAAAATATATTAATTCTTTTTGAAATCTTTCTATATATTTTTTTTCCAATTATTGGATGATAATTTTTGTAAAATTTATATATTATATCCCCTGATGAGGAATAATAATGTTCGAAACTAGTTAGGAATTTTAAAAAAATATATATATATGATGTATTCCATGCCAAAGTGTAAGTCCATCTGCAATTGCATCTCCGATTTTTTTTAGTACTAATTGAGACTAGCTTCCATGAATTTTTTCAAATATTTTTAGCAAAGCCGTTTTCGAGTTATGGAATTTTGAAAATTGGAGAATTTTCATGACTTTTAATTTTTGAATACTCATAACTTCCTTAAAAATCATCAATTTTAAAAGTCGTTTTTTTCAAAATATGGGTTTTTAAACGTACTTTTCAAAAAAAAAACGAAATTTTTTTTAAATGATATTACTATCAATTTTTTTTTTACTATCAAATTTTTTAGTTTTAATGATAAAAAGTCATTTTTCTCATTTGACGTACTGATCGATTTTTTTCAAAATTTTTGCAAAAAACTACTTTTTACGAAACTTTTAAGCCTAGGCCGATAATGGGCAAACGATTTTTACAATATTTTCGGAAATTTTCAAAAAAATTTAAATTTTGAATTTTTTAAAAATATTTTTGATTTTTTTTATACTACGTACTTTTATGTATTTTTATGCTCTATGTACGAAAACCGTAGTAACAATACCCAAAAATTTGATTTTTATGGTAAAAACCATAAAAAAAAAGTTCCAAAATTTATGGTTTTTTTCGTTTTTTGGGTAAAATATGCAAAATTAAAAAACAAAACTTTCAAACAAAAGTTATAGAACTTATTAAAATACATTTTTTATATCTTATGCATTTTTTACCCAAAAAACGAAAAAAACCATAAATTTTGGTACTTTTTTTATGGTTTTCACCATAAAAATCAAATTTTTGGGTATTGTTACTATGGTTTTTGTAATCAGCGCATCAAAATACATAAAAGTACGTAGTATAAAAAAAAACCAAAAATATTTTTAAAAAATTCAAAATTCAAATTTTTTTGAAAATTTCCGAAAATATTGTAAAAATTGTTTGCCCTATATCGGCCTGAGCTTAAAAGTTTCGTAAAAAGAAGTAGTTTTTTTGAAAAAAATTTGAAAAAATCGATCAGTACGTCAAATGAGAAAAATGACTTTTTATCATTAAAACTCAAAAATTTGATAGTAATATCATTTAAGAGTATGTGGGAACCTCCCACGTGACCTAGTATGGGAAAATGTGTTTTGGTAGTATACATTTCACTCTAAAATAAGAAAAGATTTTTGTCTAAAATTTTGAAGGATGATAGATTAGGGTACAAAGAATCTCGCTGTTCTCCGAAAAATACATAATTTTGAGTTAAATTATTAAAAAATTAAGTTTAAAAAGTGTCATTTTTAAACGAAAATGAAAACAAAGATGGCGGTGCATACACAGACGTTGCTTGAGTGTGTCAGTGCTCCAGTAAACAGCGCCAATTCGAGCGAGTGGCCGCTAAACGAACTATGATAAAACACATTATTTTACTATTTATTGCTTTATTTGTATTATTTTTGCGTTAAATTATGGTAAATAAGTAGAACAGCGAGATTCCTTGTACCGAACAAAATCATTTCTCCAAAATTTTAACCTGCAATCATTTTTTATTTCAGAGAAAGTTTCAAACCACAAAAAAACGTCCTTTACCCACATACCCTTAAAAAAAATTTTCGATTTTTTTTTGAAAAGTACGTTTAAAAACACACATTTTGAAAAAAAGACTTTTAAAATTGATGCATTTTTAAGGATTAAATTAAATTAAAAGTCATGAAAATTCTCCAATTTTCAAAATTTTATACCTCGAAAACGGCTTTGCTAAAAATATTTGAAAAAAATCATGGAAGCTAGTCTCAATTAGTACTAAAAAAAAAATGGGAGTAGCAATTGCAGATGGACTTACACTTTGGCATGGAATACATCATATACATCTTTAAAACCGTATCTAGGCCTTTTTGATTAATAAATTATTTATAATTAGACGGTTAATAACAAAAAGCATATAAATTAAAATTTAGTTGTAATTAAAAAAAAAAAATATATTAGAAATGAAACATTGTAAAAATGAAATTTTCGCAGAGTATTCGCGAATGAAACTTCGCAATTTTTGGCTCCTTATGAGGCTTCTGTTAAACCTCGACAGGACGATTCTTTGACACCAGATGTGCCAATGGAAATAAAACCAGGAATTGGTGCTAGTGCTTCGCATGTACGTGTTGTAAGTAATAGAGAGCACCATTTTTCCTTTGTTTCCTTAATATAATTTCTTAATTGGATACTCAGAGTGAACAAATTTATGATTTAATGATTATCAGTCAATAGAAATCCGTTTCACATGAATAAATTCTATTTCTATTCTATTTTTCGTTTTGAAGATAAAATTTCTTTGTTTACTTAAAAAAAAAAGTCTTGTCTAAATTAAAAAGAACAAAACAAAATTTAAGTTCATTAAAAAATTTACTCTTTTACAAACAAAAAAATTAAATAAATTTCAATGTTTAATTGAATTTGAATTTCAGTAAATTTTTGGATAAAATATCTAATAATTAAAAACAATAAATAAATATTATTATTATAGATAAATCCTTTTTTTTATATAAAATTTCTTTAAAATTATACTTATTATATTTATAATAATTAGGTATATACTTATTATTTTTATAATTAATTGTATTTTTTTCTTCTTGTGAAATATTTCTATTTATTGTTGATTTTAAATCTAATATTTTTAAATTTAAAAGAAAAATTTTTTATTTCATTCAAATTGTTTTTTAAATTATCTTTATTTTTAATATTTACAATAATTTTTTACTTTCTGTGTGATTTAAAAAAATGAAAAATTATAAAATTAAATTTAAAAAACGAATTATTCCGTTTAGTTGACCATTTTCGCACTGCACTTAGGAATTTAGAATCATTTTGTAGAAGTAGATCTTAGAAATGTAGAATCTATTTAACTTTTATTATATTTTTTAATGATCGAGGCAGCAAATTTTTTTCTGGTTTTTAAACAACAAACTTTTAAATTGTAAATAATATAAAAATAGACATTAATCCAAAGATTACTATTAAAATAATAAAATAACAAAAATTAAATAATACTTTTAATAAATTTTAATTTTCAAAGAGGAATTAATGATTTTTCCTGTACTTTTTAATACTAAACTAATTTTTAAAAACCTTGTTTTTTTAAAATCAAGTTTTATTTTCAAATTTTAACTAAATGTGAGGGAAAATTATAATAAACATTTTTTATTAACTCTGATCAATCTTAAATAATAAATGTTAATTATTTATTATGAAATTCCAATTTCTTATAAAAATTGGAAAAATAATTCTTATTGAAAATTTGTATAATATATTTGTAATATCGCGTTTTTTTAATTGTAGATGTTAGTTCTTTTTTTTCGGATGATAAATAGACCATTTTTTTCTTCAATAAATCTGCTTATCTTCAGGGGGAGCTTTCAAGTGTCACAGGTATGGAAAGTCGATCACTTAGTGCAGATGTAGCAGCTTGGAATCCATTTGAAGATGCTCAACCCTTTAGTCAACTAACAGAGGATCATATTTTTGGTGCTGAATTTGATAAAATTAGAAGAGGAAGCAATAGCAGTATCAGTGGTGTTAAAAGTCGTGAAAGTTTAGTTATGTCATACACGGAAGTGCCCGAGGACCCTTTTGAATCGGCTCCATTCAGTTTACCTGGTCAGTATAGAAATTTATTTATTTTCATTATTTTATTTAGTATTTTTCATTTCTTTCGTTTTATTTTTATTTTTCCAACCAATTTCGAAAAAAATTATTTAATTAATTTATCATTTTTTTTTCTACCTACGTAACTATTTAAAAAAAAAATAATAAATTAGTAAAATCATTTTTTCGTATTTTCAATTTTTGAAATTTTCCAATTTGCTATTTTATTGCTAAATAGTTTTATCTAAAACTGAAATATATTTTCTTTTTTTTGAAAGATATGTATTAAATTTTATTCAATTTTTTTCTTTTTTTTTTGTTTTGGTCTTAAAGTAATTTTATTATTTATTTCAGCAAGCAAAAAGAATAAACTGGGATCAAAGGCGACCGCAATTGCTGGAGGTAATGCATGAGATTTTTATTTCATTCTCTACTTTAAAAAAAAAAAAAATACTCTTCTCTCTCTTTTTTCTTTTAAGTTGCTAAAACGCTACAATAGTCATTTATATGTATAAAAGAAAAGAATTCTGGAGACTTAATCAGGGTATTGACTAAATATATTTAAAATAACTTTCGCCGCTTAAAAAAGCAATTCGAATAATAATAATCGTGTAGGCTATATGAAATGAAAGAAAAAAAAAAAACAAGTCACAATCTAGTCCCATTAATACGCAATGAATTTTCATTTGAAATTTCTCTCAAAAAAAAAAAAAAATATATGAAAAATAGGACCAGTGAGATTTTTCTATATGAGAAAAATTGTCGGTAAACCTGAGAATTTTTATTTTTCCTTTTTTTATTTTCTGTAATAAAAACAAAATAATTCCCAATTTTTTAAACTATTTTTTTTTGTATCATTCCATTGATCAAAAAAAGAATAATCAATTTTTTGTTTATTAATGAAATAATCAATTTCCGATTAATTTCATTTGAAAGTTATGATTATCATTTTATAATTAATTCAGATTTCATGAATCTAGTCTTTAGATTGTTATCTGTAAATGATTAAAAATTAATTTACATTTAACTTTTACCTTGAAATAAATGTTTAACGGATGATTTTTAAAGAATAATCTTATTAAACTTTTTTTTTTTTTTTTCTCAAAAAAGAGGAGAAAGATTTTTTAAGAAAAAGTTTTTTTTAAAGATTCAATTTGTTTTGTTTGAATTTATTTGTTATTATTATTTTTTTGTTTGTTTTTAATTTAGTATAATCGAACACTTCCAGTTTTAGAAAAAAAAGACATTTCAAAGTGTCGGCTTTATCAAAAATAGGTTTTTGATTTTAACTTTTTCTTATATTTAATTGTTTTTCTTTTTTTTTTGTAACATAATCAAAATTACTCTTGCAATATTTTAATTATTTTTAAAATAATATTTAGAAATGTACAAATAAATTAAAATTAATTAAAATTAATTAAAAATAAATGTATATATATATATTAAACGTATATAAATTTAAAAAAGAATTTCATTTGACAGAAAGATTTAAAATTTTCATTTCTAATTTATTATGGTGATAAAGAGAAAAAAAAAGAACAATCTGAAAATGAAAGTTACAGAGCTTAAAAATCCCCAATTTTTTTGGTGAATGATTTAAAAGAAAAGAAATTCAAAAAAAAAAAGAATCAAATTTTAACATAAACGCTTGAGAAAATTGAATTGTATAATATAACAAGAACCAAAGAGTCGACATTTTGAGATTATAAATTGAATCAGTTTTAACTTTAAGATAAACACCAAGATATTTTTATTAGACGAACAAATACCTATATAGACGATACAATAGTTTAAAAATAAAAAAAAAAATATATATATATATAATATATATGGGTGTTTTTGAGGATATTTCTGTGATTAAATTTTGCTCAGTTATATTTTTATGCTCAATCATCCCATAGAGAAATTCTTTTTCTATTCTATATATAAAATATATATATAAAATATATGTTTCCACCTTTGTAGAATGCGATAAATCACACATTTTTGAAACATCGAATTTAAAATCCAATTTACAGTTTAAAAAAAGAACAAAAAGTAAAACTATAATAAAAAAGAAAGAAAGGAACAGAAAATCAGTAAATTGTAATTAGTTTTTATTGTAAAAAAAAAGGGCAATACTTTGAAAGACACTATCGACGAAAATTTTCTATTATTATAATTGAATAGAAAATTAAATTAAAAAAGTCGATTATTGTAAATAGTCGAAAGTTTTTTGACTGTAAAAAAGAAAAAAAAATGGAATTGTTTGCTGAATTATGAGAAATTAACAAAAATTATGGAATGGTGCGATTAGATGTAATGTGAGATATACATATATAAATATATAAATAACATATGAATTTTATGATTGATAAATATGGTTAAGTGAGAAGAATTTACTTTTAATTCTACTAAAAAAAAAAAATACTTTTAGTGTATATATATGTAGTTTAAAAATGTATATTACTGCGAAAAAAATCTTTTTTTTTTTCAAATTTCAAGCTTAGCTTTTTTGACTTAATTTCGCTAAAAGCACAAACGCCGATAACAAAATCGGTTCTAGTTCAATTTCTCTCTAATAATTCGCAATGACAACAAAAAATAAACAAGCTTTCTTTCTTCATAAATCGAGCACTCTATTTTAAAAAATTAACTTTTCTGCACAATTTCTAATTAAAAAAAAAATCGTTACCAATTTAATCGAAATTTGATCCTTTTTTTAAAAAAAGGAGTTTCAATTTTTTCTAAAAATTCTATTAAATTATTTTGTACAAATAAATTTACATTTTTTTCTCGTTTTTTTTTGGTTTTAGTTTAAATTATTCTTTTGAAGTAAAAATTTCCAAATTTTATTTCAAAATTTCAATAATAATTATAAATAAATGTAATATTATTCATTAACAAATTAATTAATATTCAATTTTTTTAAATATATTTGTTTAAATATCTCTTTATTTTCTCGTTAAATGTAAATTAAATAAATTTAAATTATTTTCTTTCAATAAAAAAAAAAAATTATTTTTTTTGTTTAAGTAAATTTTTAGTTGTCTTTTTTTTGAATTATCAAATTTCGATTGAATTTTTATTGAAATTTTCTATAAATATAAATTTTAAAGGCACAGATGTGACTATATATAAATATTATAAATATTTAGTGTAAAAAAAAAAAAAAAATTACTGAAAATCGCGATAGCTGGTTATCTGCCTTCCAATTTCGGCGAAATAAAAAATCAACAATTTTTTCGTGTATATCTGTTGACCTCGCGGGTAGAACTTATACTCTTATTATAATTGTGATCTCCTTTCTAAAAAAAATTAATAATATTGTGAATGTAAATTAGCATGTCCTTCGGGGAAAAAAAAAATCGAATCTATTTTTCATGAAAAACCCGATTATCTTCTTTCCTCGCAAATAATGTGATGTGCATGGTGACTTATAAATGGTTGATTAAAAAATTTACGAGACTTTCTAAACTGATATTTTCAATTTTTTTTTCTTCTTAAATTCTAATTTATTGATTTGATTAATAATTACATGGTAATTAATTAGTAATGTAAATAAATCAATTTTTTTTCGTTATTATTAAAAAAAAAATCTTTTATTGTTTTGAAAAAATTTGATTTTGCAAGGAAAAAAATTATTTTATTTAATCGGTTACTTGACTATTTTCAAATAAATATTGACTTGAACCAAATAATTTTTTTTTTTTTGAATTAAATAAATTTTATTTGAACTGATAATTTCTGTATTTGAAACAAATACGATTTAATTGACTCAAATAATAATTATTTAATACAAAATAAATATTTAGTTACCAAATTATTATTATTTGAATCAAATAAATATTTATTTTGATAATAGTCAACTAACCAATTATTATTTGAATAAAATAAATTTTTTTCTACAATATGTAAAATGAAAAAAAAAAAAAAAAATCAAAAAGCACTTTTAAAACTAGAAAACTCTCGATAAACTTGAAATCTTCTTTTTGAGGAAGTGATTGGGCAGAATGTTGGTTTGTTTGCTTGTTCACATATAACTCTGTAAATATTTAATTACAATGGCACTAATGTTAATTGGCACTCTAATAATAATTATTAAAAGAAACAAAAAAAAAAGGAATAGAAAATTGATCGCCTCTTTAAAATGTCTTCGATGACTTAAAAAAAACAAAAAAAAAAAAAGTCAACGAATTGTATAGAAAAAGTTTTATTGTCGAAATGAGCGATCTTTTAAAAAATAACAAAAAATATTAATAATTCATCTGTCCACTGTCTGGAACATCCTAATGAGTTTGGAAGGTTAAAAAAATTTAATCTCTCTCTCTCTATATATATATATATGTCAGTCTAATCTGCAAAAAAAACTGGATTTTCATCCTCGTCCCTCATTGCTTCCCATCTCCGATGTCTATAATAATAATTAATTATTATAATACTTAAAAAAAATAACAATAATATATATTTGTTTCCGAAAATTAATATCAATGGAGAAAAAAAAATAATAACAATAATGCGATTGTCTTTTAAAAATGAAAAAAAAACCAGTGGACAAAGCATGCTTATTTTATCTTTAAATCGCTGTATAAAATATAATATAAAAAAAAATGAAAAGAAAAGAAAGAGTGAAAAATTGTTTTACAGAATATATATTACGAGCAATGCGATGGGTTACATAATTTTTCGTATATATATATATATACATTGCTGTGTATAATGAATAATGTTTACAGCAATAAAAATATCTATATATTAGCATAAAAAAAGTCTTGTTTTTTCTGCTCACGGACATTTTTTTGAAAAAAAAAAAAAACGCAGAAATCCTGACAAATTTTTATTATCGAAATCTTCAATGAGAAAATTAGATAAAATAAATTAAAAATAATTTATTTCAATGAGAAAATTAAAGTATAAATTATTTAGTTTATTTTAATTTTTTTTATTGAAGTTTTCGATCGCGACAAATTATTTTCAATTTATGGGAAAAATTATAATTTTATTCAAAAAAAAAAAGACAAAAGTTTTTCAATTAGTTTAAAAAATATTATTTTCTAAATATAAAGAAAAAGGGAATTTTTTTTATTGAATTCATTTTATGTTAAGATTTTGAATTTTTTTTTTTTTAATTGCTGAATGTCCATTGAATTTTTGTTACAGGCAAATATTTTTTGTCACTTTAGATTAATTTTGGTAAATTTTTTTCTTTTTGCTTTGGGATTACTGCGTTTTCATAAAGATCCTTAATCCTCCAAAATCTGATTAGAACTGTTCCAGACAAGGTGGTGGCGGTACTAACACACTATAATTTAAAAAAGAAAAAATATCTAGTTTTAACAAAAGAGAAAAAAAAATGAAACTATAAAATTTGTGACGTGCCCGAAGATTTTTTAGAGATGAATAATATTTGTCGAAAAATTGTGCTTCCTTTTTGTTTCACATTACACCGAGAACTGCAACAGACCTAATCAGACATTTCCTAATCCTTCTAAAATAAAAAAAAAAAAAAATTGTATCATTTATTTCTATTTTCTGACTTGTAAATATTCTTTTACTTTAGATTCTATTTATTTATTTCTATAATTCTGAAATTGGTCAATTTAGTGAAAACTTCTAATTTCCGTGCACTGATTTCTATGAATGAAAGTGATAATTGCACTCGATTTTATTATTAAATTATTATTATTATTATTATTCTATTTAGGTAAGTATAAACGGGTTTTCTAATTTTTATTTTTTTTACACTTTCAGGCTTCGAAGTGACACTTTTTTTTTACTTTTTTGATATTTTTTTCTCAACAATGCTACTTTTTTACTATTAATTTTGGCCAAAAGCCACTAAATTCTACTTTTTTAAAAAAATAATTTTTAAAATTACAGAATTTAAGTATTTTAAATGTTAGCGAAATTTTTTGATTCCTAAATGCTCGCCAAGTTGATGATTTATTATTGACTGTGTGAACTACTTTATATAATTATTTTTACACAAATTTTCATTTTTCAAAATAGCATTTAATATAATTTCTTTTTAAACGACCTTTTTACTCAATAGAATTTTTAATTTGGCAAATTTTTATTTCACAGAATTTTTATTTTACAAAATTTCTCTTTACTCAACCGTTTTTTTTTTAATAATTCTAATTTAACCGAAATTCAAACAATAATTGAATTTTAGAGTATTTTGAATTGAAAAATGTTTTAAATAATTGAAATGCCAAGATTTTGATTAAAGTTATTAGAAATAATTATTTCAACAAAAAATGTGAATCAAAATTTTTAATAATTGAATTTTAAGAGATTTTGAATTAAAATTTTTGTAAATTAGAATTGCTGGAAAATTATTAACAAAGTTTCAAATATTAATTGAATTTTAGAGAATTTTTAATTAAAAAATGTTTTATTTAAAATTGAATTTTTGAATAATTGGATTAAAATATTATGAATTTAGCAAAGAATTTTAGATACAAATTTTAAAAATAATTGAAACAGTTGGGTAAAGAGAAATTTTGTGAAATAAAAATTTGGTACTTTGAAAATTCCGTTGAGTAAACATTCGTTTAAAAAAAAATTCTGTATTAAATGCTATTTTGTAAAATAAAAATTTATGTGAAAAATCATTTTTATGGAATAATCATACGCTCCTATCGTTGTGCCAAAAATAAAAAGTTAATCGAAATTTAACAATAGATAGTTTTTTTTTTTTAAAAATGATACTTTTCCATACTTTTCTTAGTCTCATATTACGCTTCGAAGCCTGCACTTTTCTATCATCTACTAAAATTCATCATAATTTTATCTTTTTAAAACCATTGTAATAAAAAAAAAATTTCTCCATATTTCTGGATATTAAAAAAGGAATCAAAATTTCCAATTTGAAAAAACATTTGACTCGTCATAAATACACTTAAAAAAAAAATAGTATTGAGTCAAGAAAACCTATGTACTTGACTGTATTTTATACCAATATTTTCTTGATCCAAGAAATTTTTATTAGTTTGAAGTAAATTTTCTTGGATCAAGAAAATATTGGTATAAAATACTATCAAGTACATAGGTTTTCTTCATTCAATACTATTTTTTTTCAGTGTATTTTCTTTTTTATGGGAGGTACCGGTAAAATTTCAACTCATCGAAATTAATGTTGTTAAGGGGTTTTTAATTTTTTTCTGTCATTATTTGGAATCTAAATAATTATTGTAAAGTATCAAAATTAAAGAAAAAAATTTTTTTTTACCTTTTTAGAAATTTTATTTTTTTAAAATATTAACATTTTTTCAAAATCCATACGAAAGATTGTTCAAAATCATGAAAAAAAGCCTACAAAAAAATTATTAATAAAAAATAACAAAAATTGTGGAAAAAATTGAATTTTTAAGAAATAATTGATAAAATTTAAATAATTGGTTTTGTTTGGGGGTAACAATTTTTTTTTAATTTTTTTAGAATTTGAAATTTCACTATGAAAAATGAAAAAATGTAATTTTTAACAATTTTACAGTTTTTTATTTTTCAGAAATTTTATTTTTTGAAAAAATTGAATTTTTTTCCAAATCCACATGATCGATTGTTCAGAATCATGAAAAAAGTGTATCAAAAAATCAGCAATGAAAAATAATAAAAATTGCGATAGAAGTTTAAATTTTTAGTTTTTGATCGAGTTTTATTATTTAAAAAAATATTACATTTATTTATTATTGTTTTTCAATTTACAATTTTAAATATTTAATATTGTCAGAAAACAAAATTGACAACCATAAAGAGCCTTAAATTCAAAAGGTTTTATTATAATTGAGATAAAAAAATTGTTTCATATTTCTGGATATTAAAAAAGAAACCAAAATTTCAAATTGAAAAAATTCGTTTTTTTTCTGTTTAAAAAATTTTTTTTCGTCACAATTGCGGGGAAAAAATTTTCTCTTGCTTCATATTTCGTTATCTTAAAAATAGAAAAAAATTCTAATTGAAAATATAATTTATTTATTTTTTTTTTTTTTGTGCAGGAATGAATGAGCCAAGGGGAAAAATATTCACTCACTGGAGTCCAGAAGCGGAAAATGCCGGCGTCGATGACGAAGCGTCATTAATTGCCGAATCTAGTCCCGTCTCGCCTCCATTTGTAAAAGCTCCAATGGAAGATCGTTCAAAATATGAAAAACTCGCCTTCAACGCCGATGAAGTGTCAAGTGACGACAGCGATAAGGAAATAGCTCAACGAAATGTTGATCGAACAAAAAAAAAGAGACGACGAATGAAAGGTGTTTTGACACGACGAAAAAAAGAAACAAATCACGATGTTAATAATCCTCCAGTTGAATATGAATCAGACGATTCTATTGGTTCGGCATCGGATTTAAAAGCAATGAACGACGAGGATTGCAATGGTGACAATGAGGATGAGAGGGAAAAAATTGATGAAACAATTTCCGAAAGTGTACGAACGTGTGGAAGTTCAGCTTATCACGCTGAATGTGAATCAGTTGCAACGCACGAGGACGATCATCGTTTAAAAAGATCGCGACGTCATCATCATCATCATCGAGAACAATTGCCAACAATTGTTTCAGATCCTGTCGTTGGTCATCAGTACGGTGAGAAACCACTTTTACTTGACGATGAACTTGATCCCGAGGCAAAACCCGAACAAATTCACGGTGATCCATTTGTTGGTCATCAATATCGAGTGAAATCATTGATGAATCATGACAACAGCTCATCGGACGATGGGGAAAATACGAAATCATTAAAAAATGGCATCTGGCGAATTGAAGAAGATGTCTTTGCCCTTGCTCCATTTCCAAGATCAAGTAGTTCGAGAAAAAGTAGCTGTAGTCGTGAAAGTATTGTTAAAAATCAATTAACAAATTCACCGAATACATCAAATCTCGTTACACCAATAACAAGTTCACCAATTGTTTCCGGTACATTGGTCGATATTGGTGATAATTTCATAAATTCTGATTTTCCATCTAAAGAAAATGAAAATCATGAAAAAGATTTATTTGGCTCGTCACCATTTTCAGGTGAATTTTCCTTTAATCAAAAACCAAATCCATTTAATCAAAATTATGATGATGGTACACAAATTCTCATTTCAAATCCAGTTCCAATAAAGCAACAATTTTTTCCCGATTTTTCACGAAACAATATGATAACATCAACATCGAAATTTGGTATTGTTACTGTAAAAACAGATGAGTCAAAAGATTTATTTGGTTCAATTCCCTTTGATGAGCTAACAACACTAAATATGAATCTTCAAGAGAGACCAAATTCATTGCCACTCTCGCAATCACCAAATTTTGTTGACAATGCATTGACATCGATTTTATCGTCAAGTGTAAAATCGACAAATTCTGGACAATATGATTATTCACGACAAATGGAGCAACACGCGACACGTATTACAATACAAGCGACAAATAGTGTTTCAAGAGCTACGGATATGATAAATTCAGCTATTGTTTCACCAATGTCACCTGAACCACTAGTCATGGATGATGATTCACCGAAATTTAAAAAGGATAAATCTTCTAAATTGGACAAGTCAAAATATCATTTGATTAATGAAAATCGTAGTGATATGATTAATGTGTTGCCAGTGAAAATTTCACATAAAAATAAAGGTGCAAGTTATAAAAATAAAACACCGAAAGGTAAAAAAAGTCCAGCTGTTGCCGCTGCTGTTGCTGGCGTTAGTAATATGAGTTTTGAAGATTTTCCCAGTGATGAGAATAATGAGAGACACGTGGGAACGACATTGACGCCATTTGAAGTGATACGCGAGCCTGAAAAGAGGTTTGGCTCTTTAAAAAGAAGAAGTAATCCATTTACTTGAGGGCACGTTAGTGGGAAACTGGATCAAGTTATTCGAAGGTACGCAGGTGTTTTATCTGGAGGTAGATGTAAGAAATTCAAATTTTAAAAAATATTCAAGAGACGAAGGGAGATTTTACGATTATCCCATAAAAATCATTAAATAGAATTTTTATTTTAAAAAATTTTATTAATTATTCATTATTTTTTGAATTAGCATTTAAATTCGATTTCAAAACGAATTGAAAATTGAAAATTCGTTTAAAAAATATTTTTTTCTAATAAAATTCTTTAAATTGAAAATTTTAATTAATTATTATATTTATTTATTAAACTCAATTTTAATATAACGCAATTGTTTGACGAAATTTTTTTTCGAACGAATTTTTATTAAACAATTTTAATTTAAAGAATGAATCGAACAGACTGGTCAAAATAAAAGTTAATTTAACTTCAAATTTTCGTATTTTTAAATAAAAATCTTAATTAAAAATATTTTTTAAATAGGTAAACGATTTTTCAGTATAAATGTAAACACGCAAAGACAGAAATGATGCCTGTTTTACTGATAGCACCATATACTTTTTAGTTATCTGTTTATTTGTTTGAGTCTTGTAAGTGCTAACAGTCTAAGTGCTTACTTCCTGAGCAGTAAATTTCTTTGTTTTCTTTACCTTCGGTTTATGTCCAGGGTTCTTTTGAAACCATTCTTAGCAGTAGGTTAAATGTGCAAACTGTTCTACCTGTTTAAATAAAAATCTTTGTTAAACTTATGCTTTTTCCAAATGCATAAGCCATCACTTTCGCATTGAATTGTATTGTTTACAATATTGTGATCTGACAAAAATCGTGCATTCTTTGATCTTGTTGACTGGCGAAGGGTTCCTACAGCATAAATGAAGAAATAGATGTGAGGGTTTTTAAATGCGAAATAAAATGTCTTAGAGATTTTATTTATTTTTAACATTTTCAATATTTTTTTTTACTGTTTTGAAACTCCCTGACTAATCATTTTGATAAATTGTTGGATATTGAATGTTTTTGAGACAGTAACATTCATATTTTGCTTTTCAATTAAATTTGCGTTGAATTTATTAGCATTTATTTTCAAAATTTTAAGGCCTTCTTTAATTGTTGAGTCTTCCAAATTTGTCAATTGTGAAGTGGATTCTATATCATAAATATCACTATTATCTATTTCTATGACTAATTCTTGCAGTCCAGAAACTGTTTGATGAGAAGCCCCCATTTTGAAATTACCCATCTGTACTTTTTCTACGTGAATCTTTTGGAAGAGGAAAGCAGCCATACACAGATTAGGATATTTATTCTTGACATCTTGAGGAACTCCAGGCTCTAGAAAACTAATATATGACCAGTGAATTCCGTATTTTTCTTTGAGTTTTTTGATATGTCTTGAAATTAGGGCTATTTAATTGCACCGAATACATTGTCTTTGGTCAAACTAACTCCATCAAAGGTGACCTTTGGTAAAATGGTGGACTTTCGCGCGTTAATAAATTTCCGCGTGCATCGTCCACATTATTAGAATACTTATCTAATTTCACTAAACACAAAGGGAGATTTCAACCAACTGGACAACCGGTGCAAAGATGATCCCAAGATTTTATTACCCAAATGACTTACATCGGTTTGTGTAGTCTACGTTTCACCCCTTGTGAATATTTGCGTCATATATACTCCATGTGTGTCGTGCATAGCATAGCAGTAAATGCAGCATAAACTGGTATATTTCCTTCAAAATTATCTAAATAATGTCCTCCAGTATGACAGCTTTCATTAAGTGCCCTTACTACTTCATGGTCTTCATGCAATGTTAGGCACAACATCTCTTGGAAAAATTGCAGCACTAAGTGGAGTCATGACAAATATCTCATCAGTGCTGTTTTTACCATGCAAGAAAAAGCACGCAAAGGCAGAAATGATGCCTGTTTCACTGACAACACCATGTACTTTACAGTTATCTGTTTATTTGTCTGAGTCTTATAAGTGCTAACAGTCTAAGTGCTTACTTCCTGAGCAGTAGGTTTCTTTGTTTTCTTTACCTTCGTTTTATGTCCAGGGTTCTTTTGAAGCCATTCTTCGCAGCAGGTTAAATGTGCAAACTGTTCTACCTATTTAAATAAAAATCTTTGTTAAACTAAAATAATGGAACTCCAGGCTCTAGAAAACTAATATATGACCAATGAATCCCGTATTTTTCTTTGAGTTTTTTGATATGTCCTGAAATTAGGGCTATTTAACTGCACCGAATACATTGTCTTTGGTTAAAGTAACTCCATCAAAGGTGACCTTCGGTAAAATGGTGGACTTTCGCGCGTTAATAAATTTCCGTGTGCATCGTCCAAATGACTTACATCGGTTTGTGTAGTCTCCACGATTCACCCCTTGTGAATACTTGCGACATATATACTCCGTGTGTGTCGTGCATAGCGAGTAGTATGATAAATCAATCTGATATTTCATGTTCTCGATCAATCTCTTTTAAATTGGGTATTATCTTTAATGACATTATCTTCATACTGATTTGGTTTTTGATCTTATGCCTATCAGCAGGTCCTAATTTCTTCCAGGATCCCATATTTCAAATCTTTTTCCTTCAGCAAATTTCTTTTTAATTTCAGATAAAGATTATTCAATCGGTACTCCACCAGTAGCAAGGATTAATATTGCCAATAGTTTGTTTCTTTCAATACTCTTGCCTGCTCTTAAATACTGTTTTATTGTCTTTGTGACTATTAATGTTTTTAATTCTTCTTTTGCTGCCTTTGTAGCAGTAAGTGCAGCATAAACTGCTCTATTTCTTTCAAAATTATCTAAATAATGTCCTCCAGTATGACAGCTTTCATTAAGTGCCCTTACTACTTCATGGTCTTCATGCAATGTTAGGCACAACATCTCTTGGAAAAATTGCATCACTAAGTGGAGTCATGACAAATATCTCATCAGTTCTGTTTTTACCATGCAAGAAAAAGCACGCAAAGGCAGAAATGATGCCTGTTTCACTGACAATACTTTTCAGTTATCTGTTTATTTGTCTGAGTCTTGTATGTACTTACTTCCTGAGCAGTAGGTTTCTTTGTTTTCTTTACCTTCGTTTTATGTCCAGGGTTCTTTTGAAACCATTCTTAGCATTAGGTTAAATGTGCAAACTGTTCTACCAGTTTAAATAAAAATCTTTGTTAAACTAAAATAATGGAACTCCAGGCTCTAGAAAGCTAATATAGGACCAATGAATCCCGTATTTTTCTTTGAGTTTTTTGATATGTCCTGAAAATAGTGCTATCTCCCGAATTATGGCCAGATCACGATGCGCTAAGTTTTTTGTTGTTCCTAACATGAATTCTGAGATGAATTTGTATACTGAAATGCCAGCATAATTGATCAGACTGTATGTAGCTTTGGTTTCTGGGTGAATTGTTGATTCTCTTAGGAAGAAATATAACATTTGAACTAGAATCTGGGAATATAAATTTTTTAACTGTGCCACCCAATAAAAAGTTAAAACCGCCAATCCTTTTCTTTTTGAATTCTTCATAGTGCTCATTGTACAAGATTTTAATTTGCTTCTTCTATACGATTGAGATTTCAAGTGCTGCCGAGAGGTTTACTTCTTCATCCTTTTTTCCAATGGTTACTCCATAACTAACCCAATCTTCTGTCAATTTGACAGTTATCTGAGGGAAATAATAATAGATTGCAGCTTTCACAACATTAATATAAAAAGAGATGTGATCTAGTCCATATTTAACTTCACCGAATACATTGTCTTTGGTCAAACTAACTCCATCAAAGGTGACCTTTGGTAAAATGGTGAACTTTCGCGCGTTAATAAATTTCTCCACATTATTAGAATACTTATCTAATTTCACTAAACACAAAGGGAGATTCCAACTAACTGGACAACCACTGCAAAGATAATCCCAAGATTTTATTACACAAATGACTTACATCGATTTGTGTAGTCTACGTTTCACCCCTTGTGAATATTTGCGTCATATATACTCCATGTGTGTCGTGCATAGCATAGCAGTAAATGCAGCATAAACTGGTATATTTCCTTCAAAATTATCTAAATAATGTCCTCCAGTATGACAGCTTTCATTAAGTGCCCTTACTACTTCATGGTCTTCATGCAATGTCAGGCACAACATCTCTTGGAAAAATAGCTGCACTAAGTGGAGTCATGACAAATATCTCATCAGTGCTGTTTTTACCATGCAAGAAAAAGCACGCAAAGGCAGAAATGATGCCTGTTTCACTGACAACACCATGTACTTTTCAGTTATCTGTTTATTTGTCTGAGTCTTATAAGTGCTAACAGTCTAAGTACTTACTTCCTGAGCAGTAGGTTTCTTTGTTTTCTTTACTTTCGGCTTATGTCCAGGGTTCATTTGAAACCATTCTTAGCAGTAGGTTAAATGTGCAAACTGTTCTACCTGTTTAAATAAAAATCTTTGTTAAACTAATACTGTTTCCAAATGCATAAGCCATCACATGCACACTATTCAGAGAAAGAAAGTAAACCATTCAGAGGAGCCTTAATTAGACAACGTACAGTCAAACCATCTGGACGCGCTCGAAAAAAATACAAGTTCCATAATCATTAGGTTATCATTAGGAGGGAAAAAATTTTCCTTTGCGTCCCAAAGTTTGAAAATCTTTCATTAACTTTTTCCAAGATTTCACGAACGTTCATCATTCTCTTCATAACAATCAATGTCTGCGCACGCGCACAAAAAAAAGTTCGTGAAATCTTGGAAAAAGTTAATGAAAGATTTCCAAACTTTGGGCCCGTCCAAAAGTGAACTACTAGTTTACGAAAGTTTCACGAACTATTTTTTTCCGTGCGGGGATATCCCCTCAATATTACATGAATTTCACGGGAATATTCCCTCATTATCATACGAATATGACGCTAATGTCACATGAATATCACCGTGGAATGTCCCCATGAAGCGGACATTATGATATCGCCTGAATGTCACAAGAATATTCTCACTTGATAGCCAGATATATGTTTGCATCATCCGCGGTCAGCAAATAATTTTCGTCCCCAACCTTGTAACCAAGCGTACTACCCTTTGGATAATATTCGAAAAACATTGATTTTGGTAAATAATTGTCAATGACGTCAAAATATCTTTCTTGATTGTTCGCTATAATTTTTCACGTCGTTTCGAACTCATCTCTTCCATCTTAAAGAAAATTTGATATTAATTTAATATTAATCTTATTATTTAATAAAGAGAAAATTAAGAATTAATAATTCTCCACCTGCATTGTAACCTCAAAATGTCACTTACCTTAACGGTTCAAACGAAAGAAATTAGTTTCGAATTTTCAAGCACGATTCACGAAACACTAAGGCAGGTAGGCATGCATGCCTATATGCAAAAAAAAACTTCTTTACCACCAGTTCCTGTCTGATTGCCACGAGGTGGCGGGTAGGCGCTTCCGTATCATCGCCATTTTGGATTTCCCCACCCAACTTGAACAATCTAAGTAGCACTAAAGGCACTCTCACACCTTTTTGGCTGCCTGTAGGTTACCATGGCAATGCATAAGAGTGAGTGCGACAGAAGATTTAAAATTTTGAATATTCAAATTTTCTGTCTCACTTACACTCATGCGTTGTCATGGTAACCTGCAGGCAGGCAGGCAGCAAAAAAGGTGTGAGAGTGCCTTAAGCCACCCAGGCTCACAAAATAGTTTCGTTTACTTGCAAAAATTTGAATTTATGAAAAAATATAATATATGTGAATCTTGAACATTATATAAAAAAAATCTAATAATTATTTAAGTTTATTGTCCTTATTTCAAATATTTTACATTACTTTTTTTTAAATTTATATATAATATTTAATATACGCAAATCTTGAATAAAATTCGTGAATTAAAATTTGAATTTAAGAAGAAAATAAACTCCAGATAAAATATCCAGTGTCAAAATGTTGACTTGAGAAAATTACCAGAAATCCCACACACTCGTATTATAATATAAATGACAATTATAATAATGATTATATCGACTCAAAAAAAAAACTGATATAGTTATTGAAAGTCCAGTGTCTTTGTATTATTAGAAATTCGAATGTGTTTTTCTTATTCAATATTATTTTAGCTTTTAGGAAAAGCGAGATAATATACATTTTCTTTTTTTGAAAGAAAATAGCTGATTGATTATAATATAAATGATAAAACAAAAAGTATTGAGTGATTTTATAATAATAAGAAAGAAGGTGCGAAATAAGTTAAATACATAAATAGCAAGCAAATATTTATTTCGTTAAATTTAGCAAGAGTATTTGAATATATTTGTTAAGGTATATAAAATAGCTTTCGCCTTTCAAGAAACTTAGATTAAATAAAAAAAAAAAAATTAATAATTATATAAATATATTTAAATATGGAAAAAGACTCGTTTCTTATATGGCGATGGCTCTTATATTTTGCTCTTTAAAAAATTAAATATTAATAATAAAAAAAAAAAATTAAATAAAAATCCAGGTTCTTGAAAACTTGGCAGCTTCATACCAAAATATAAAAAAATAAATAAATAAATAGAAATCTATATAAAAGGCATCTATTTTTGCAGCTAAAGCATTTTCACTACATTTGTACAGATCAAAATTTTCGCCAATATTTCCAATATTATTATATAGTGTTTAATCCAAAAAGACTACAAACTACTGCGAGGTAGAATAAAAAAAAAAAAAAATTTAGTGTAATTGACAAAAAAAATACGTATTTATTCAGGTTAATTTCACTCTAACGATCGACTTTTTTTTAAAAATGAATTTTCAAATTTAAGATAAAACATTTTTTTTTTCTCTCTATTTATTGAGAAATTTTTGGGCAGCTTTTTTTCGAAAATTCGTTTTCAAAAAAAAAAAAAAAAAATTAAAGCAAAAAAGAAAAAAAAACAATTTTTTCGCCATTGACATGAAAAAGTGTCTTTTTTGTGCCTGTTTTGGGCAGATAAAGTAGCACTTTTTAAGGCAGTTTGGGCCAACTGCCTAAAAAAGACTTTTTTAGGCAGCAAACTGCCGTATAAAGTCTTTTTTAGGCAGTAAACTGCCCTATAAAGTCTTTTTTAGGCAGTTGTTAATTTTTGCATAATTTTTTTTTTTGCTTTTATTTTATTTATCAATTTTTATTATTTTTTTTCTTTAAAATTGTTTCACTTTTTCATAACAATGGCGAAAAAAATAGCGTATGTGGCTCGCACGTAGTAATTTTTAGGTTCGGATGATTTCAATACTCGCTGTCTGTGCGACTTCGGTTCGACTCGGCTCGCTTTCGGCTCGACTCGACTCGCCTTCGGCTCGTCTTCATCTCACCTACAGCTCGCCTTCGTCTCACCTACGTCGCACTAACGACAGCTCGTACTGAAAATTACATCCTCACCTAAAAAGTACTACTTTACGTGCTTGCCACATAATATACTATTCTTAGAATTTTATGGACAATATAATCCTCGCTTTTTTAGTTAAATCTATAATAAATAGAAAAGAAAAAGAAAATACAATTCTATAGTGGAAAGTTATCTGAAATTGCCTTATTGAAAAAGACTGAAACATTAACAGTCCTTGAATCCTCATAAACATTTTTCTAATAGATTTAAATTTTGTTTAGGCTTTCCGATAAAAAAAAAAAAAAAAAAAAAAGTTGGTTTCAGGAATGTCAATTTGTACAACCAACTTTATATTGTCACTGGAAAAAAATATTATATTGTCTATAAAAACATGTGTCACATATTGTCTCTATAATAATCGATTTGGAAATTAATTTATCATTAAATACATATTGACTGTTTTATTCCACATTTTCTATTAGGAGAAAAAAAAATTAATAAAAAAAATCGAATTTAAAAATAATTAAATCAATTTTTTGATATAAATATATACTTTTTAAAAAAAAATTCTTTTCGAGGAAAATAATAATTGATTTCTTGTAATAATTTTCTTGATAAATTTTTATTTTTTATTTGAAGACAAAATTTGTAATTAATTTTCTAATTAATTAATTTTCTTTTTTAATGAAATAAATTCGAAAATGTGTCTTGAAATTTTTTTTGAATTTGCGGGGAAAAAGGTTTTTTTTTAAAAAAAAAATTGAGACAATATCCTAAAGTCGATGAGAGACGAATTATTATAATAATAATAAAAAAAATGACAAATTATAAAAAAGGAGTAAGCATATATGTATAATAATAATATATTTATGTGAGGCAATTGTAGATAATAGTTGATATGTGATTAGGTGCCTTCCTTTATCAAATTTAAAGTACAGGCTTCTATTTTGCATTTTTCTTTTCCTCTTTTTTTAAAAAAAAAAAAACAATGTCTTTACCACACAGTCAATTGTACTTATTCACGAAATCGTGAAAAAAAAAAAATTCAGTAGAAACACGACGAGAAAATTGAAAAACTTTTTAAAGAATCTAATTTTTCTTATTGTGAATATATTTCTATCTATATTTTTAAACAAATTTTATTAATATTTAAAAAAAAATTTCTAAAAAAAATGTTTAGGAAAAATAAATTTTCTACATTTTTTGATTTTTTTTATAGTGACCAAGTTTTTTTTTTTTTTTTTTTCGAGAAATTGTAATACTGGTGCTATCCGCCTGATATTCAATTTTTAATATGAACAAAAAAAAAAAAAAAAAAAATTTCGTCTTTTTATAAACAATATTTGTCTATAAAATATTCCGTTTTCAAAAAATAATAACGGAAAAATTTTTTTTTCGACGATACATTCCGTTTTTTGTAGGCAGGCATTTCTTTTTTTTCTCTTAGTACTTCGATTTTGTTTCTCAATTTTTGTAGACAATTGCCTGTAGCCAAAAATGTTGCAGTATTTATTATACTTTCCATTTAAATGAAATTTTTCTCGTCGAAGATTATACACTCGTCAATTGTGCCCATTTTTAATTTTAAAAAAATTTCAAAATTTATAAAAAATGACAATTTTTACAAAATTTATTTTTTTATTAAAATTATTGTTATTATTTTATTAACAAATTTTCTGAACACAAGTTCGATAATAAATTAATTTGAATAGTTAAAAAAGTTGAAATTTTTTTTTTTTGGGTTACAATTTTATAGTGAATTTCTTCGACGTGCATTCAGTTTTTAAGAGAATAGAGCGCAGTATTTAAAAATAAATAAGTGTGATTAAAAAAAAAAAAATAATATTATTCACAACGTTGAAAAGTGTTAAAAAATGTTTAAAAGAAAAAAAATGAAAATGGTATTATGATTGTCTGTATTTATTGTAACGACTGTATTTTGTGTAATTCTTGATCCTATATATATATAAAATATACAAGATTGTGCTACTTCGAGTGAGATAATTTTTTTTTGGATTCTTTTTTTTTTTTGTTAATATTAACGCGATTACTGTTATAGTATTTCAAGTCTCTTTACCATTCTTTCTGCATTTAACGGTTTCAAAAAAAAACCGATTTTACTTTTTATGTAATATGGTAATTTAATAAAAAGCTGAGAAAAAAAAACCGCACGAAGTCGAATTTCAATAATTTTTTTTTTTTTTTTTTTATCATTGAAATTCGAAATCGTTCTGAACTTATCTACTTATTAATTAACATTGTATTATTGTTATTATTAAAAGAAAAAAAAAATGCGCGATAGAAAAGAAAATTAATATATTATATATATAAATAAATATATGTGAGCGATTTTAATCGTAGGAAGAATTTTATTTCTGCACAGTTATTTTTTTCAGCACTGTTATCAAGAAAAATGTGTAACAATTTATGAAGTATTTTTCAAAATAAATAGGTGATGTGATGTATATATATTAAAAAAAAAAAAATTGAAAAATTTAATTTTATTGTATCTATGTATAAAGTACACACAATGCTGAAATAAAAATGTAACATAAGAAAAGTGATATTTTTTTTCTTAGAAACGAATTACAATAATTTGCAAAATCATTTTAATTCGATTTTTAAAAATTTTTTAAATTACCCTATAAGAATATTAAATATTTTTATTTTTATAATTTTAATATTAATACTTACTAGAAAATATTTTTTTCATATCTAGCAAATTATTTACTTTAATAATTATTATTGTAATTTTTATTTTACTTTTTTTTTACAAATAAATTTATATTCAATTTTATAACATTAATAATTTATATATATATATTAAATTTATTTATTTTACTATAAATTATTTATTCTATTCAATTTTTTGTTATAATATATTTAAATATAATGAAATACTGAAGGTATAATATTCTGTTAAGAAGAAAATCTAGAATTCTCAGGAGAAACAACAGAATTTTTCGCCAGCGTTATTGGCTCTTCGTCGTGCCATTATAAAATTAATTGTGAAAATTAGAATCCAAGTGAAAAAATTGAACCATGTACAAATTATCGACAATTGAAGAGAGAGTCCAGTATTTATTTCATCGCCACGTCTCCAATTATTTGAATCCGGCTGAATATAATCCATAAAATCGAAAATTGCACCACAAGAAAGACGATTGTGTATGGCCTAAAAAAAAAAAAATTGGTGAGTAACAAATTCTGTTTTTTTACTAATTTAAATATTTTTTTGCATTCTATTTTTTTATTTATTAAATTAATAGAGATTAATTAATATGATAAAAATTGTATTTAAAATTATTAAATACAAATTCATATTATTTTTGTTTAAATTATTATTATTATTTTGTAATTATTTTTGAAATTTTATGTAAAAAGGAATTATACTTGAAGTTCACGACCACGAGAACCAAGGAGCTTCACCATATTTCGTTTGTATTGCTCACAGGTTTTATAATATCCATCAGTGATAATAATTGCATGGGCCAAGGATAAAAATCCTAAAAGTGCAGCCAAAAAACTCGCCAGGATCCATTGTTTAAATGGCTGTCTTTGTTTTCGACGAATAACAATAACGTCTCCTCTCATGAAATCACTGGAAAAATAAATTCGTCATTTTCCAATTTTTGTAAGTATTTTAATTTTTTTTTTTATCGCTTACTACGAATTAATTCAATTTTTTTGTTTCATTAACAAAATCTTTAAATTATTAATTAACAAAACAATTATAATAACTGATTTTAGAATTTTAAATAATAAGTAGATTAAAAATATTAAATTAAAATTAAAAAAAAAACAGAAAACAAGCATAGAAATTACTTTTCATTAAGACCATGTAAAAATTAAAATAAAAACTTAAATATTTACATTTGGAAGAATAATACAAATATACATTTTTTTTATTTTATTTATAATTCCTTAATTTATGTTCAGAATAATTTTTCATTTCAAAATTTGTTCAAATAAATTAAAAGAATTTTTTATCTGTTCTAAATTATCTGAAAGGAAATGGAAAAAAAATTTATTGTAATTTAATACTGTATTTTACAAATTTTTATAATTTTTTTTTTTTTTAGAAGAATTTTGTTTTAAAAATAATTACCGATTATCAATTGAATTTCGTCGTCGCGATGTGATTCGCGGTTCATCGAAATCTTTTGGAATGCAACTTCGATAACCATGATAAATTGCCAAGCACAGACCAATAATGAAAATTGGCGTCAAACTATAAATTCCAAAATGACAAATTTTCACATCACCACCAAAAAGTGTGCTAAATGTTGTTCTTCCATATAAAATACAACCGCAATCAACATCAATGCAATTGTCCAAAGTACGTGACCAATGCTGCCATGGAATCACTAGGCAAACAATTGAAATTGTCGTGAAAATTGCCGTCAATGAATATAAAACACCGAGAATACTCTCTGCACGTTTTGCATCCATTTTTCTTTTTCAATTTTAAAATAGTTTCACAATTTTTTTTTTCTTTGATCCAAATTTCATTTCATTTTTTCTTTTTTTTTTTGATGATTTTGATTTTGTTCTTTGTACACTGTGCTGTTGATCCTCTTCATTTTTTTTTTTATTTTCCGATAAATTGTCTGCAATTTAAATTTTATTATTTCGAGAAAAACAAATTTTTTTGAGAGAAAAAAATAGGTTTTTAATTTTTATTATTTCGAGAAAAAAAATTTAAATAACGTTTTAAAAAACGCATAGAATTAAATTTATTATTATTATTATTATTATTACAAATAATGGTAAAAATTTAATTGAACATAGATTTTAAAATTAAAACAAAGATTTTTGAATTAAAATTGTAAATTAAAATTTGATTAAAAAACTCACAAAATTTAAGAATCGAAAAATGAAATTCTTAAACAATGCAAAATTCGGAATTAATTTTTCAAAACTAGATTATCCTTCTTTTTTGAGCTTTACAAAATTTTGAGTTTCACAAGCACATAACATTTAAAATCGTTTTGTCACTGCTCTCGATTTTCAATTCACTTATGGATAGAAAGAAATAATTTCAATAAATTTTTCAAATCAATATCACACTTTATTTTTCTATTCTTCAGTTTTTTTTTTATTTAACATTCATAAAATACGAATATTTTTTTCTGTTTCTTTAATTCAATATTCAATTATTGTATCACTTTTTTTCAAAATTTAATTACATCAGCTTTTTTTTGAAACAAAAATTAAAAAGAAATAAATTAGTAAAATAATAATAAATAGGTGAAAAATATTTAAATAATTTTTTTTTTTTTAAATAAATTTTTTATGAATTATTATTTTATGGAATGTGACACAAATATGACGCACTAGTGTTTCTGCAAAATTTTTTTTTTCGATGAGACAGTAGAGAAGAGAGAATGAAATAAAATAGAAATGATTTTTTTTCTCGTTGAAAAAATTTTTTGGTGATATTCATAGCCCATTAAAAATTTTTTTATTTTTTTTAAAAGAAAAACGAAAAACATGAAATTTATAAATAGGATTTGTTTAACTACGTTTGCAGGCTTTGACTTTTGATTAGATCCGCATGGCCTGATGAACGGAGATCGACTGGTTTTTCATAGACGCAAACCAATGATCATTGATTACGCAAAAAAAAAAATCAAAAGATAAATATTTTCCCAACTATTTTTTTTTCTCGTGAGACCACAGTTTTTTAAAGACAAAATTGCATCATGTCCTCTACAATATTTCATGTCAATTTAATCGATAATATTTCACTATTTTTTTTTTTATGGTCCCCGTCCCTTCTTGACTTATCAATTATATTGAGAAAAGTAAACACATTGAATACACTAATAATTTGTTCGTCGTGGGAAAAATAAATTAAAAGCAATATTGCTTTAAAAAAAGAGGAGAGAATTTTTTTTTTCATAAATTACGTTCCTTTTTTAATTTGATTTAATAATAAAATAAATATTTAAAAAATATTCGGAGAAAAAGGTAACAGAAATAAAAAATTGAATTTTGAAACAAAAAATTTTTCAATGACAATTTTGTATATTTTTTTTTTTATTTTGATTTAATGATACTTAAATTTAATTAGATGATTTGTTTTCGAATTTTGTAATCTAAAAATTCTCTAAAGTATTTTTCATGGTCAACGTTTCATTAACACATCGTAAAAGTTTAATTATAACTTACATATATCCCAATTCTCACTTCTTTTTCACATTATCATGAAGCGGATTTCAGAAATCTCGAATCTTTTCTTCTTTTTTTTTTTTTAGTATTGTCTGGAAGTTGTTTGAGCGAAAAAGTGAAATCACGAAATCCAAATATTTGTACAGAGTACTCGCGGCACACTTAAATTTACCAGCGCGTAGTTTATTATTTTTGTTTCTAAAGTTAAATCTCATTTTTCACTTTTTAGCAAATTATTATTTCTTTTTTATAAATAAATTTTTTTTAAAATTTTTTCCATTTTTTTTAAATTTCGATTATTTTTTGATCGTTAATTAAAAAATTCAGTATTTTAAAATTAATTCCGTTTTTTTTTTTTTTTTTTTATTTAATCGGCTATGTAAAACCGGTGAAATAAAAATTTTTTTCTAATTTTTATTGAAATTTGTATTAAAAAAAAAAATTGATTACAAAGAAACAAAGAAAATCTTTTTCTGAATCATATATCCGGGATTATAATGTAATAATAATAATAATTAAAAAGACCAAGTGTTTTGTTCTTTAAAGCGACGACAAATTCCTTTTTTTTAATTTTTAACATTGAAATTATTTCTGTAACTATCTAATTTATTTTAGAAAAAATTGCTATTTTTCTTAAAAAATTTTTTTTTTATAATTACCACTTGAAATTTCTCATTACAATTTTCATACTTCCATTGCACTTATACACAATAAAATTTCTCGAAAAAAAAACTTCTTTTTAAAAATCGATTAAATTTTATTTTTTCGTTGAAACCTTTTCTTTTTAAGACGCAATGAAAATTAAATAATATTTTTTTCTTCACTGTTAATGCAATACAGTTTCTGTGGATAAAAAAAAGTTATTCACTCTAGAAATATCAATTGTCGTCTATCGAAACTGAGTGTAGGGGAAAAGATAAAGACCGATAAGATTATCAGATGTTCTATCTATGTATGTCCAGGTGCCTTATGACAATTTCTATTTAAAAAAAAAAAATAATATGACCTTTGAATTAAAAATTTGCCTTGGATTCGAAAATAAAATTTTCGTTTACAAGTGAAAGGGAAATTTACCTTTTTGTATAAATTATCTTATTATTTAATTTATGAGATTTATTCATTGACCTTCATTCTTGAAGAGTAAGAAAATAAATAATTGACAAAAACTTTTTTTTGTCAGAAATTAGTAAAAAAAAAAGAATAATAATCTAAAAATCAAAAGGACGAAATGAAATTACAAAATTTGTATTTTTTTAAATCTTTTTCTGTAATATTGGAAGAGAAAAAATTTTTTATATTTACATTTTTTTTTTTTTCGTTTTTCATACACCGCATCGATTCGTGTGAGACATCGTTTTGGTCTAGAAATTCATGAGGCAATTTTCTATTTACAATAAAAGTGAAAATTCGTTGCTAAACTGTCGTGAATGGCCAAAATGTCATTTAGATCTGTAAAAGAAAACAAAGAATATAAAATAAAGCATTATTTTTGTTTTTTTATTAAAAATATAGAAATAAAATTAAAAATATATTCTTTTCAAAACATTATTTTTTTGTTAAAAAACAATTTAATTTTCTTAAATAAAATTAATAATTAAAAATTGCATGTTAATTTAATAATTAGGTATTATGAAATATTTATAAAAAAAAAACAGGGAGGAATGTTAGCGATGTGAATAAAAATTAGGAGCCAATTTCTAATGAAACCATCTCTTTATTATTGAATTATTATTACAATGAATCTGATGGAAAGAATTTTTTTACACTTTCTGTCGAGATCATGAATAAAAATGCTTTTAATTCTGTTTATAAAACAGAAACAGTTTCTGTTTTGTGATAAATAGATCGAGTTTAATAAACATAATTCTCAAATTTCTCTTCTATTGAATATAATTGATAAAAATTTAATTAATTATAAAATTTTAATTTAATTAAAATTTCACAAAAATTAATTAAATTTCTAATTTGTTTCTTTTTTCGACACTATTTTTTTTTTTTTATCCTAAACAATAAGAATAAGCTAAAAACAGTAAAATGCAATAAATTGTCATAATTCTAAATTTTTCATTACTTCAAAAACTGTAAATAATAACAAACAAAACTTAAACATTATACAATACAGTCATTCTATCTCCCAAGTTATGTTCTTTTTTCGTTACTGTCAATATAAAATTTTTCATTTTTTTTTAAATTTTCAACAACATTTTATCAAAAAATGTCTATATATATAGTTTTAGAATAAGTTTGTCGTATTGCTTCACTATTGAATTAAAAAAAAGGGGAATAACTTTGTTTAAACATGTTAGTTGTATTTATTTAATATTGAAATAATAATGAATTAAATGTTAAAATTTTTCTTTTATTAAATAGTAAAATAATTATTTCAACAAAAATTTGTATAATTCCAAAAAAATATTAAAATAATTATTTCAATATTGAAATATAAAAAATTCAACAAAACAATTAATTGACACTTAACTTAATGAAAGAAATTAAATTAATTCAACTTTCATAATATTATTATTATTAATAGTGACATTATATCAGTAGAGGTTTATATAATATTTCTTTGTTATTAAATTTATATTGTTATAACTTTTAACATTTGATAATAATTATCCTCTAAGTATTTGGTTTCGTATTGAGAAGGATTATTTGCTTTCTTTTTTTTTTTTTTTTCTTCATCAAAAATCCGTAAGTAATAGTGAAAAGTGATACTACGATTTATAAGAAATTTTCAAGAAACTTGATGATAATTAAAATGACTGGATATTTTTTTCAGTGACAAAAAACAAAATGAAAAAATATCATCACGGTGTCTTACGATCTATTTACAATGGATAATAATAATAATAATAATCATCAGAAGAAGTTTAAAATGATTCTGATATCAATATCCCTTTTTTAAAGGGATTTTTTTGTTCATTCAGAATGTGTGAAGATTTTTTTAGCACCAGGCCTCAGTACATTGTAAATTAAACAATGATTCAATTATTTTTACTATTAATACTACTACTACTATACTACTTCTATACTAACTTCATATCGTTATTATACAATTTGGAGTTTCAAGTCAATTACGATTTTTTTCCTCCAATTTAATATTTTTTTTTTTCCTTTTTTATCATTATTATTTTAAAAATCATTATTTTCTTTCCTACTGCTTCAACTATTCATTTTTCAGTACAAATTGGCTCCTTATAATTAAGAAAAAAATAAAGAATTACGAATGTTCCATATTGTTTTTTCATCAAATTTAGAATTTTTTTTTTTTTTTTTTTTTTTTGAAATAATAAATTAATCAAATTTGTTAATGTCAAAGAAGTTTTACAGTCTTCTTTTAAGTTATTTCAAAAAAAGTATTTTGGATTTATTTTCATTTCTTGTTATTAATTTTAGTATTTTTAGTTTTATTTACTATTTCCATCATTTTTAGTTTTATTTGCTATTATTTCTGCTATTTTTAGAAATTATTTACTATTATTTCGTTATTGTTGTTTTTAATAGTTTTCTTTTCTGTTTTAGTGTGATTTTTTAAAATTTTAATTGGAAAAAATGTCGAGATTCGTTGATATTGAAAATTATGTAAAAAAAAAAAGAAAAAAAAATTGTTGGGAACATTCGTGACAGGTGAAATTTGCTTAAAGGGAGCTGCCGTTACACACAGGTCTTACGCCGGATTCATGGAGTGATGTCTGAATTCCGAAAAGGCTTCTCGATTACTCCAAAGACAATAAAGTGACGCAATTCCAAGTCCAACTCCACCACCGAGTGCACATTTTCTCAATCCCGCTGTAAATATTCAAAAAAGAAAAATTGATCAAAAAAAATATATATAATTACAAATTAGACACAAAAACAATTAATAAGTTATTATTTATATGGTTTCAATTATATTAATAAATTAATGTTTAAGGCCAATTTTTTTTTTTTTAATTCGATATAATTTTTATAGTCAAATTATAGTGCAAAAATTTTGTCTTCATCTATTAATTAAAAAAAAAAATTTTGAAATATGAGAAAATAGTAAAAATAGATTTCAAAAATTTAATGCAAAATAAATAGTAACTAATGACAATTCAGAGTGGCAGCAAATTTTCATTTATTTCAAAAAACAGCTCGTTTACAATTTTTAAATAAAATAAAATGAAAATAAATTTTTAAATTACAGAATTTTTAGGTACCAAATAATTATTTGGTACCGAATTGTCATTTAATAGAATGTTAATTGCTACAAATTTTTAAATGCTAAAATTTTCAATTTACTAAATCATAATTTGTCCAAATTTTTATTTGCAAATAACCAAGCAAATATAATCAAACAGAAAAAATTCGGTGCTGTTTTAAAAATTTACTAATCACGATTTTTTTTTATTGATAATTTCTGATTGATCAATTTTGAAAATCGCACCGAAATCTTTGTGATGAAAAATTTCGGAATTATTTCTAATTTCGGACAAATGAAAATTTGGTGAATTAGAAATTTTTACATTTAAAAATTCGAATCAAAACTCTGTTGAATGAGAATTATGCTAAATTAAAATTCAGTTAAATTAAAATTCTTTTAAATAAAAAGTTGAGTAAAAGAAAATTCTGTGAAATAAAAATTCTGCCAAACTTTTAAATTGGTAAAAATTTTAAGTAAACATTCGTTTAAAAAGAAATTCTGTTAAAAGCTAATTCGAAAAATGAAAATTCGTCTAAAAAATTCGTTAAATTGAAAATTCTAATTAATTATATTTATGGAATAATGATGAGCTCCAAAAATTGGTTTTACATTAAAATTTGTACTATTTAAAATTAGGGAACTTTTTAAAATTCGGTTAAATAAAAATTATGAGAAATAAATTTTGTTATAGAAACTTTTTGTTAATTAAAGTTTTGAAGAAAATAAATTTAGAGTGATTAAAAATTCTAGTCAATAAAAAATAGATAAAAGAAACATTTGCTGAAAATATTTTCAAATTAATTAATCATTTTAAGTAATAAGAATTATAGTAAATTTACATTCTAATAAATGAATTTTCATGTTGTCTGCCATTTGAAATTTTTAAATTACATCTAATGACTTAGATTTAATAGCGAGTCGGGGATGATTATGCATTTCTTATAAACATAATTCAAAATATTTACAAAAAAATTTATGAGCCAAAAGTTCTGAACGTTTAAATTGACAAAATATTTTTTTTCAATCTATAAATTTTTTAAAAATTATTTATTTGGAAACATAACATTAATTATAATGTCAATGTAAAATAAAACAGTAAATTAAATTAATAACTTCTTTTTAGATATTTAAAACAATATTTTGTAATAAAATTCGTACTTAAAGTATTTATTTGAACGTTCAAAACTTTTGGCTTATAAAAATTCTACATTTTTGATAAAAAAAAAAAGGGGGACAAATCATCAAAATAGGTGACAAAATCGAAAAAAGGTGAAAAAAGTTTAAAAACAAAAGAAGAAAAAAGGTAAAAGAGGTCTAACTGTGATGCCTGCCGTTATAAATTTTTGATATTTAATTTTATAGTTTCTTTTATTAAACATTTTCTGATGGTGTTTTTTTTTTTAATTTCTGATTTACCATTTTCTTTATAATCTACGGTTACCCTCTTATTATTAAATAAATTTTTAAAAAAATTCTTTTATAAAATTCTAATTGATGAAAATTAATTTAAGAAAATAATTAATTATATATATTAAAGAAAATAACCTGTAGATTTGAAGAGCATGCCAGTCGCTGTAGCTGCTACTAATGTGTTTATCGAATCGTCATGTCCTCGAGCGTAGGATATTAAAACACCAAAACACGTATACATCACCGATACAACCCCAAGAGTATTTGCCATAGATGCACCATGTTTAACCACATGATTAATTAATCTGTTAATTTGAAAATAGAAGTCAAATATTATTAACAATTCAATTTTTATAATTTCCTTTCTTTTCAATTTCTTAATTCCTCGTAATTTTTAAGTGATTATAATTAAATTATTTTTTAAAAAAGTTCAAAAAAATTATTTTTTAAGACGGGAAATTATAAAATGTATCTAAAAAAATGTTTTTTCATAATTTGTTGATCAATAAATATTATAAAAAAATTGAAACAAATATTCATAGAATTTTTTATTTAAGAAAAATATTTTTTTATTTGTTGATCACAAACGTGAACTTTATAGTTCATTATAGTTTATATACAATAATTAATAATAGAAAATTATTCTATTCTTTATGAAATAATTAAATTTTGTTGTATGTTTTTAATTAATTTTTTTTTTCAACCAACAAAAGAAAAGAAGTATAAAGTAAAAAAAAAAAATAGGAAAAATTTCTTCATTTTCTCACTGAGTTCGTCGAAGTTTTCCCTGTTGTCCTGCAAGGGCAGTGGCGTAAATTCCTTTATATAAACCAGTTACACCGCCAATTGCTGCACCCGCCATACATGTTCCTCCAATTTGACTAAAAGCTAATTCAAAACGTCCACGTTGCTTAACAGCTCCTTCGGGGAAAATAAATTCAGGCTGGCTCGATGGTAAATGCGATGGATCAAAATTCAAATATGGACTAAGTGGCATTAACGTTTTATGATTAACTGCAAAGAAAATTACAAGTAAAAAATTCTATAATTATTCAAGTTTTCAATTTTTAAGAATAAAAAAAAATGTTATAATAAAAGAATAATGACAATTATTAATAAAAAAAAAAAAAACCAATAAATAGCATAGAAAAAATCAATTAAATAAAAATTAATAATTAAAACATTCAATCTTTCTTAACCTTGACCTATTGGACCATTAGATCCTTTATCGCTTTTATTATTTTCTTTAAAAACTCATATTCATTATCAATATGTGAGGCCATGAATGATAAGATGCAAAAAATTAATTAAAAACAAAATAATAATAATTTGAATTTTAGAAATGCTTCCATACAAAAAAAAATTAAATTGTTTCATTAATTGACAAACCCGAAAAATTACTTGCTATTCAAAAAAAAAAAAACTACAAATTTTCTATGAGTAAATATTTCTGAAATACTGGCAATTGGAATTTAAAAAAAAAAATTTTTAAATAGTTTTCCTTTTTCTAAATCTTTAAAAAATATATATAAAACGAATGCGCACAAAAATAGTGAAAAAAGAAATGTCAAAAAAAAGGCGACCTATTTAAAGCAATTTATTTAAATAATAAATATATTGCAAAGTAGTTTTAATTACAGTGAATGCAAACAACAATTATCTCATGTGAAAATCATGTCATTTTAGATAAATGATTAAAACACGTGTGTCATCGATTAAGAACTCGTTTTTTACGTGTCCTTAATCGCGATCTAATTTTTTACAAATTAAAAATTTATAACAATTTTATTTTAATATTAAATTATGATAAAATAAATAATCATTTAATAATGTCAATTAACAAAATGTTATATAATTGTCCATATACATTTGGATAAGTTTCGATTTATTAAATTTGGAGCGATCATGGAAAAAAAAAAAAAAAAACTGGAATTGAGGTTAGAATCAATAACTTTAAACACGATTTTTCATACAAATCACGAATGAAATAACATGTTTTTTGCCACAAACCTGGTATTTTTGGAAGATCCTCTTGATTGTAATTCGAGGTAGTGGAATTTTTATCATTTTGATCACTATTACGAAAATCTATCATTTTTTCTAAATTATTAATTTTGACCACCGCAAGCAAGCAGAGAGAAAAGATGTCTGAAGTAAGAAGAAGAAGGGATTACGAAATATCGATTTCAAAGAGTCGATTCTCATCAAATCGAATAGAATTCTGTGAAGTGAGTTGTAATGATACTCTGTCAAAAAAGTGTTGTTTTTCTCGTGTTTTTTCCTTTTTTCTAATATAAATTTGGGAATATTATTTTTTTAAAATGTCTTTAGCTGACGAATTGTTAGCAGATCTTGAAGAAAATGACGACGAGGATGTGGAAATGCAAGAATTGGAGGAGGAATTTATTCCGGCTTCTATTCCAATACCGATAGAAGAAGGTTAGGTTGCCTTGTTTATTAATGTTTTCTTTCGTTTATTTAAATCATTTTATATATATAGGTATATTAAATAAAATTTTAGTATTTATTTTATTGATTCATAAATTGTTTTATTTTGATAGGCAATATCTTTTATTGAAATAAAAATTTTTTATAAACAAAATTTAATTTTGAGGTTATCTTTTATTCTAAAACACACGCGCGTTTTATATTTATTATAATTTTGACATTATTTTCACAGAAATAAAAGTGCAAAGAGTTACAGAACTTTGTAAACTTTGTGTTTCAAGTCAATTGCAAAATGTGATGTTACAAATTGACAAATATAGCAAAATACTTCGTAAACCAACGGATATTGTTGGAGCAGTTGAATCTGATCCGGAATATCAACTTATAATTGGAGCTAATAATTTAGCTGCAAAAATAGACGACGAAATAGGTAATTAATTACTTATATAGTATAATTCAAAAATTCAGAATAATTAATATAAAAAATACAAAATTTTTCGACTTTTTCTACTTTTTTTTTTTACAACATTTTTTACATTTTTAAATAAAAAATGACTTTTTTTTAGTATACAATACAGCTCTTTCAAAATTTATTTATTTAACAAATTTTTTACTAAAATTCTTCGCTAAATTAATTATTTTCAATAATTTTAATAAAATTCTTCAAAAATTCAATTATGAGAAAATATTTTTCAAATATTTTTAAAAATTCAATAATTCTTTTAAATTTCTAAAAAAAAAATAATTTTAGCAATTACCAAAACTTTTAATTCAAAATCACATGAATTTTCATTAAAGTCTTCAAAAAATCAATTATTTAAAACATTTTTCAATTAAAAATTCTATAAAATTTTATTATTCACCGAAATCTTGAAATATTTCTTAGTTCGATTCTGAAATACATTCGACAGGGTGTCTAACAGTCAGGGAAAAGTCAGGGAATTTCTTTAATTTTTCTGGAATTTTATATAAATAAATTAAAATAACAATTATTTTCAAAAAAATTTTTACTTTTTTCTCAAAGCAAATGCAAATTAAAAATTTGTCCTTCACACTCAATTATTAAGCATGTGATATATCTTGTATTCATTAAGTAAATAATTATTTACTACTATTTATTGAATCTAATAAATGATTTTTTAAACTTGGATAACAATTAATTTTTTTCAGTGAAATATTTGGTTTTTTCAATAAAAATAAAAATTATATGATACAATTTTATTTTATCGGTTCAACTTCAAATAAAGTAAATTATTCATTAATACGAATAATTTTTATTATTTAATTGCTAATACCCACATTTAACTTATAAAAATTTTTACGGCGTCGAATATTAAATTATCGAATTTCTATTTAGCAAAATTGCATAAAGTGAATTTTATATTATGAAAAATTTTCTATTTACATTTAACTAAAATTCGATTTAAAAGAATTTCTATTTAGTAGAACTCGTATAAAGCATTTTTTCTAATACTTTTTTTTAAAATTTTAAATTAATAAAATTTCAATTTAACGAAATTTATGTCTATAAAAATTGACTAAAAAAAAGGAGAACTAAGTAGAATTTTTCTTAAATGAAAATTCTGTTAAATAAGAATTAGTTCGAATTAAAATTTTCTTTAATAAAAAATAAGCCAAAATTTCTGAACATTCAAATGAACGAAATATTTTTTTCAATCTATAAATTATTAAAAATGATGATGACAATATAAACTAAAACAATAAAGTAACCAAATATTAAATTAATAACTTCTTTTTAGATAATTAAAACAAATATTTTGTAATAAAATTAGTACTTGAAGAAGTTGCAAAAAAAATTTCGTTCATTTCAACGTTCAAAACTTTTGTCTCATAATAAAAACTTTGTTAATTAAGAATTTTGTTAAATAGAAATTCTGTTAATTGTGGATTTATTCAATGACAATTCTGTTAAGTAAATATTTTGATAAATCGAAATTTACTAAAATAAAAATTCTGTCAAAAAAAATTGTTCTTTATGCAATTTTTCTTGACATAAATTCCGTTAAATTGAAATTGTATTAATTTGAAATTCAATGTATTAGAAAATCTGCTTTATATAATTTTACTAAATAAAAATTTGAGAAATTATGATTTGACGCCATAAAAATTCTTTTGAATTAAATGTTGAGAATATTTATACGTCCCCAATTAGTTTATTTATTTCACTTAAATATGTTTTATTTTTTACGAAACATTATTTATTTGGTTCAAATACATATGAAATTAGTGGTTAATAGACAGGTAAATGATTTAATTGTATTAAAATAAATTTTATTAGATTAAAATAAAAATTTTTTAGTGTAATTTAAGTCAGGGAAAAGTCAGGGAATTTTTTTTCCTAGCAGGTGTTAGACACCCTGATTCGAAATAAATTTTCTTAATAATATTCATATAGAATTATTCTTATTAAGGAATTAATAAAATTAATTTAATATCTAATAACAATAGTTTATTTTAAATAAAATATTTATTAACTACATTAAATATATTAAAAATAAAAATAGACTTTTTCGACTTTTTTTTTGGAATATAACTGAAATTTCTACTTTCGCACCTTAAAGTCGATACGAGGCTTCTTACTGTTAATAATAAAAAAAAAAATTCTTCCTCTTCTAGGCACAATTCATCGATTTACAAAAGATAAATATTCAAAACGATTCCCAGAACTCGAATCATTGGTTGTCGATGCTTTGGAATATGTAATGACAGTACGAGAATTGGGAAATGATTTGGATCGTGCTAAAAATAATGAAATTCTTCAACAATTTCTTACACAAGCCATTATTATGGTTGTTTCAGTTACAGCATCAACGACTCAAGGGTACAAATTTTTTTATAACACATTTTTTTCCATTCAAAAATAATTTTAATTTTTTTTTTCTAGAGTTTGTTTTAATTATTAATTTTCCAATGATAAAATAAATAAAGAAACATTTATTTTATTCTTTAACTTTAGTCATTATAAAAAATATATATATTCTTTTAAATCGTATTTTACAGTCAATTGTTGACGGAAGAGGAGAAAGATGCAATTTTTGAAGCCTGTGATATTGCCGTTGATTTGAATAATTATAAAATAAAAATATTCGAATATGTCGAAAGTAGAATGGCTTTTATTGCTCCGAATCTCTCGATTATTGTTGGTTCTTCCACTGCTGCCAAAATTATGGGTAAAATAAATTTTTGTTTTACACAAAATTTTCTAGTCATTTAATATTTTTTTCACATTTCGAAATATTGTTTTAATTTAGAGTAAATTTGCCGTAATTGATGCACTGTCCTATTTTTTAATTATTTTTTTAAATCAATTTTCAGTATTTTTGAAAATTAGTTTCTAAATTTTGAAATAAATTATTAATATAGTATATATAAATATTTTTTGTTGTTATATTTATAATATTTACAGGTGTCGCTGGTGGTTTGACGAAATTATCAAGAATTCCCGCGTGTAATGTTTTAGTTCTTGGGACAAAAAAGACGACGCTTTCGGGATTTTCACAAACATCAACTCTACCGCACGCGGGATTTATTTATTATTCCGATATTGTTCAAGAAACACCGCCCGTAAATTTTTTTTTTTATTAAATATTGTAAACTATAAATTTAATTTTCAGATTTTATTTTTATTTTATTTATATTATTTACTTGTATTTATTTGTAGTTTAATTTATTTAAATATTAAATTTTAATCTCGTACGTGATTTTTTTTTTTTTTTTTAGGATCTTCACAGAAAAGCGGCAAGACTTGTTGCTGCAAAATGCATTTTGGCGGCACGTGTTGACGCATCGCACGAGAGCACTGATGGGCAAATTGGACGAATGTTTCGCGATGAAATTGAGAAAAAACTCGATAAATTACAAGAGCCACCGCCAGTGAAATTTGTGAAACCATTGCCAAAACCAATTGATCCCGGCAGGAAGAAGCGAGGTGGAAAACGAGTTCGTAAAATGAAGGAGCGTTATGCAATAACGGAATTCAGAAAACATGCGAATCGATTAAATTTTGCAGACGTAAGTATTTTTCGTTCTTTGCTTTTTATAATTTTCTCTTTTTTATTTACTATTTTATTCTATTTTTTTTCCTATTTTTGTCCTCTTTTTTTTTAGTAAAAAAAATTACCCCTTTTCATTTTATTTTTGAGGAGAAAAGTCTGTTATTGGATTTTTTTTGTTCATTATTATTTTTAGATTGAAAGCGACGCTTATCAAGAGGATTTGGGATACTCGAGGGGGACAATTGGCAAAGCTGGAACGGGACGAATTCGATTACCGCAAGTTGATGAAAAAACAAAGGTACGAATTTCCAAAACCCTTCAAAAGAATCTTCAGAAACAACAACAATGGGGTGGCAGTACAACGGTGAAAAAACATGTTTCCGGAACAGCCTCGAGCGTTGCATTTACACCTTTACAGGTAATTTTTGGAAAATTTCTTCTTTTTTTTCTCCATAAAATATTTCAGTTATTTTTAACGAAAGAAAGATAATTTAATTTTCTCTGAAAACATTTTATTTTTTTTTTTTACCTTTCTATTTGAGGAAGGAAAAGAGAAGCTAATTTATAATTTTCTCGCAGGGTTTGGAAATAGTAAATCCACAGGCAGCGGAAAAGAAAATAAACGAAGCAAATGGAAAATACTTTTCAAATACAGCTGCTTTTTTCAAAGTGAAAAAATCGACGTAAATTATTTGAATTTCTATTTGGTAATTATATATTATTACTAATTTTAAGATATTAACGAAATAAATGTACGTTAAAATAAACAAAAAAAAAATTGCATTAATATTATTAACAATATAAACTGTTTTATAAAGTAAATTAATTTATTTATTAATTAATATAATTTTTAAAAGAATTGTCGAAATAAATAACAGGATAAATTAGAAAAAGAAAAGAATTTTTAGATCAACATAAATTGTTTATTCTTTGAATAATTATGACACGTTGAAAGTAAAGAATACACGCGATTATATATACATAATAACGATCATAATCAACAATATTGCCCTAACAAGAAATATTTTTTTTTTATTTTCTATTGTTCTACAAGATTTGACAAACGAAACAATAGTTCTTTTTTTTATCAAATATAATATACATATATATATATACATAAATATTTTTAAACGATCAATCCTAAATTTCGATATATTTTTTAAAATAATGTAATTAAATAGGTAATTTAGGAGATTTTCACGTGTTTCTAAATGATTTCAAAATTATAATTTAAAAAAAAATCGAGTAACATCAAGTTGAAAAAATTTATTTGTAACATAAAAAGGGAACAAGAATTTATTTTTTAATAATTTATTTATATAAATTTATTTTTTTCGTGAAATAAATTAAAATTACATTTTTTTTTTTTGTATTTCGTAAACTTCAATGAAATGTTTCACGTATATTATTTTATATTAATAAATACTTTATGTGAATTGAAAAATAAAATTTCTTTAAAAATATTTTGGTTTATTTTCGTTCTTGTATAATTTTAAATAAAATGAAAATTAAATAAATATCTACCAATTTTTGTATATTTTTTAAAAGCAGGTTTGGTTTTTTTTTTCAAAATAATTTTTTTTCCTCGATTGTCAATGTAATTCATAGACAATAAAATACTTTTTTTTATATGAAAAAAAAAATTTTTTTAAATCATTAAAATTATTCTAGAAATAATGTAAAATTATTTTCCAAAATTTTAGAAAATATATCGAAATTTACAGAGTGAAATATAATAGACATTCAATAAATATTTATATGTATATATGTTTATATATATATTTATATATTATATACAAAAACATAACAATCTAACTTCTATAAGAAACAGTGATATTTATAATATATAAAATCATGAGTTTCGTCCATTTATGTTCAAGAACAGTTTGAAATATCTAACAAAAATAGAATATTCTTATTATTTTCCACAATCGTTCGTTCGTTATTTAATTAAAATATTGTTTATTTATTTATTTTTTTTTTTGACGATCACTTATTACGATTCTATTAGACTATAAGATTCATATATTCACGTTTCTCCATTAGAAGTTTCTTTTTTTTTCTATAATATATATAATCTCGCTTTTATTAAATACAACAATACAAACAGTCATATGCATTTTGTTTTTTTTTTTTTTTTGCAGTGATTTTTTTTCGCGTCGTATTACACCATAGCAAATATAATTTACATATATAAATGTATTATATAGCAATACGTAATGCCTTCACAAAATTAAAGGCTTGATTTTTAAATTGAAATTAAGAATGTTTGACCAGCAATTTTTGCTGTTGATATTTCTAATATTAAGCATTTGGTATTTTAGGTGTTATTTATCTAAATTTTATACGGGTTCAGAAAAACCCTTTTGTACTTAAGTACTACGCAAGTATAAACGATAATGAGACCATATAAAAGTATAACTACCAAATAAAAAATAAAAAATAAATAAAAACTAGGTTGTATAAAAACTAAGTACGCTTTAGTATTCTCTTTAAATATTATAATTTCGAATTTTCACTTTTTCGAAATTTATAAGAGAAAAAAATTTTCTGCCATCGAACATTGAAATCGGAAAAACGACGTTAATTTAGTTACGCCTTGAAAAAACCGTGAATTCGTTTGAAATTTTTAAATTCAACTTTGAAAATTTTTTTTTTTAATTTGCATTTTGATTTTCTTTTAAATTGAAAATTGTTCTAAATTTTTTTGTCTACCTCGAAGTAAAATGTTTCTCTTGAAAAAATGAAAAACTAAAAATTTGTGAAAACAAATTTTTATAACTGATTGATTAATGAAATATGAATTTTAAAAATTAAATTTAAAAAAAGCCTTTAATTTTGTTTGCAAATTTTATTGGCCACCTTGAGAATTTCTATTTAATCGAATTTTATTTTAATTTATATATATATTGAATTTAATTTTCGTTTCGGAGAATTTCTATTTAAATGAATTGCTTATTTAACTGAATTTATAATATTTAACAGAAAATTTCTATATCACATTTATTTAAGTTAATTTATATTTAACAGATTTTCATAGAACGTTTATTTTTATTTTAATTAAATTTCTATTTATTTGAATTTTTATTTAACTCAATTTTTCATTTAACAGAAATTGTATTTAATCGAATTTCAACAGAATTTTTATTTTAACGAAATTTCTATTTGGTAAAAGAATTTCTATTTAGACGAATTTTTAAATATCAAAATTTCTATTTTACCGAATTTTCATTTATTCAAGCATTCGGGTGGGGAAAAAAACATTTCGTAACAAATTACAAGAAACAAATAAAAAAAATATCGACAAAATTGTGATTGATTAATTTAAAAAAATTAGTGCCGAAATTTTTCTATAGAATTTTTGTTCGGATGAATAAAAATTCTAGCTAAATAGAAATTCTAATAAGAAATCTGCTAAGTAAATAAATTGAATCGAATAAAAATTCAGTTTAATGAAAATTCGACTAAATAAAAATTTTGCTAAATGTAAATTCTATTTAAATGAAAATTCGACTAAATAATATTTTTCAAAATATTAATTCTATTAAATGAAAATTGGATTAAAAGAAAATTCTAAAAATTCTGTGAAATAAAAATTTTGTGAATTGTTATCTAAATAGGGTTTAGAATAAAATTGTCTGGAATTATTTTTTTGGCAACATAAAAAAAAAATTGTCCATTATTTTTTCCTTGATATTAATTTTAAGGTGTCAAACATTCTTAATCAACAAAATTGAATTATTTTTTTATTTTTAATGATAAAAAATCAGTTATCAGATTCGTGCTCCTTTTTCTTTCGTCCTTTTTTCTGTTTTTTTTTTTTTTTTTGTTCTTTTGATTATTAACATCGATTCTCGCATCAGAGAACTGAAATTTTCCACACATATTGAAAATCTTAAGAGAACAAAATTATTCTCTTAATTATTGGAATAAAATCTACCCGTATTTTTTAATTCATTTTTTGTTTTGTTTTCTGTCGAAATTCATATACATAGTACAATGTCAATGGCTTTTTTTTTTGAGGGAAATGTATTATATATTTATATATAAATATATCTGAAATACTTTCGTTAACGGGTGATAAAATGTTCTATTAAAATTCTTAAAATCTTCATGTTTTATAATTATAATCTTTTATATATATATATATAGTAAATCTTCGGAAAATAGCACCGGACACATTACGTATATACTTTCCCCAGCATTACGTATTACTGCAAATGATTTTTTTTTCTTTTTGCAGAATGCGAATGAATATTTGATAAATTTTGCAAATTGTCATCGTTTCTTGTATATTTTAAATTTTTTTTCTTAAAAATAAAAAAATCGAAAAAAACAAAATTTGATTGAAAACAGAAAGAGAAAGAAAAAAACGATGACGGGCAGATTTTATTAAATATTCGCTTCGTTTTTTTTTTTTTTTTTTTTTATAGAGAGGTCGAAGTACTCACATCGTGATAATTCTCTTTTTTCAAAAATAACAACAAGAATTTCAGGTAACAATTTCAATAACTTTTCATTTAAATCCAAAATCGATTTTTTCGATTTTCTTCGGATTTAATCCGATTCAAATGGGAAAATTATGGATGAAAATTTCAAGAACCTTTTTTTTTTCTTGAAAAAATTTACATTTTTTTTTTTTTGTTTAGAAACTTTAATAATAATCGTATCAGTTTTTGAACGAGTATTAGCGTTTTCTTTTTACGTATAAAAAATAAACTTCGATCAGTGCGCGAATAAAATCGGATATTTTTTTTTTCTTTTTAGAATTTAGAGTACAGTTTTTTTTAATTTTAGTATCAGTGTCGATTCCTTACTTTTTGGTTTTGTCTATTTTTTTTTACTGCCGAGACTCGAAGAATGAACGGCAGCGTGCAAAGCGTCAGAGTTTTTCTTGAGCTGGTGTCTTTGTCGGTGGTGCTGACGAAGATGATGATGTCGAGGGTCCCACGCTTGTACTTCGCTCTAAGACTCTGCGACCAAAAGCTGAGCGTCTTGGTGTCCTAAAAGAACTGTCGAATTTTTTTTTTAATAAAAAATCAAATTTTTTTTTTTTTTTAAAGAAAAATTTACACATTTTTTTTTTCACGAGTATAAAACAAAAACTATCGTTTGGGGATTTTTTTTTCAAAAAAAAAAACGATACGAGAACTAAATCTAAGAATTTATTTTTAATTATATTATTTTACACATTTTCATTTCATTTCACTAAATCAAAAAATAGAACTACATTTTTATTGTTAGGGTAAAAATCTAATTTCATTGATGCAAAATTTTTTCTATTTACTGGGATTTTATTTTTTGTTATCGTTCAGGATTTTTGGCTACAAGGCTTTTATTTCTATTTTCTTTATTCTGTGAGAATTATGTGATGATTCTTTGTTGCTTCGTGTTTTGTTTTTTTTTTAAATTTAAAGTATAATTTAGTATTTTAATTTTTTTTCTAATTAGTAACAAGTAGTTATTTGGATAATAATTATAAAGTAATTTAATAAATGTGTAAATTAATAATTATGGTAAATTAATTTAAAAATGCATTTTTATTAATTAATTCAGTTAAATCGATTCAATTATTAATTTATTTCATGGAATGTGTAACTTTTTTTTTTTTAATCAGAAAAATAGTTTTGTGAAAAAAGGTTGCCTTTTCTACTCCAGTTCGTGTAAAAATAGAAAAATAATTCAACAATTTTCTGGCAAATGTTAATTTTGTAAATCGGAAAGATTTTAAAAAAACACAATACAATAAATATTATTGTAATCTATATATTTTTTATTTCGTTATCTACACGGGAAAAAGAGAAACGTTGGAATAATACCGTTTTCCGATTGGTTCAACGTCAGTGGGCCCTGTCACGATTTCGGCATTGATTCAACAGACTTTTACTGTTGAACCTACTGTCCATCTATTGTTACAAGTAAGTTGATCCAACAGACACTGCCTACAGCGCTCCTTGCCGTTGAACCAATCGGAGAACGGTATTAATCCAACGTTTTTCTTTTTCCCGTGTATTATTTTTCTCTACGAATTTTTTTGTTTTTTTTTTTTTATTAATTTGTAATTTTTCTTCAATATTGGAATTTTATTCAAAAACCTAAGTGAAATTTGGCAAATTTTTCTAAACTTTTTTTTTTTGAAATATAAAAATTCCTATAAAATTAAATAAAATATGTTGAAATTCACAATATATAATCAAATAAATTTTTTAATAATTTATCTCTTTATATAATAAATAAAAATACATGAAATTTAATTTTTGGAAAATTTGTATTTTAATTTCAAAATTCTATAAAAAAAAAGATTTTTTTCAATTATTAGAAACGTTTAAATAAAAAAAGTTGTAAGTAATAAATAAAGTATTAAAATTTTTCCGAGGACTTTTGCCAGAGACTTTCGTCGATCTTTTTAAAAAAAAACAATAGATAAGAAAAATACCAATAAAATGGAATTTTTTTTTTTTTATAGATGTAGAAAAAATTTTTTGTGCAACACGAACAGCAAAGTAGCGGTGCTTCTTTAAATTTTCCAAATATATTAAAACATTGTTTAATGCTCCTTAAAAAAGTGAGATACACACATTCTTAAGCTGACAAATACCTAAATGATTATGCATATAAGAATTATTTAAAACCTATTTAGACGATATTTATGTTGGAAATACTTTTCTATTTTCCAAAATTGAAATTAAAATTCCTTCTATTTATTTCTTATTTTTATTTCAAAAAAAATTAAATTTAAATTAATTTGAAAAATTTTAATTTCAAACATTTATTTCCAAAAAATTATTTTATTAAAAAATGTTTATTAAAAAAATATTTAATAAAAAAAAAACTAGTAATTATAATAATTAAAGAAAAATTATTGTAAAAAATATAAAATTTTCTCCCCATTGCAATTTTATGTTGGAAATAGTTTTCATTTTCCAAAGTTACAAATTTTTTTGAGCTTATTTAAAAAATGTGGAATTTGTTTCCCTTTACAATTTGTTTTACATTTTCTTTCTTTTTCACTTTATACTGAGCAGTTCCAACATTAGAGAATTATTTGATATATAATAAATTAAAATGAATTAATATATTAGTGGGAGAAAGACGTGAAAAATGAGAGCGTGATGTAAGCGGATCGAGAGAATAAGCGAGGATCTAAATATATATTTTTTCTATGCAGAAAGCGATGTCGTAACAATTCATTTTTTTTTTTTTTCTTTTTTTTTTGTGGACGTATAAAGACAACAGTAAACAAGCATAGAATAGAGAAGCCACAAAATGCAACCGATTTAGTGGTAAAAAGTTTTGTTTCAAGTTATATAATTTGTTGTGAGATGAATTTTTTTCGAAAAAATACAATTCGAACGAATAGAAAATAGATTTGAGAATTTTTTTTCTGCCATTAAAGAGAAAAACGAGAGCCAACAAAATATCCATAAATGAGATAAAAACACAGGTGCTTAATTTTTTTAAAAAAATTTTTTGTTTTGAAAAAAAAAACTGTCCAAGATAAAGGTGCAAAAAGAAATTTTCAGAGAATATTTTACTCACTTTCCTTTAAATTCTTCTGTTTCTAATTCCTTACTATTGTTTGTCTCTATATCGAAGGAAAAAGAAATTTATTTAAATTTCTCTCCTATTCGTTTCGATTTTTCAAATTATTTTATTAGTAGCATATTTTTTTTTTTGCCAAGAGCTGCTACAGAAAAATATTGCGAAAATAAATTCAAAAATTGGATTTAAAGTTATTTTTTGTAATTTAAAAAAAATTTGAAAATAAAATTTTTTTTCCGCTTCTTTTTATCGAGAATTATTATCTTTAGATTTTAATTTGAAAATTTCATTTAGCAATTTTTTTTTTTGCTATAGAATAGAACAAAAAAAAAATCGAATGGAAATTCTGTAGCACTCATTGATGAATTTTTCGCAGCAGAAAAGTGATTTGTATGAAGATTTTTTGCCTCTACCTTCTAATCGCCTAAAATGATTTAAACGTGCTTTAAAAAATATAAAATAAAAATTCTCCTAAACTTATGTCCGCGAGTTGTGGTGTTTATTTAAGAGATAGCTCCAACATCTATCATCGTGCATTACATAATTATAGGCTCTAAAAACATTGTCATTCATGCTCCATTTTTTTTTTTCTGTAACACTTATCTCAGCTCGACCTACCACCAAAAAAATTTTTTTTTCCAAATTAAAAATAATAAAATAAAACAATAATATTTTACCTTTATTTGGATATTTTTTCATATTAAATTCCAAAAACAGAAAAACGGAAAAAAATTTAATTATTAAATTTTAGAAATAAAAAATATTTTTTAGTAAAGAAAAATATTTTTTACAATTAAAAAGTATATTTTTTTATAAATATTTTGTAGAAAAAAATATTCTAAAACAGTTTTTTTGAGATCTCGTGTTTTTTTTAAATAAATTAATTTTTTTAAAAGTTAAAAAAAATGAAAAATAAAATACAAAAAGAAATTAATGTATAATTTTTAAAAGAAAATAATTTTCTTTGGTGGGAGATTCAGCTGATTTTGTGAACATTGAACATTCAACTAGAATTTTTTTTTTTTTATTTGGGAAATTTTTTTTTTCAATGATTCCCATTTACCTTTGAATGTAAAAGCGAGAGAGACCATTTCGTTTTTATTTTGTTATTTTTTTTTTTTTTTTTTTTGGATTCAAACGAAAAATGATATTTAATCTCATTTTTTTTTTGTTGTGAGAGATTGAGAGAGAGAGTCATTTATAGCTGCTTAACCACAAATCCTGGACATATTGTGTATTTAACGGTCGACATTTAAAGAATAAATTTTTTGTATTTTGAGCATAGGATGCTGGGCAGCTTGTAGGATGAAATATTAGCTATGCTGCACAACGCGATAAATCCTCATAGCAGGCACCTGGAATATATTAAGAACCTCATAAAGCCTCCCACACTCGAAACGATTCCGTTCGCATTTTTCCCATTGCGGGGAGATTTTTCTACTCTATTTCACTAAAAAAAACTCTATAATTTTTCAGCTGCAATACAAAAAAAATGATTTTTTTTTTCATTGTCTCACGCATCCTCAATTTTACTTTAATATTGTAGATTGTATAGATATTTACTAAATTTTGGAATCATCTTTTTTTTTTTTAATTTTTGTAGTTACAAAAAAATATTATTTACAATTTTAATTTTTTAAAAAACAAAAATTATAAAATATTTTTTCAAAAAAAAAATTTCCGTGTTATCTATTTTATTACCTGCAAATTTAATAATTGACAAAATAATATTTTGAACAAATTACAATAGAAATTTTAATTTGAAAATAATAAAATAAATTATAAATATAGAAAATTATTTTTCCAAAATAAATATAACATAATTTATTTTTAATTATATGCAAAAATAATTTCCCAAAATTGTTGTCCCCCAATTTTATTTTGAAAAAATAATTGAAAGTTTTTTTTTAATTTATTTTATTTTTTAAATTCAATTATTTAAAAACAAATTTATTCTTTTAATTTTTAACTTCATTTCTCTACTTTTTTTTTGAATTTTTGAAAATAGGAAAGATTTATTTAAATAAAAACAGTTTCTAAGCACTTTCTAGTTTTAAATAAAATTTTTAATCAATTTTGCACTTCGTGATATTAAAATAGCGGTACTGAAGTTTTTCTTATTTTTTTTTAAATCAAGCAATAAAAATAAAAACTACATAATAATTTAATTTCAAAACAATTTAATTTATAAAACAATTTAATTTTAAAAATAATTGAATTTATAAAATAATTTTGACCAAAAATTGATAAATTTTAAAAGACATGCATTATTGTTTTGAATTTTAAAAAATAATAATATATAAATTAATTTAAATTCAAAATAATATTAAATTTTTAATGTAGTATCGAATTTTCAAAATTATCTTGATAATAATTACAATTTTGAATATCTTAAAACCCGTCGACAACTTAAATTTTTAATCTTTATTTTTTTCAAAAAACTTTTGAACCCTCAACTTCTTTCATCGTTCAAAATTTTTTTACTTTGAAAAAATGTTTATTTTTGCAAATTTTCTACTTTGGGTCCTTTTTCTTTTGGACTTTGGAAAATTAAATTTTTGATCCTTTGAAATTGGAACTATTTTTGTGCGGTTTAAAGTAAATTTCCAAAAAAAAAAAAATTTATTTTTGTCGAAGAAAAAAAAAATTGAAAAGTAAAATTAAATATTAAACAAGTAAAATTTTTGGAGTGTGAGACAATTTTTCTATATACCCTAATGGTTTGAGCGGTATAGGAGTGTTAGCAAGGGAAGAAAGAGAAATTCTAAGAGAGATAGTTACCAATGTAAGTTAGTAAATTGTACGCAGATTTTAGGAGCGTGTTAGATGTGACTAAGGTAGACTTTCCGCTTTAAGTGCACGTTGCTACGCGCTGGCGAGCTGACTGCTGTGTCGTTACTGGAACAGAGCCGGGGCTCTTATTCTCACGCACAAACACTGCAAACATCACGCTTCAACGAAACCACCCCCCCACCCAAAAAAAAAAAAATAAAAAAAAATCCATTTTTCCAAAATTCTTACAATTCTATTTCTTTCTCCCCCCCTCTCCATATTTTGATATCAGAAAAGATATATAAATAATGCAACACAACCAATAAACTACAAGAAACTCTCTAAATGATCAAATTTCTCCATTTTTCAATAATTATTAATTTTACCAAAAATTCCACTAATTCTTCATTTTCGATTTTTTTTATTTTACTATTACATTTTTTTTTAAAAAAACTTGAATTTTTATTTATCCAAATAACGAAAATTCGAAATTTATTTACTCGGAGAAATAAAAATCTGTCAACATTGAAAAATGTAGAAAAATCCTCGCTCTAAAAATTTAACTAATATAAAATTTTCAGGACAATATGCAAATGATTTTTTTTTTTTGTAATTATTCATTAAATATATATGCAGAAGCTGCAAACTATTCTACATTTTGGATTTTGATTATTATTATTATTAATTCTAATAAATAATTTTCCATTTTGGAAAAAAAGTACCTTTCGTTCCCGGTTTATTTGAAAAATTCACTCTTTCATTAAAAAAAAAAAATATATATATATTTCTTCCCTGAAGCAACTCGTAACCTAAATTCAATTTTTTTTCTGTATCATCACTTTGCCTCCTGTTTCTTTTTATTGATTTAATATTTGACTATTCCTCTTTCCTTGAAACAAAATGTTAAAAATGGCAAATTCTTTTTGGAATTCAAGAAGAAGAAAAAAATAGAGGCAGCCGAAACGTATATATATAGATTATTTCCAATTTTGGTAAAATATTTCTTTTTTTTTTGAAACAACTTACCTTCTTCGTCGCAACGATGTGTTTTGACCAGGAAGTCCAAATTGTCCCCTTGGAATGACCATTCGGGCATTTCCCTGAGCAGGTCGCGAACCACCATGAGCTTGTAGTGTACTCAAATGAGCCGCGTAACCTTCCGATAAAACTGTCGCTAATGCTTGTTGTTTCTTTGGAACTTTACCAACGATAAATATTTGATTTGGTTTTAAATTTATCGACGTATAGACATTTATGTCTTTACTGCTACCGTAAGCGTAATGAATAATCACTCCGTGTTCCTGAAAATTATGATTTTATTCATTTTTTTTCGATAAAAAAAAAATTTCCCATTTTAAATTCTAATAAATAGAGATAGGAATTATTTTCGAAATTGTAATTTTAAAATTAATTTTAAATAAATTCTTTGGAAATTGAATTACTTTTACAATTTTTAATTTAAAATCATTAAAACGAATGGCAAAATTTTCAATTGCAAGTATTAATAAAATAATGATAAATAATTAATAATTTCAGTTTCAATAAATAATTACAATATTTTACGTAAATTTTTCTCTAAACTATTTTTTTTAATAAATGGAAAGAAAAAAAAAATTTCTATTTAATTCACGAAATTTTTCTCCGTATATTTAAGTAAATAAATAAATTTGAAAATTAGAATTTAAATAAAAAATCGATTTACCTGGACAAGATTGTTTAAGTACGCAGCCTTAGGACGTAGAGGATCCTTATTAATACCTTCCGCAAAGGAGACAAGTCCATGTGGAAAATTGTGTTGCGAAAGCCAGGACACAACTTTTTGTTGTTGCATATCCGGTCTTGCTGTTATGTAAATTATTAAGTATCCCAATTCTTGCCAGTGTCTGAAAAATTTGAAAAAATTAGAAAAACCATAAATCACTCAAAATAAATACTAAAAAAAAAACTCTAATTGGAGTATAGTAAAAATAATCGTAAATACCTCACAACATCGACAGCTCCGGGTCTCACTTTAGGGTCCTTTCCACTTACAGAAACGCTAGCAGTAAAACTTCCATCAATACTAAAAACTACACACTCTGTTCTAGGTGGTATCACAGCCATGAAAAAATCTACCGACGTGTGGTCGCCCCTAAAAAAAATATTTCTTACTTGCAAATTTATTTGCCTGTTTGTTTCTTTTTTCATTTCAATTATTTTCATCACAACTTATTGAAAAAAAAGTATCAAAATAGTGTTATATCTTTAAAATGAAGAAAAAGAAAAATTAGAAAAAGGAGAAAAAAAGAAAAGAAAAAAGAAAAAAAAATAGAAAAATTCTAAGGCATAAAATTAACATCATTTTTCTCATGATTATTTAAAAAAAAAAATTATCAATTGTTAAATTTCGATTAACTTTTTGTTTTTGGCACAACGGTAAGAGCAGCGTATGATTATTCTATAAAAATGATTTTTCACATAAATTTTTATTTTACAAAATAGCATTTAATACAGAATTTTTTTTTTTTAAACGAATATTTACTCAACGGAATTTTCAAAGTACCAAATTTTTATTTGACAGAATTTTTATTTTACAAAATATCTCTTTACCCACAATTGTTTCTTGACAAAGAATTCTAATTTAATCTAATTTCTAATTTATTAGAATTCTCATTGAGTAGAATTTTAAGTAATTCGAATTTTTAAATCCTAAAACTTGGAATTGGAAGCTTATATAAAATATTTAATATTTTAAAACAACAATTTTAATTAAAAATCTTCAAAAATTCAATTATTTCTTAAAACTTTAATCAAGATCTTGGCATTTCAATTATTTAAAACATTTTTCAATTAAAAATACTCTAAAATTCAATTATTTTTTGAATTTCAGATAGTAAATTAGAATTATTAAAAAAAAAAACGGTTGAGAAAAGGGTAAATCCACGTCAGAAATATCAGAATCTGCAAGTGGTTCTTCGATTTTAATGATACTTGGTAAAATTATAGCTTTATATAAGAGCAATGTGTAAGTAAAAGGAATTTTTAAAATATCTAAAATTGTAGGAGTTATATCACTTTTAATTTTGATACTGCATTTTTTTCATTCCTTTATATCTCGGTCAATTTTCAACCGATTTTGATGAATCAAAAACGATTTTTTTCAGAAAATTACGTATTTTCAGAAAATTTTAAAATAAAAATAAAATTTTGTTATTTAAATAGAAAAAAGTAAAAAACAAAATTTCTTTTAGATTTTTTTTCAATTTCGACCTCTTTTTTTTAATTTTTAATTTTTTAATAATATTCCTTTTTATTTTATCTTTAATTTAAAAAAAAATTCATCCTGGAGACTTTTTTAGATCTCGTGATATCGTTCTTTAAATATCCACATGTCAAGAAAACTAGGATCCAGATTTGTGTTTCTACTTTCATTTGTTTTATAATATTATTGTTACAAACTAGAAACATTCGCGTAATAATGTTTTTATTTTGAAATTACTTGACTAAAACAAGTGAAAATTCAAGCAAATCAATATTTTATTAATAGATTTGAAGCAAAGTTTTTATTTTTTGTAATATTTATAATTTAAAATAAATTGTAATGAAACCTTAACAATGCAACCTGAAATTGTAGCTGAAGTTTTTAGCGCTTTCTTTTAGAGGATTCTAAAACAAATATTTATTCATAACCATAAAAAATTTCAACAAACAAATGAAAGAAATGATAGAAGCAAGTCCTGCGGTTTTCAAATTGATGAAGACTTATAATACTTAAAGGAAAATATCACGAGATCTAAAAAAGTCTCCAGGATGAATTTTTTTTTAAATTAAAGATGAAATAAAAAGGACTATTATTAAAAAATTAAAAATTAAAAAAAAGAGGTCGAAATTGAAAAAAAATCTAAAAGAAATTTTGTTTTTTACTTTTTTCTATTTAAATAAGAAAATTTTATTTTTATTTTAAAATTTTCTGAAAATACGTAATTTTCTGAAAAAAATCGTTTTTGATTCATCAAAATCGGTTGAAAATTGACCGAGATATAAAGGAAAGAAAAAAATGCAGTATCAAAATTAAAAGTGATATAACTACTACAATTTTAGATATTTTAAAAATTCCTTTTACTTCTTATATAAAGCTATAATTTTACCAAGTATCATTAAAATCGAAGAACCACTTGCAGATTCTGATATTTCTGACGTGGACTTACCCAAAAGAAAAATTTTGTAAAATAAAAATTCTGTCAAAAAAAAAATTGACAAATTAAAAATTCTATTGAGTAGAACTTGATGAGCTTCTAGGAATCAAAAAATTCGCTAAAATTTAAAATTCTTGAATTCTGTCATTTTTAAAATTATTTTTTGAAAAAAGTAGCATTTAGTGGCTTTTGGACAAAATTAGTAGTTAAAAAGTAGCCTTGTCGAAAAAAAAGTATCAAAAAAGTGTTTCAAAGACTGTGAATAATTTTTGAAGAAACTTACCTGACTACCATTTTAATAGGATGAAGACCATAACCCAAAGCCTTTTCATCGGGAATCCGGTAAACAATTCTTCCATTTTTATCCGTGACTTCGGTAGAAAGATAACTCCATTCGCCGGCCGGTGCATCTCTCATGATATGAATGTCTACTTTTTCACCCGTTAACGCAATCACATCTATTGGACTATACATAAATCTAGCGACTAGAATTTGTGGCACACCCTCTCTTACAATCACGTCGTTTGCTCTGTGATTCGCAGCCACACTCTGTAATTTCAAATTAACTCCTTCATTATTCCCAATACTATAATTACACAATTGTAATTCAATGAAAATTTTTTATTATATATTGTTTTGAAATTACTTTTAAAATTATAAACAAAATTTAAAAAAAAAAATTGATTCAACAAAAATTAACTCACCTTGAATTTTATTAAATTAAATATTAATCAAAATAGATAAACTATATAAAAAAATTTTAATTCAATTTGAAAAAGTACCTTTAATTTAACGGAAGTGCGTTTTTTATTCCATTTCTCTCGCGGCTGACCTGGACGGAAGCATGTGAGCTCTTTCTCTTCATTAGAAAGTAATGGCAAATCAAATCTGCTCAATTGTCGTAAAATAAAGGCAATAACATCCGACGATTCCCAATAACTCGCATGAAATAGATGAGGCAATGCATTCGCGGGAAAATTGGCAAGACCCTCAGGACAATATAATGCGTAATCTATCCTTTTTGTTCCCCACCATTTTTGCATTACTACAACAACAACAAAAAATAGACAAAATATTAAAAATTTTTTTTGAAAAATATGAGAATTTTTTTTTAAATTATTTTTCTTTCAATTTGTTTAATAATTCAAATTTTTTTTTTATTATTTTTCAATTTTTTTTTTTTTATTATTCAAATTTTTATCTATTTTTGAAAGTTTAAAATTATATTTTTATCTGCAAAAAAAAGTAAATGAAATTTCATTCTCACGGGCAGAAACAGCTTGCAATGGAATAGTGTCAATCATTCCTGACATGGAACTCTGAATGGAAATATCCGAGAGTCGTCGCATTGTTGAAAACGTTGCATTAGGAACGTTCAAACCATCGGTGAAGAAATGTGGATTAGACTGAATTGCATCCACTAGAAAATTATTTAAAAAAATATATTATAGAATATATAAATAAAAATATAAATAATATAAATAAATATCAAAAGAATAACAGGGTTGACACAAAATTTTAATTATAATTTTCCCTAACATTTTTTCTGTATAACAAAAATTTTCCCATATTTTTCAATTTTGAATTAGAAAATTATTTGGTAAAATATTTTTTACTTTCTATATTTTTCTTAATATAAAAATATCTAAATACAATAAAATTTGTTTTTTTTTTCTAAGAAATTATTTATTAGAATTTATGAATTATTAAAAATGATTAAATATTTTGTTTGTTTTCTTTTTTTCTAATTTAATAACTTACGTAAATGACAAGGTAGACCGTTCCCAAGTGGATATTTTTGATATCGGGCAACGTTAACTGGTGGCAAAAGGGAGAATCTCGCTGAAATTAAAGGCTCTAATCTAGCAGCTACCGGTTCAGTGGGATGGAACATATTGTACACTTGATTAACGGCCGGCCTTGGAATATTACTGCTTTTATCATCGTTCGAGGAGATTTTCCTGTAAGACAACACCAAACCCAAGGGACTTCCAAACATGAAAAATTCGCTTACTTCAAATTCTAATTTACATTGTTGAGAATGATCGCTGCAAAAAAAAAGAAAGAAAAAAGGGAAGACATGTTATTAATAATAAACAAATTTATATTATAATAACAAATTTTTATTGATTTTTTTTTATAAAAATGTATTAAATTATTAAATTATTTTATTGACTTCTTAATTTGGAGGAGAATTTTCATTTAGCACAATTTTCTTTTGAAAGAATTTCTGTTTAAAAATGAATTTACATTTTCAATATTTCTATTTAGCTTGATTTCCATTACACCGAATTTATACATTTTAAAAATATATATTTAGCCGAATTTTTATTTAGCAAAATTTGGCATCTTATAAATTTATACAAAATTCAATGAAATGAAAATTTGGTTTAATATTTGAATTAATTTGAAAAATTAAATTGAATTTATTTTAAATGTAATAATTTACATTTTTTTGGGATAAAAATTAATTATTTATTTTACTTACAGTTAAAAAATTAACGATTCGATGAATAAATTTACTAAATGCAAAATTTTGTTAAATAAAAATTCGATTAAATTGAATAATAAATAAAATCACGGAAAAATAAATACTTTTGAAAAATAATGTTAAATAGAAATTCTGTTTTAAAAAAATAAACCTTATTAATTGGAAATTTAGCTAAAACATTCGGCTAAATAAGAAAAAAATCGGACAAATAAATTAAGTTAAGTAAAAATTTCGCTAAATGGTAAATTTGAGTAAATAGAAATTTGGCTAAACAATAGAAATTCTAAACACAAATACTATTAATTGAAAAATTCCATTACATAGAAAACTATGTAATAATATAAAAAATAAATAAAATTTCCCATTGAAAATTTGTTTAAATAAAAATTCGACTAAAAATAATTGAATTCAAATGCAAATTGAAATAAATAAAAAAATTAATTTTTAAAAATTTCCAATTTTTTTTGAAAGAAAATTCAATTTAGTAAAATTGAAATTCGATTAAAAAAAAAAAAACTTTCTCAGCGTAAAAAAAGAGTAAAATACCTTGTTGATGATGATCTTCTTCTTGGCGATGGAGCTGATAAATGTTTACCATCCTCAACGCCACCGCCACCATTATTATCTGTCGTTTGATTGTCATTTTCTAAAATGCTATTTTCACTTCCATTTCTCGAATGATATTGTGATGTTCGACAAAGTGCATCATAGGCTAATATCGATCCAACTGAATCAGCAATAAAACAAACTTGTCCATTAAAACCTTTGCCTTCTTCGCTTCTAATGAAATCTTGATAAACTTGATTCGCTGTATTAATCACTTTCGAGACGGAGTCTTGATATTCGGAACTTGAACTTGCCAATAGTGGAATTGCACCAATTGGTATTGTATCGTGAGTTACTTGAGGTGTATCCATACATGATGGTGACACATCGAAACTATAGGGACTCAAACTGAAAGTAAGAGAAAAAAAAAAAAAATTCAAAAATAATTATAGGTAATTCAAAAAATTATTATCACTGTATATTGGGCAGAAAAAAATCTAGATTGATGTAAATTCCTTTTTTCTTTTAAATTCCGAAAAATTCACAAAGTATGACTATAATTTTTAAAAAAAATCGGAATTTTTGATCCTATCGTAAGGTTTGAATTTTGAATTTTTAATAAATTTAATAATATAAATAAAACTTTCGGTTTGAAATTCAGTGTAAAAATAAATAAATAACAAAAAAATGTCAGTTCTACCGAATGAAATTCAATTTACAGTAACATGTGTCGACTAATGAGATTTTGGGGAACAGTCATGTGTCCCATTAATTCAACTCACATGGAGAGAATACCAAGTCCCTCGCTGCAAATTGATGGACAAGCAACTAATCTAACATCTATATGACCAACCATACTTGGATAATGTTGTCTCATCACCGATTCAAAGGCTCCCCTGAAGGTCGTGATATCCGATTTTTTCGCCGGCAAATCAACATTGGCATCTAAAATTCATTTTCATTTATTATATGTTTTTTATTTCAATTATAATTAAATTTCTCTAATCAGAGTGTCAATCGATTTTTGAAACAAAATTCAAGGTTTTTCAAGATCAAAAATCAATTTTTTTCAAGGTTCACTTTCAATGTAGAATTTTCAAAAATTTTAATTTTTTTTTTAAAGAGAAAAAGGAAAAAATGAATTTAAATTTTATTAATATTTTAAATATTAAAAAATAAAAATCATTAAATATTTTAGAAAATTTTAATAATTTAAGATTTTGTTATAAAATTCAATGACTTTCAAGTATTTCAAAGTCCGCTGGACACTGTGTGATTATTTTTTGTATTTATTATAATTTTATTTCTACACGAATTTGAAAATTAAATAAACTAGAAAATCTTAAGGTTAATTTTAAAATTCGTCCTAAAATATTAATTTTAGTTGTTTATTCAGACAAATAAAAAAAAAATTGGTTAAAAAAATAAAAATTCTTTCGCATTTAAAAATGGTGTTAAATAGAAATTTTTGGTTAAATAAGAATTCTCTTAAAAGAAAATTTGTTTTAATAATTAAATTATTTAATGAAAATTCGGCTAAATATAAGTTCTGTTAAATAAAAAATTTAGTTTATTTTATTATATATATTTCTTTTTTCAAATAAAAATTTTTGTGCCAAACAGAAATTTTTGTAAAATAATAATTATTTTAATCGAAAATTCATTTTAACCAAAAAATTGTTTAATGCAAATTCGACTGAAAAAGAGTTTTCTTTAAATAAAAATTCTTTTAAATGAAAATTTATCTGTTACAAAATTTCAATTCTACAAATTCTGTAAAAAAAAAAAATTTTGAAATTTCACTGAAATAAAGAATCAGCCATAAAAAAAAATTATGTTAAATATAGAAATAAGTAAAATAAAAATAAAACTTAATTTAAACAAAAAATTATATACATTATAAAATTCGTACTAAATGTAATTAATTTAAAACAGTAAATTGTGGTAAAAATTTATTTGTTTAATAAAATTCTCAGTTCGAGGCAATATTTCTTTCTAATCTCGATAAATAGACACTCAGTTATAGGAAATTTTTTTTTTAATTTTTCCGAAAAATAAATGAGAACAAAAATAATTTTTTTTTTTTTGAAACTTACCGAGAACACTGCCGGCATGCATGACGAGTAATAAAACTGTTGTCCTGCAGGGTTGATGTGTGGGCGATTGTTGTGGTGATGGAATACAAGAGACATCGACACTCGTAGACGTTCTAATTTGTAATCGTTTACTACTTCGTTCACTCGCAACTCGTTGCAAATACGATGTGGAAAATATCGAATCTTCTTCTAAAATTAATAAAAAATCACAATTATTATTTATTTATTATAATTAGTATTTATTTATTTATTTATATTAAATATTTTTTCCTTCTCATTTTTATTTCTCCAATAATCGAAAAAAATCTCAATTTCTAATATTTATTTATTTATTTATTTAGCAGAATAAAAGTGACAAAATTTCTTACATAAATAAATGGTATTATGTAAAAATTTTAAATTAACATAACAAAAAAATTAAATTTTAGAGTTTTTTTATTTTTATCTCTCTGAGAGAATGAAAATTTGAAAAATCATATATATATATATATATATAGAATAGAAGTTTTTCTCACCTTGTTTTGAGGCAGTCACTGCTGTCGGAGACGTAGAATCTTCAACTTCTGCTAGAAGATCCAAAGAACTCCATTTACATAATGATGAGTTATCCCCCAAGTCCTCTGTATGATCAGAACAAAGTTCAGTCTACTTTTTGCATCAAGTTCTTACTACTTTTCAAAAAAAAAAACTTTAATCAACTCCATTCAAAAACATTACCAAAATACTTGAGAAGACTTCTTTAATGCGAACGAATTAATCTTGAAGAAGAAAATAATTAATTCTTTAATTACAAAATTCAAAAAAAAAAAATTCTTTTCTTTTTATTCAGTAAATTAATTAACTAATTAATTTTTTTCAATATTAATAAAATTTAATCAATTTTATTTCATGTTAATATTGCAATTAATTTTTTTATTATTAATAATATTATTTATTAAATTATTATTATCAATATTACCATATTATTTTTATAATATTATTATTATTATTAGGTATTATTATTATTATTATTATTTATTTACATTGTTTATATCATTTTTATAATAAATTATATAATTAAAGAATTAATTTCGTCTGTAAATAAATTTTTATTCATCAGACGTATATAACATTTCAAAAAGGAAGACAAAAATATAAGTATCATAAAGAAGTTACCCTTTTATTAATCGGAAAATAGATAATTGTAAAAAAGTAGAATTAATAAAATTATTATCTGTTAAAAAAACAGCCAAGAAGCTCATGCTTTTGTTTTTTTTAATAAATCCCAATTTTTCTTAACGAAGATTTCAAAATTATTCATCTAGAAGAGAAGACATGAACTTTGTTCAAATTTTAACTACTCTACTGATATGAATTTTCAACGAAAAAAAAAATTCTATTCTAAAAAATTATTTACATAAAAAAAAATGTAAAATTCAACGATGGAAAATAAAAAAGGCAAAAAAAAAACCAGAAAAGAAAAATTCTTCCATAACATTCACTTTTTTGAATGAAAATTTTCTAATAAAAATTTAATAATATATTTAAATTTTAAAATTTAATTTAATAAAAATTTTCTAATTTTCAAATAATTTTCCTTCTTTTTTTACATTTTTCACGTTTTATTAAATATTAAATTAAATATCAAGTATTTTTATTGAAATTAAATTTTTTTTTCAATAATATTAATAATAAAATAATAAAATAATAAAAAAAGGAAAAAAATTAAATAATTTTGTCAGTAAAATTTATTTCAAAAAATGGGCTATTCTTGTTTTGGAAGAATTTAAATTTTCGTTATTAAATTATTATTTATAATTTATAATTTATAATTTATAAATATTCGAAAATTATAATGGACAAAATTTTTTTAAAAACACTTTTTTTTTTTTGGAAACATGATCCACGTTTGGTTATTTACTCAAAAATTTAGGAGCAATGAAAAAAAGAATAGAAAATTCATGCCTAAAATCAAGTCCCCTAATCTAGCTTCATTATCTACGTGTCCTACCTTTGCGAATAGTAGGTATAATGAACCCAGCTGCTGATTTGCGAGTGCAGAAGGAAACAGAGAGTAAACATAAAGACAATAACCCTGCCACCCTGATGAAGAAAATGGGTTTTTTTTTCTTCCATTGAAACATTTATTTAAAAAAAAAATTTCAAAAAAGTAATTTTTTTCAGAACTTAAATCGCAAAAAAAAATTAACTTTTTTAGCCAAATAATTATATAATTGATAAATTATAAAGTGGCAAATTATTACGATAAATAATTTTGAAAATTATATTTTTCATCATAAAAAATCAAAAAAAAAAATATTTCGATTTCTCAAAAAAAAAACAAGCAAATATTAGAAAAAAAATCTTAAAAAAATTGTAAATGCCCATTTTTTTCTTTTCATCAGAACGACACAAAAAACTGTGAAAGCTATAGCTCGTGTTTACGATTCAATGAATTGTGTAATGATTATCATTTTCAGTTATAGAATCGAGCATATCACTTTAAAATAAACACTATATAAAATTAATCAATCGAATAAATTTTTTTCACGCTAAAAAAAAAAATTTTTTTTTAAAATCATCATGCCCTAAAAGAAGCAACGCCAAAAGGCAGCATTCACTTCTTATATATTTAAAACTGTATCGAACTCTATTAATATATCATAAATCATAACTGTTAAATTTCATCTAATATAATATAAATGAGAGCCATGCTTTCAATTTAAATGAAATTCGTTCAGAAAAACAAAGAAAAAAAAATTTTAATAGTTCAAGAAAGAAATAACCAAAAAAAAGGAAAAGGAAAAGAAACGCCAAAAAATACTACACTTACCTTGGCAATCAAAAAATTCGTCATCACTTCCCGATTCCGATTCTCTCACAATACTTTCCATTCGCCAGTTTGCAATTTGAATATCGAAATTTTTCGATGAATTTGGAGATGGCAGAGATGCTGTTGATTTTTTCCAGGATTTTTCTGGTTCCACTTTCTGTGTCGGTCTAAATTCACAAGCAACAATAAGAATTTTCTGTTTCTAATATAAATAGAAAAAAATAAAATGAAAACAAAAATAAATTGAACAAAAATTTGAATAGATATAAAAATTTTCAATCAGTAAAATTTGAATTAAATTAATTTTTTTTAAACTTTTTGGAAAAATAATTAAATTAATAAATAAATGTATTCTTTAAAATAGTCAACAATTAATCAATAATAAAATAAGTTAATCAAAATTCCAAATTTTTAATTTATTTTAAAACTGAAAAAATTAAACAAAATTAGTAAATTCATAATATTATTTAGTAAATTTAAATTCATATTAACTAAAATTATTTAGTTATAGTTATTATAGTTATTATATAGTTATTTATAGTTATTTATAGTTATTTATAGTTATAGATATTTATTTTATTTTTTTTTTATTTTATTTTATAGTTATTTATATTAAATTAGTGGAATTAAAAAAATTTTTCATAGTTTTTAGTTTTAAGGATAAAAAAAAAAAATTCGGACAATAATTAAGTTGAACAGATTTTTAAATTAAATTTTTTTAAATAATTGAATTTTAAATTTTTATTCTGAAACTTTTTTTAAATATTTGAATTTTAATCTTTGGAAAAGTAAACTGATTACGAATTTGAAAGATAATTGTGATAAAAAAAATTGTGTAATAAACTAATTGAGTTAGAAATAGTTTTTTACGTAAAAAAAAATCTAAATTAAAGTGTTTGTTTATTTTTGGAAGCAAAATTTAAATATTTATTTTTGTTATAGTTTATACGTTTATCTATGAAAGGAAAGGCTGTTAAAAGATATGAAACATATTGTAATATCAATGAATAAACATCTATCTTTCTAAATATTTGAAATATTTTTAATATTTTTTAAAGAAATATTAAAATTATTAAAAATAATTGAATTTTGTAAGAGGTATAGTTTATTTTATTTACTTATTTATTTTTTTAGAAATAATTGCATTTAAAAATATTACTGTTAAAAATTTCAGACAATAATTTTTTTTTTAAATTGAAAATAATTTATGAAATAAATTTAGATAGCAATTTTTAAAAGTAACTGAATTTTCAAAAATTTGCAATTTTCAAATTTTTAAAAATAATTGAACTTCAAGTGATTTTTAATTGAAATTTTTTATGATTTCTATTGATAAAGGATTTATTAGAAATTACAGAAAAAAATTCAACTTTAAAAACTTTTTATTGAAAACTTCTTTAGAGAATTTAATTTTTGAAGAGAAATATTTGAAAAATTATTAAAAATAATTGAATTTTAGAAATAATTAAATTTTAAAAGGTTTTAAATTGAAAAATTTTGAAAATAATTGAATTTCAAGTTGTTTTATAATTTGAAAATTTTGGACATTTTATTTGTTAATTTTTTTTTTTTAATTTTAAACAATTGTTGAATTTCAAAAAAAAATTTAATTAAAAAATAGTTTAAAATAATATTAAATTTTTAAAGAATTTTTTTTTAAAATTATTCAAAATAAATTAATTTAAAAAATAATTTTAGTTAAAAATTAATACAAAAAATAATATAATATAAATTTCTCAAATGAAATATACATACCGAGGAGCTGTTGTTTCAATGGGCGAATCCTCGGGTGATGCTTCGCCCTCAGAACTGACGGCTGTGTTGATTATTGGAATGTCGGACGGTTTTCTAAGAGACGGGGGACTTTGGGGATCTTCATTTTTCTCAATACTTCCCAAAGTGGCAGCAAGAGTTTTAGCGACATTCGAATCCTGAGGTGTCGAAATTGTATTCGAAGTACCGAGTGTCTCCTCCTCGTCTTCATCGTCCTCGCCCGATTCAGCGAGGCCCATTTTTTTCTGAAGAGCAAGTTGCGTTTGTCGCTCTATTTCCCTTATATCATCCATCGTTAAACCAAACCACTCGTCCTGCCAAGCCCACGCTTGTCGATGTGCTCTCAACATTGTCTTTCTCAGGGCTAGTAAAAAAAAAGCGAAAAAAATATGATTTTTTATTTAAAATTTGAAAATTGAATTCTATTTTTAAAAAAATGTTAATTGGTAAAAAAAAACTCTGTGTCAATTAAAAAAAAAACGTTTGTACTAAAAAAAATATTTATCAATATTAAAACATGAATATTAATTATTAATATTCAAAAATAAAAATTTTAATAAAATTAAAATCAAAAATAAAATTATTTAATAGCTTTTTACTCCGTTTGTAGTAATTTTTGTTGCCCATTTAAAATGTAAATAAATAAATAATAAAAAACTGTATTAATATAACAGAACCCTATTAAAAGAAATATTATTAATTAAAATTCTCATTTATTTTTTTTTTTGAGTAAAACTCACCCACATCGTGAATGAATTTTTCCAATTTCGTTTGCATTCCCCAATAACGAAATTCCACACGACATAATTTGTAGGCGCACATCAGAGATTTTCCCGCAGGCGTTGGTTGTGATTTTCCCTGAAAACAAAAATAAAATTTTTTCAATATACGAATTTCCTTCGCACTGAAATTCAATTTAAAGAATAACAAAAAACCAGGTCATTGAAATGTCGCTCTAAACTATTTATATAAAACAAAAAAAAAAAAAAAATAAAATTACATAAACTTTGTTATAGGTTTCTTTTTTCCACATATCGAATTTAATAAAAATTCTATATGAATTTAAATAATAACATTTTTTACTTTGTTGAATATAACTTTTGAAATATTGTACACCATATTTTTATTAATATAAATTTTATTATAGATAAATTATAATTACAATTTGAAAATGTAATTTTTTTTTGCAATTTTTCATATTATTTTCTACAATAATTTGAAACTAGCATCAAATTTGTACTTTTTTTTTATTAATTCTTGTCAATGTTTTGAAAACATTTTTATTTACTTTTCATGTGAAAAAATTTTAGAAAAACATTTTTCTTTGTCTGCAAAATAAACTTTGTTTTTCTATTTTGAAGAAAAACTCAAAGCTACTATTATTTGGAAAAATTGGGAATTATTAAAGAATTTTTCGTAAAATTGGGAATATATTATTTTTTGTCAATATTTGGGAAACATTTTTATTTAATTTTCATATAAAAAGATTTTAGAATTTTTTTTCTGCAAAAAATAAGCTTCATTTTTCTTTTGTCCACTTTTGTCCTATATTTTTTGGGTTATAGAATTTTAAATTTCTAGAAAGTAATTTTTTTTTTAAATAGAAATAAAATGGCAAAATGTAATTCGAGCTGATATTATTTTTGTTAAAAATGAAATATTTCTAAAAATGAGGATATTTTTTTTTACCTTAACATCATTCCAATATTCATCCAGCCAATTTTCCGTTAAAGGACCTCTTGCAGTCTTCTCCGATATGTACGAATTTGGATCCTCTTCTTTCACGTAATCTGCTCCATAGAGCGGATCTTTCACGACGTCAATAAGATCTGGAAATAATTTTCAAATTCTTTAAAAATAATAATTAATAAAAATTTCTATAGAAAATGCATAAATTAGCAAATGAAATTTTTTAGTTAAAACATTAATTTGAGATAATTTTTTTTTAATTTGCAAATTATCTCTAGTTCACTAAATTTTCATTTAATCAAATTTCAATAAGACCGAATTTTCATTTAGCAGAATTCTAATAAAATAATAAAACCGAATTTTCATTTAGAAAAATTCTCATTTAATGAAAAATTTCGAATCAAATTTTTAAATGCGACAATTTTCACTTTATCGGATCTTCATTTATCCGAATTGTTTATTTACAAAAATTGTCATTTGATTTCATTTTAGCCATACTTAAAAATTTCAAATTACAATTTGTAAACAAAAATTCCGATAAATCGTAATTTTTCTATAATTTTTAGAGCCGCGTTAATTTTATATTATTTTCTTGTTATCAAATAAATTAAATAATTTTTATAGTAATAGAATTGAGGAAAATTTTGCGAAAGATAAATACTTTGTATATAAATAAGAAACAAAATTTTCTCCCTTCTATCGTCTTCTATCATCATCATCATTTTTTTTTTTTTAAATCAATAAAACCTTGTGCGACGTACCAACAATTCTATTTCTGAGATCACTCCCGCTAAGTTTGAAAACATTTTCCTGATGTCCATTATCAGGATAATAATAAGTTTCAATTTCTAAAGAGAATTTCTCAACAAAAGGACAAGTGTATCGTGTCTTTGTGTATGGATAAGCATTCCATGCCTCCTCCTTGACTGTCAATGCCGATTTTGGTAATAAACTTTTGAACCAACCGGGCAAATGACTTCCAACATGATAAATTTTATGTGTATATTGACCATTTCCTCCTGGACCATTTGTGTACGGTTCATTTACAATTATCTCGACACCACTTCCGGCACCTTTGCTCTCCTCCCTCGACTTTTTCTGCATTTTTTGATAAAAAATGATTGATTGTTTTAATTAAATTACAGAATAAATGGAAATAAATATAAATAGAATAAATAAATATATAAATAAATATCAAATTAAATTATTATTAAAAGCAGGCCTCGAAGCGCCTTCAACATTAAAAATTACGTACTTTACGTATCAAAAAAGAAAAACAATTAATGACTAATTTAATGAATCAAAATTTGAAGCTATTATTATTCTAAATTTTTGCTTTCAAATCTATAAATGAAATAATAATAAAAAGAATATAAATAATAATTTTTGATTTAAACGTTTTTTTTAAATTTGAAAGTTCAAATCTTAAAAAAATTTTCTGATTTAACATTTTTTTTGTTTTAATTATTTTATTCAACAATTTTCTACAAATTGACCTTTAAGACAACTTTTTTTAAAAAAATAATTTTATATTAATTTTTTATTACTATTTTATTATATTTATTATTTTATTTATTATATTTAGAACATTCAAGAAATAACTAACAACAGTTTTCAGATTTTTTGAATAAATAAATAAATAATAAAATAATAATAATAATAATAATAATAATAAATAAGTAAATAAATAATAAATTACTTGAAATTCTGAGCGTTCAAATAAACGAAATTATTTTTTGTGGTCTATAAATTATTTGAATAATAAAAATAAAAAATTTAAAATTTAAAAATTTAAAAATTTAAAATTAAATATTTAATAAATTATTCATTTATTTTTGGATATACAGAAAGCAATATTTTTTTTTTTTGTTTTTATAAAATTTGAAGCTAAAAATATAGTAAACAAATGTTTTCGTTCATTTGAATGATCAGAACTTTAGGCACATAAAATTTTTAAAGTTCACTGTAAACTTTTTTTTTAAAATGAATCTTAGGCAAAAATGATTATATTTATTAATATTAATTTAATTATTATAATTTATTATTTAATATAATTTTAAATATCGTATTTATTTTTCTTCTAATCAATTAAAATAATTTATGTAATTTTCCGGAATCAAAAAAGAGATAAAACAATGTTTTAACATTTCGAAATCGATTTTCAGAATAATTAATGGTTATAGTTGTATTTTCTTTAAATTTGCAATTTGAAAAAATTTTCTCTGACCTATAAATATTACATAATTATGAAAATATTTTGATAATTAGATTAATAAATTCTGACGAGGAGATCGGTATTTTGAAACATTAAACGACTGTTTTATCTTTATGAAAAAAAAAAAAAATTTCCTAAAAAAATACCATAAATTTTAATTTGATTACTGAATTATTATTCGGATGAAAAAATATCAATTTTTAATATTTTCCTTTAACATTATCATAATGGAATGTTATATTTATGGATTTTCAACATTTTCATAGAAAAATAAAAATGAAAAATTTGAAAAAAAAATTGTCTTTTAAAATACCTATAAAATAGAACTTTATGAATAAAAAAAACTGTTTTTCTAATTTTTTCCTTTTTTTTTCTCTAAATATTAGTGAAACGTGGTTTTTTTTCTTCTTCTAATTTTCAAGGACATTTTCTAAATATTTACCGCTATCATGTACAGCTGAGCAATCCGATATTCCTCCACCGTCAAGGGTAGAGGTATTCGATATTCTTTTATCAACATCTTGATGGAATCCCTCGATTGCTATCTACACATTTCTGAAAACAGAAAAAAAAACATTTTTTTTTCAAACATTAAAATAATAAATTTTCATATTTTTAAAAGTAGATGTAATTTTTTTTTTATTAAATTGATTTGAAAAATAAAAATAAATGTAGAAATAAGAGAATAATAAATAAAATAAATAAAAAATTTTTTATTAGTTTTTTTTTTCAAACTAAATTAGAAAAAATTATTGTATTTTCCAGTAGTTTTTTTGTGTTGAAACAAAAAAACTTAACAATGAAAAATATATTTTCTTGTTTCTAAATATATTTTTCCTTTTTTTTTTTAATTACGACGAGAGAGAATAAAAGAGGAATTTTTTTTTTGCCTTACGCTGCTAAATTGAGCCTGATGGTTTAATTCATAATCTTGAGGGTATATTATACAAAAGGGAAACACTATTATTATTATTGTTATTATCATGATGTATTTGAGTTTCTAAGCACAAGAACAATATATAGAGTATATATATAACGATTCATATCGTTTTCTATATTAAATGAATGTGTCCAGGGTGGCACACGTATAATCAGGGATAGTGACCCTCTCCTTTATATATATATAATAGAGAGACACTGGATGATGTTAACCAACACAATTTGAAAATTCTCTTCACCAACATGGAAGCACATCAAGTGCAACGAGCTAGTGTTTCTATAGTACAAGTTTCCACGCAAAACCTTGCTCTACAGGGACTGGCCTAGATTCTTTCATCACGCTTAAACAATTGGCCCAGGCTTCTGCAAACAAATTGATAATTGAATCTATTAGCAAAGGACGGAGCAAACTAAGATTCTAATTTCCCCCTTCGATAAATATATATATATAAACACCTGTTCAAGTTCAAAAAATTATTATTATAATTATCAATATTATTATTTAATACCATTATATTAATTATTTTATTTATTTTTCTATTTTATTATCTATATTATTTAATTATTTTTTTATTTACTTATTTTTTATTTTATTTTTTGATTTTCAATTTAATTAATTTTTTTTTCTTTTCAAATTCGGATTAAAGAGAAAAATCTGTGCCTAAAATTCTAAAAAGTTCGAATGAACGAAAAATTAATTTTTTTAATTTTTAAATTTTCCTTCTATAAAATATTATTTTCTGTATCAAAAAATAAATTAATAATTAAATTTTTCAATGAATTTTTTTTTTTTTATTTTTCATTAGTAATTTTGTAAATAATTTATTGGAGCAAAAGAGAATGATTTCGTTTATTAGAATTTTTCAAAATTTTTCAAATTACAAAAATCTTGTCTTATTATCAAATATATATATATATATATAGAAAAATAAATTTTTAAAAATTGATTCAAGAAATTAATTAAATCTGAAAAAAACGAATTGAAGAATATTAGAAAAATATTCAACAAAAAATAGAAAATAAGAAAATAATATCAATAATTTTTGTAGTCATGATTACAATATTTGGAAAAAATATAAATGAAAAAAATTTCTATAGAAAATTAACTATTAGAGAAAGAATGAAAAAAATTTGCTAATCATCAATATTTTAATTTAATTAATGTTTAATTTTTGTAAGACCGTTTATTATTGTAAATAAATTGAATTTTTTATGGAGCTTAATTTTTTGATATAAAATTTATAATATAAATAAATAAATATTAATAATTATTATTTATAATCAATTATTATTAAAATTTTAATTATTTATTAAGTTCAATTAATAATTATTTTTTTCTATTTATTATTATTATTATTATATATTTTTATTTATTTATATAAATAATAATGTAATTTGTTTAAAAATAAAATTTTCAATATATCAATCGAAGAGTAAAATATCTATAGTACTTTTTCCCAATTTCGTGAAAATTGCCTACAAGTGAACATACACACGAGAGAATTCATAAATGATTCGGTTTTGTTTGCAAAGGAAGGAAGCAAGTTACTAATTTCAAAGTCCCTAATTGCTCAATCCGCCACTTTAACACCTGTCCGATTTAACAGGTTAACTCAAATATCCAAATTTTGTTTATATTCCTAATCGTATCCTTTTAAATCGATCATTGAAATTTTTTATAAATTTAACAAAATATTATTTTTATTTAAAAAAAAAAAATAATAATAACAATAATAATTTAATAGTGAACTATTATTTATAGATATTTTCATTTTATTTATTATAAAATTTACTATTTAAAAAATAGTGCAATAAAATTATAATGAAAAGTAATAAAAAATAAAAATTAAAAAAATAAAATAATAATAATAATAATAATGATAATGATAAATAATAATAGTAATAATAATAAATAATAATATAATAAAAATAAAAAATAATAATTTTTTCACAAAATAATAAAATAGAATTTTCGCATAATAGTAAATAATTTTCTTGTAATAATAATAATTTCATGTCTCGAGAATCAATTAAAAATTGATGACATTGATGAAAAGAAAGCTTTCTTTTTCTTTCTTTTTTTTTTTTTTTGCTTCATGAGAAGAAAATTCGATGGATTTAAAAAAGTGTATAAAGTGAGGAATATCGCGGAAATCTTAGCCGCATAATAAGATTGAAAAAGAGAGTCGATGAGAGAGGAATTAAGGAGAAAAGAAGAGGAAAAAAAAAAAAAAAATTCGTCATAGGTTTGGAAAAGTTATAACGAAAGTTTCAATTTTCTTTTCTTTTTTTTTTCATAAATCCTTGGGATATTATAAAAACTTTCAATTTGATGGGAAATGTTTCCAATCAAGCCAAACTAATATTTCCAAGAATTAAAGAAAAAAAAAAAGAGGGAAAGAAAGAAAATTCAAATTAAATTAATTTCTCATTTACTAAAAGAAGGAGGAAATTCTATATATTATTATAATTTTTTTTTTTCCTTTCAAATAACTTGAATCGTTAAATTAATGAAAATTTATTTTCCTGTTTTTTTTTCTATATATATATATATATATATATATATATATATATATATATGATTTCAATCGTATATATCCTCCATTTGAAATGTCAAAGTTAACACTGTGTTTTCCGCAAGAAATTTCAATTCCAAATTCTCTCTCGTCGACAACAATATTTGACAATAGAAACATCTCATTCTATTTCATTTGAACAAGATATCAAGTTGAAAAAAAAATTTATTCTCTGGAAAAATAAAAAAGAAACAGTGACAATAAGCAAATTTGATTTTGGAAAATAATAAAAATCGGAATGGCATTTTTTTTTCACAAATATTTTTCAACGGAAATTCGATTTTTTTTTTTAAATTTAATTTCAAATTTCAAACCGAAATAAACAAATTACGTTTTGGCCCTTTCAATTACATGTTAACATTATTTTGAAAAATTATTTTATTATCTTTTATTTTACGAGCTTCAAATATTTCAACAAGATTTTTCATTATTTATCTAGTTTTTTGAGACATTTTTTTTTCCAAAAAAAAAAATTAACTTAATCTGAAATTAGCAAATGAAAAAAATAACAAAAAAAAACTAGTGTTCCTTTTTATTCAGATGTTTCTAAATATTTTTCTAAATTTTGTTTATTTATTTAGAGAAAAAAAAAAAAATTATTTTTCGAAAAAAATTTACGTCACTTATGTTAATTTATTATTTACATTCCTAAATAAATAAATTCTTTATTGCATGACAAAATTATTCATTTTTAATCGAGAGAAAAAACATTGAATTTCTTTTGTTAATTTATTATTAACGTTTCTAAATAAATAATTAATTAAATACCTAAATTCTTAATTGCAGAAAAATCATTTTTACAAAAAAAACTTCATTTTCCGTATAAAATTGTTAATTTTTAATCGACGAAAAAAATTGAATTTTTATTATTAGTTTATTATTAATATTTCCAAATAAATTTCTTATTGCAAAAAAAAAATACGATTTCTAGATAAAAATTATTTCTAATCGAAAAAATAGTTGACGATTTATTATTTATATTCCTAAATAAATAATTTCACTACTAAAAATTCACAATGCAAAAATGCTGAATAAAATTTTAAAAAATAAATAAAAATTATAATAAATAAAAAAGAAAATTTTAATAATTATTAAATAAATTTAAAAAGAAAATAAATTCAAAATTAAAAAGAAATTGTAATTAGAAATATACTTTTCGATAATTTGTCGAAAATAAGAAGTCATCTTGGGGATAATTTTGAAAAGCAAGATTAATCTTTAATATCATCGTCTTTAGCGAAGTGAAGAAGAGATAAAGGAAACTTCGTTAGACCCGTAATGAGTGGCTTTTAGAAACTGTCTCTGTGATCTTTTAACGACTTCTTTTTTTCTGAAAAGCTTTTTTTTTCTAAAATCGAGTCTACTTAACACGCAAAGTACTTACATTTTTTTTTATTTATTTTTTTTTTGAGGTTTTTTTCCCCTTCCTCGTTACGTGTCTCGAGTATCAAGACAATAAAGAAATATCAAACCGGTACAAGTTGAAAGTCCATTATTAGAACATTGAAAATCATTGCATCTCAATAATATTGTCACATCCTTGATTTTTTAATTATATATTCATTAATAAATTCTTCTCATTCTCACAAAACATTGTCACAAAATTTCTCACAGTTCGATAATAATTATTATTTTTATTCATTTTCCACTTGAAATTTATCCTTAAGGATTTCAATTTTTTAATTTAATAATCGTTTTCTTTAATTCTCGATTTTGTTTCTAATTTTCGACTGAAAATCATATTTTTATTCAATTTATATTCGAATTGAATTTTTTTTTTCCAAAATTATCAATTCAATTTTTATTTTTCCTCCTTCTCGAATTAATATTGAATTGAAAATGATATATTTTTTTTCTTCTCAAGAATAAATTGCGAAAACAATTATTATTTTTGAAATGATAATTTTACACTTTTAGCACCAGCAGCACTGCATTGGAAAAAAAAGGAGAAAAAATTATGAAATCTAGAAATTGTGAAAGATTTTTTTTTTAGGGCGTTGGATGAAATGTCATTTATTGTTGTTTATTATTTATAATGTAGAAGACTCGAGAATAATTTTGCAGCTGAAAAATTGTAAAAATCACTCTCGAGGGTGGGTTTGCGTTGTTGACTTTACGAAGACTCAACGAGATACTGAAACGACGATCAAACCGGGACGATGCACCGGGTCGGAGAACGCGCGCCTCTCTGGCTCTTTTCTCTCTCAAATTCTCCTCACAACGAAAAAACCTGAAGCTACCACCACACCACGACGATAGTATCACTTGTGCTCCAAAGGGGCAGAGTGGAGAAAAGGACGATCCGCCCCCGACCCGGCGGACACGAGACCACCACCGCCGCCGCCACCGACCACCAGGACCGTATTTTCAACATACATCTCTTTTTTTCACCCCTCTTCCTTTTTTTTAACTCTCTCTCTCTCTTTGAAAATTTTTCAAAAATTTCTAAATCACAAAAATTCTTTTCTTCAATTGCTTCTCTAAATTTTCTATCACAATTTTTTTTTTTTTTTTTTATTTCTAATTTACAATTTATAATTGTGAATTTTTTTTTATAATTTACAATTATGAATTTTTGTAATTTTTCTCTTCTATTTTTATTGTGAATTTTTTTTTTTTTATAATTTATAATTATAAATTTTCATAATTTTTCTCTTCTTTCGTTTTTTTTTTTTTTTATTTTCTTTTTCCTTCTATTTTCAATATATAGAATTTGGTTTTTCAAAATTTATTCCCCTTGATTTTCCCACACTCGAAAATCAAATTTGGAATTCTTCCAAAAAGATTTTTTTCTAAATTCATAATTCTTCTTGAAGGATTTTCGTATTAATTTCATTTTCATTGTTGTTGAAGGATTTTCACAATTCTATATGAATATTTTATATTTTATTCGTTGAGATAATAATTTTTTTTTTTTGGAGTTCTCGAAAACTTTTCATCTCTCTTTTGTTGATGTGAGTCTGTGTGTGTGTGTTCCGTTCCTCTTTTGACAAATAGGTTCGATAATTTTCACGAATTTCTGAAAAATAAAAAGAAAAATGTAAATTATATAAATACACAAAAATTTGTTGATTAAATCTAATTTTTTTTTTTTTTTTTTTGAAAATTAATCAATTTAAAATACAAATATGTATTTTTTTCTGCAAAAGAAAAATTATATTATTTATTTATAGAATAATATATTAATAGTATACATAGATAATAAAAAATAATAATAATAATAATAATAATAATAATAAAAATAATAATATAAATACCGAAAATAAAATTTGAATAAATTTATTTTTAGTTTTATAAAAAAATTAAAGTGAAATTAATTATTTATAAAAAAAAAAACTTTTTTACCGCCAAAATGAATTCAGATCTAAAAGTGTTAATAAATTTTCGAATTTAAAATATGATTTGAAAATCTATTTTCATTTTAATATTCGGAAATAAAATTAATAAATATACATAATAAAAAAAAATTGAAAAATTTTAATTTTAATAATTAAAAAAGATTGTTATTAAAAAATTTATTATTTTTTTTAACAGTGATACTTTCTGCCTATTTTAATCAAAATAAATTTACATTTGTTAAAAATTAACTTAAAATTCATGAATTAATAAAATTCGGGTCCCAAAATAGTATAAAAAAATTAAATAATAAAATCAAATTTTTATTTTAAAATTGAAATTTGCATTTAAATATTTAATTTTTTTGAATGTAAATTTTGTTTTTTTTTAAATCCAATAATGAAGAAAATTCATAGTTTAAAACAATTTTTCAAGTTCTCTAGTTTCAAAATATTTTTATTATCTAATTTATTTTATAAAAAAATCATTATAATTAAAAAAATTTCCCAATTCCTTATAATTATTGAAGAAAAACCGAATTTCGATTTGCATAAGTTTTTTTTTTTTTTTTTTTTATATTTTGTAAATAAATCATAAATTAAAAATATTTCAAATTCGCAAATTTTGAAAAAAAAATTAAACACCCAAAAATTTACCTCATTTTTAAAATTTCCTTTTTTTCAAAAAAAAAAAAAAAAAAAAAAATTATTTTTTTCCTTACGAATTAGGTATTTAATTTTCAGTCAACAAAATTCTCTAGACAAAAAAAAATTCATCAATAAAAACAAAAAATTTTGGTTCTTTTTTGCAAAACAATATCTTTTTACAGAATGAAAATCAAATAACAACAAGTATCGTATATATATTTGTAAATAAAAAAAAAAATCTGCAAAAACTTTTTTTTTCTGTCTACCTATAGATAATTCAATTATAGATTTCTATTTGGAAATATTTTTATATGATTTCGTCGTAAAAAATAGTAGAATTTTTTTTTTTTTTTATTTTTATTTTGAAAATTGGATAGATTTTTGAAAATGCCTGGGGTGCCGGATCGACACAAGACCAGTACGACCCCGACCACTTCTTCCTATTGATCGAAACCCAGCGGTGAAGCGCGAGACCAGATGCGCCATGAGGACTGGAGGAGGTAAAGCCACACACAGTTTGTGAGAAATTCTGACCAACATCTTTCGCGCCTGATAACCTGATGATTGCCCTTTTTTCCAGGTATTTGCCACTTATTTGAGGCGACAAAGTACAGCACACATATATATATATATATATATATATATAATATGAAATATCGTTTCCCATCCAATCTAAATTTTTCCTTCAACCAAATTGTCAATTATAACTAAATTGTCATTTGACCGAATTTTTATTTAGCCAAAATCGTATTATATTGAATTTTCAAAAAAAAACCGAATTAGAAATTTAACGGAATTCTTAATTATTTAACAAAGCAGTAATTGACCGAATTTTTTCATAACCTGTTTTGGATTTGACCGAAATTTTATTAAGCCAAATAACTCTTTTCAAAGAAATTTTGCTTTTGACCGAAATAGAGTTAAACCGAATTTTTATTTAGGCAAAATGGTATTTAGCTGGGATTTTTATATATATCCGAATTTGCATTTGACCGAATTCGGTTGTAAATAAAATAGCAATTGACAAAATTTTTACATAACCTATCATATTTGACAAATTTTATTCAGCCGAATGGCTGTAGGTTCAAAAGAATTCGCCTTCGACCAAAATATTATTAAACAAAAATTTTTAATTATCGAAATAGTATTTAGCCGAATTCACGTTTAAATAAAATATCAATTGACCGAATCTGTATACCTACAATAAAGTTAGCATTTGACTGAATTTTTTCACAGCCGAATTTTGGATTTGACCAAAATTTTATTTAGCCAAATAACAATGTTCAAAGAAATTTGCTTTTGACAGAAATATTGTTAAACAAAATTTATATTTAGTAAATATAGTATTCACCCGAATTCACATTTAAATAAAATATCAATTGACCGAATTTGTATACAATAACGTAAGCATTTGACCAAATTTTACCATAGCCGAATTTTGGATTTGACCGAAATTATATTTAGCCAATTGACTATGATCAAACAAATTCGCCTTGGACCGAAATAGTATTAAACCGAATTTTTATTTAGGCAAAATGGTATTTAACTGGGATTTTTATATATATCCGAATTTGCTTTTGACCGAAATATTGTTAAACAAAATTTATATTCAGTTAATATAGTATTTAGCCGAATTCACATTTAAATAAAATATCAATTGACCGAATTTGTATACAATAAAATAAGCATTTGACCAAATTTTACCATAGCCGAATTTTGGATTTGACCGAAATTATATTTAGTCAAATGACTATGATCAAACAAATTCGCCTTGGACCGAAATAGTATTAAACCGAATTTTTATTTAGGCCAAATAGTTTTTAGCTGGGATTTTTATATATATCCGAATTTGCATTTGACCGAATTCTGTTGTAAATAAAATAGCAATTGACCAAATTTTTACATAACCTATCATATTTGACGAATTTTATTCAGCCAAATGGCTGTAGGTTCAAACGAATTCGCCATCGACCAAAATATTATTAAAAAAAAATTTGATTTATCTAAAATAGTATTTAGCCGAATTCACGTTTAAATAAAATATCACTTGACAGAATCTGTATACAATAAAGTTAGCATTTAATGGAATTTTTTCACAGCCGAATTTTGGATTTGACCGCAATTTTATTTAGCCAAATGACTGTGATCAAACAAATTCGCCTTTGACCGAAATAGTATTAAACCGAATTTTTATTTAGCCAAAATGGTATTTAGCTGGGGATTTTTATATATCCGAATTTGTATTCGATCGAATTCTATTGTAAATAAAATAGCCATTGATCTTATTTTTATACGATAAAGTTGATATTACACCGAAATCTTATTTATAGCCGAAATAGAAATCAACCGAATTTTTACTGTTATTTATTTTGAATTTTAAAGAAATTTTATTTAGCTAAATTACATTATTTAAATGCAATTACTTTTGACCGAAATAGAGTTTAATCAAATTTTTATTTAGCCAAAATACTATTCAGCCAAATTTGCATTTAAATAAAATAGGAATTGGCCGAATTTGTATAAAAATATAGATAGCACTTGACCGAATTCTCATTTAGCCGAAGTAGAAATTGATCGTTTTTTTATATAACCTATTATAACCCTATGTATATAGGGATTTGCATTTGACCTACTTCTATTGTAAATAAAATAGCCATTGACCGAATTTTTATACGATAAATGTGGCAAATTGGCCGAATTCGCGTTTAAATAAAACAAAGATTAGTAGAATTTTATACAATAAAATTGATTGAATTCTCATAACGGAAGTAGCAATTAACAAAAACGCAACTGCTTTTGACCGAAACAGCGTTAAACCGAATTTTTATTCAGTCAAAATAGTATTTAGCTAAATTCACATTTAAATAAAATGGCAATTAAATGAATTTGCATACAATAAAGATAGTATTTGAACGAATTTTTTCGTAGCCAATTTCTGGATTCGACCGAAATTTTATTTAGCCAAACGACTATTTTTTTAAATAAATAAATTTTTAAATATCCGAATTTGCATTTAACCGAATTCGCATATAAATAAAATATCCATTCGCCCTATTTTTATACGAAAAAGTTTGGTATTACACCAAATTTTAACTGGTAATTGATTTTGGATTTTAAATGAATTTTATTTAGCCAAATGACATTTAGCCAATGACGTTCAAACACATTTACTTTTGACCGAAATAGTGTTAAACCGAATTTTTATTTAGCCAAAATACTATTTAGCCGAATTTGCCTTTTTAATAAAATAGATATTGAATGAATTTTTATACAATAAAGATGGCACTTGACCGAATTTTCATTTAGCCAAAGTATAGTAATTAATCGAATTTTTACAAAACCTATTTTTGGATTTAACCGACATTTTATTCAGCCAAATGATCGTATTTTTATTTAGCCAATTGACTGTTCAAACGAATTTACTTTTGACCGAAATAGCGTTAAACAGAATTTGTATTTAGCCAAAATGGTATTTGACATTATTTTTATATATCCAAAATTTGCATTTGACCCAATTTCGATTTAAATAAAATAGCAATTGTCCTAATTTTTATACGATATAATATTGCGGCATTAACGAAATTCTCATTTATCCGAAATAACAATTGATCGAATTTTTATATAAACAATTTTGGATTTGACCGAAATTTTTGATTTTTTTGCTTTTGAATTTTCTTTTGGCCAAAATAACGTTAAATTGAGTTTTTATTTAGTCGAAATGGTGTCTAACTGAATTTTTATATTATTTTTTTTATTTATAGTTGGTCATTGCCTTTTTCAAAATCAATAGATTGTATTTTTTGGAAATTAGTTTTTAAAATTGAAAATTTTTTATCTCTAAAATTATTTTTTTTTTTACTATAACTCGGTAATTGTTTTTTCATTTTTTTCCTAAATAAATTTTCAAAAAAAAAATAATAAATTTTTTTTTTTAGAAATTAATCCAGAATATTTTGTTAAATATATTTTTCTATGGGCATAAATGTCATGATGTATATTATGAACATTATAAAATCGGAATTCAAAGAACAAACTC